CGAGCCGCGCGAGTTTCGAACGCAAAGCCGGGCCAACTTTTCCCCAGTTCGAATTCCAACGGACCGCGAGGTGCCGTTTATGTTTTTCAAAAGGGAATTGCCATATTGGGGGTGGTTGTTCTGCAGCAGCATGGGGAAGATGTAAGAATCAAGAATGAGTTCTTGAAGTACATCACCCCTGCAGTTGGAAGAGTACCGGTTATATAGTTATTATATGAGATAAATTTCTTTTATTTATTTATTTATTTATTTATTTATTTTTCGTTTCCCGCCCATCTTTTGGGGAGAGCTTCAGCGGCGCTAGCTTGGGAAAAACTACAGTTAAAGTTGCGACTCGTTTCGCCAATATATAGCTATCTACATCTACGTGGAAAAAGATCTTGTCGAATGGTCGAGAGAGAAAGAGAGAGGAGTGTTCCCGAGTAATATAATGCATGTATGTACATGTACATACATAGGGTTCTCTTATAATCAAACTAATCTGCATAGCAACAACGTCAGATACGATCAAAATATGGACTCCGTGGTGACTATATTTTCAAACCCCGAGTCCTGGGAATGACGCTACATGAAGGAGCTATGATATCAAAGAATACATGGTATGATATTGTCCGATGACTGACTGCATCTATCCGAGCGTAACTAGTCGCGTAAGACTCGATTGCATCGCGGTATATTGTCGTCGAAAGAAGACACTAGCTGGCGTCTCTTCTTCCCCGCCCCCCACCCCCCCCCTCCGTATGCTGAAGAGGTGTACGTATGTACATAGTATAGTAGTGTATGGAAGATTGGATGCATGTTATTGGGTGGGATTCAAGCTGTTGAGGGATGGTCTGGCTGGGTTTTTGTGTGTAATTTGTGAAACGGTGTTGTGGGAATGTGTTTTAGCATTTGTTGGTAATGGTGAGGTGGGGTTAATAGTAAATCAGAGAGGTAACTAGTTAGGGCTGCTCTGTAATACAGGTGGGAAATCTGAAAATAATAATAGTAAATAACCGATGTCGCTGGTTCCAGAGCATTATTTGGACTCCTCTGAAGGGGGGGAAAAAAGCAACCATCATATCAACATCATAATCCAAGCCAAAAGCCTGGAGAAAACAAAAATAGCAATAGCGCCAGAGTTAAAGGAACATGCGAGGAAATGTAGCAAAACAGAAAGAATCCAATGGATACAGGCGACAAGGCGACAGGGCTAGTTACAGGGCTGGATTAGACCAAGAACCATATGAAAATCAAGCTTGGCTGCCCTCCCGTCAGCACTGGAGCCAGGTGTCCGGTGAGTAGCAAAACCATGGATCCTTCGATTGCTAAATCGCCGCTGTATTCTGGATCATCCCAACCATTCAGGATCTGAGGATCCAAGAAGGGGAATGTAGAGGACAAACCTGCAGCGAACAAGCCTGCAGCCTGCAGGTCGAGCTTGGCCACCTTGGGGGCCCAGTTAAATGGTCGTTGTGTGCGTGGGTGGGTGTGAAAGATTTCAAGGGTGTGAGCACTGTGTGAGCTGTCAGGGGGGTGACGGGAGCTGTGATTCGTGGGGCAGTCACTGGAAGCGCCGAACATGGAGGTTTGGCTGTTTTGCTCTCTTGGGAGTTGGACGGTCGGTGGTTATCGATCGGGTATTGGAGTGTGGTTTCACTACACAGGGAGGAAGTAAATCATCGAGCATGCCCACTGCAGTCTGTAGATTGGCTAGACGTTGTAGGGGATGTAGAGAAACATGGATTATGATATCACAGCCATGCCATCATATCCATACGAAGGTTGCTGGAGACGGCTCAGAAGGCTGACGATGAGACGCTATGGGGTGGATGTTTCAAGGAGCCGGTGGGCTCGGCGAGAGTTACCAGAGAATAAAATACAGTCCTGGGCAATACGGGCTCAGAGACGTTCGTTGCCCGCCGTCGATAATTATCAAAATCAGGCGACGACGGGACTGTCCCTGGTCGGCAAGTCTTGTTTGGCGGTGTTTGGGCGCCGTTCCGGGCGGTGTCCGGGAGGTAGGGGCCGCGGGCAGCGCACCTAGGGCCTGCACGCGGCGGTACGAACCATACACGAAGAATACGTCGATCACGCGGTTTCAACGGGGTTGGAAGGGGCTTCATTTCCACGCTAGACTCCAAAAGGAGAGCAGGCGGCCAATCAGCGGCTGCACGAGCACGTGCCCTGGCCTGGAACCACCCCTGCCCGCGCTGGCACTAGGCTCAAAACGGCAGCCCTAGCTAATTAGCTAATCCACCTGCTCCCAATGGCCCTTTGCCTTCCTTCCCCTTCCTCCCTTCACTCCCCCCCTTCCCTTCCCCTTTCTCCTCTTCCTCCTTCTTTCTCTCTTCTCTTCTTCTCTCATCTTCTCATCTTCTCATCTTCTCATCTTCTCTTCTTCTCTTCTTCTCTTCTTCTCTTCTTCTCCTCGTCCTTCGTCTTTTGTCTCCATCCCCTCTTTTGTTCTTCTCCTTCATCTTCATCCTTCGTCCTCATCCCCATTGTCATTCTCATTCTCCTGTCCTTCGTCCGGTTCCTCCCGTGTCTGTTACCCTTCAACGGCCCCCCTCTCTCGATTGCCTTCTTTAGCCTTCTTTGCCTCTCCCCCCCCCCCTCCCGGAAGGAAAACCGAGTCCTTTGCTTCTTCTTTTACACCACGCAACATCGAAGGTCCCCTTTTGACCACAGTTTTTGGTCCCTATTTTCAGCCCCTCCCAAGTCCAATTATTACCAGAACGGGCCAAAAAAAGAAAAAAAAAGACCTGACACTGAACGGAAGTGAAGATTACAATAGCATAGAGATTGTTTGTTATTTTCGTTTCTTGTCGAAGGGGAAGCAAGGACCTCATTTTCTTTTCGAATCAATTCCTCATAACGTATTTTATTCCCGGCTTTTCTCCATTTTCTAGCTTTTTATAAATCGTTCCCGTTAGATCGCGTCGTCTTTCGCCTTCGTCGGTTGAAATCCCGCTCTTAATATTCACCACTTGTCTTTGCTCTTCAGCGCTATCCCTCGCTACCGGGACTCAATCTTTGTCTCGACATCCATTGATACATTTACCATCGTGGTTCTAGAAGAAAAGAAAGCAAAAGCCAATTTCACCCTCGTGCGTCTTTGGTCGTCTTCAACTTTCCTAGAAGAAATCGAGAGAAGAAGCAAAACAAAAGACTACGTTCAGTTTTTTGCCCTGAGGTCGCTCCTTGTTGAATTTGCAGTGCAAATTTCTTCATCGCCAAAATCATTCACTCCCACATACACGAAATCAACAAACCTTCACCCCCAAGTCTACACTCCCGTTGGACAACGCCTTGTATTTGTTAATCTTCCTTCATTTTTTCCGCGCCAAAACCCATTGCGCCATTACAGCTATTATAACTCTATCGACTCATTCCTTTATCAGACCTCTGGCACCGCTGTCATTCACTATATATCAGCTTGTCTAACAGACCTATATTCGCTTGTATATCTTTTTTAATTCTCTGCGATCCCTTCTTCTGGATCTCAATTTGGTTTCTTCTGGTATGTTCAACTTATATCACTTTGGTGCTTCAGCCAGCTCTTAGACCCGATGCTGATCAACTTCCCTCTGACAGAATTGTCATTTTGATTTCTCTGTTACTATTTTTCACTCAAAACTATCCAACCGCTTCTATCGAATCGTTCGACCTAGGCAACACTACTCTCTGATCGCTGGACCCGTTTGTAGTGTTGTTCCTAGAACACTAACTTCTTAATTTCTTAATTTACTTCAAACCCGCTACCTCCTGACGTGGACAATCCCCTTCAGTTGGACTCAACAGTTCTTCGTCACTTAATCTTGAAATTTTTAACCCAGTCTTGTTGACACCTTCCACCTGAACCAACTATATCCACGCAACTTCTCTCTAGTTCACAAGCCATCCACCCCCTTGTACAGACTATCTCAGATACAACACAAACAACACAACTCGTTTTGTCTCGGAGATCGCTTTGCTACTACGAATAAACGTATCTGCATATATAAAGTATATCTGCTTGGATTTCTCTTTCCCTTTTCCAGTTCCTTCCATGACCCTGAGTATGGACGCTGGCAGTCTAGCTCAGATGACATACAACAACATGGCTTTCAATAGTGGTTCTCTTGGAGTTCCGGGTTCTGGTTTCGCGTCTCGTGGAAAAGGCTCTCATATCAAACGTCTAAGTGTTCCGCACCCATCAAAGATCGGAACCATTAACGAGTCTACACCGTCCCCCACCGTTTCCACTCCACGCACGAGCCGCGGCCATCTCCTCGCGGGGTTAAGAACTGCTCCAAAGCACTCCCCATCACCGGCCACTGCTCCTTTGTCCCGCCCAATGTCCCGTTTATCCCTTGACTACACAAGATATGGTGCTCAGCAACACGCTTCCTATTCCCAAAGGGCACCCATGACCTCAACAGGAGTGTCATTTCCGTTTGTCAATAATCCCAATAATATGTATGCGGTGCAACAGCCTTCGAGGCATCAAATGTATTCTTTGCCGGAACATGTTCTTCCTCCCCCGACAATTGAGCTCCCAGTCGACGAAAATGGACAGCCGATCGACGAAAAGCTCTATGCGGAACTCGTTTCGACAAATCTATTTCTTGCTGCCCAGCAGCAACGTCTTCAGGAACAGCTGGCTTCTATCACAGCTGCTGCTCAGCAGTTCCAAGGCTTGAACCTCGGCGGCCTTCCAAATGGAGCTCAGCAGCAGAGGATGCCACCAAGCATCCAGGGGATGAGCTATTACCTGCAACAGGCCCAACAAGGCATGCAGCCCGTTGTGCAGCCTGTGCCTGGGCATCCTGGTCTGTTCTCGGTCTACAACCCCATGACCGGACAACATAACTTGGTCATGGACAACAGCATGCAGCAGGAGGAACTTGTTTCGGCCTCTTGTCAAGAATCGTTCCCGTCTCCCGTAGCTGAAACTCCAACCTTTTGCGCCGAAGTATCACCTCCTCAAGAATCTAGACAATCTCCAATCTGCTACCTCTCCTCTCCATCCCCTCCTCGAACTGTCCCCTCCCCTCCCCCGGAAATTGCGCCTCTGCCCCCACCATCTGCCAATGTCTTCCGTCGCAACCACAAAAAGGTACCATCACTCGTCACTCCTATTAAAACTAGCGGCGACTTAAACAAAGCCTCCCCAAAAAACGCACCGCTCCCCACTCCACTCACTGGTACCTTCGGCCCCGGCCAGGCTCGTGCTGGTGAGCACCCAATCCGGCAACCCCGTGGACCTCCTTCTCTTGAAGAGCTCATTGGAAAGCCCACCTCCAAGCACGAAGGGAGTAAGAATTTCGTGACGCGTCAACGACGTCGTGCTGTGCACAATCTAGTGAGGGCTGGGTTGGAGAGGCGCGGAGAGTCTCGAAGTTCCTTGCATACCGGTAGCGCGGGGAGCATGACGCCTTCCAGTGATGTGGAGTTTAATTTCTCGGGCTCTGGCTCGGGTTCTGATGGTGATGAGTCTGGTGGCAGTGGGATTCATAGCTGTAGGGGAAGCTTGTCGAGCAAACCGAGTTTGGGGAGCATCAGAGCTGCGGCAAATGGTGCTATTGGATCTGAGAGGGAGTGGACGGTGTCAAGGACCAATAGCGCAAGCGCAATTCCGAAGAACATCAACACCAGCACCAGCGTCGCTCGCACCCGTGTGTCGACGGATAGCCTGAACACTGCTGCGGCTGTGGGTAGGGTTGAGAACCCCTTGGGTGGGAAGCTAATGGAAATTGGCTCGGATGATTCCGATTTGCATTGCAATGCTCCTGCTCCTACTGCTCTCCCTCCGGCAACAATGAAGCACCAGGCACATCCATACCAACCGCTGACGGTGGCAGCTGTTGTGGCTGGCCATACTGCTCCTACCGCTCTGAACCAGGGTGATGATACTGGTAGTGGACGACGCAAGATGCCTATGTTTGTTCTCTCGAGTGCGGAGAAGCGGAAGAATCCGATTAATTGAGGATAGCTATCTCTTGTCTTATCTTGATGTGGTGGGAATTCGAACTCGGTGTGTTGGGCACTCCTCTGTCTACGCTGGATTTGTTTTTCTTGACCTATTTTTTTTTTTCATTCATTCCCTTGTTTCATTCGGTTTGGGAGGGTGGTTGGGGGTTGGCAAATACGTCACTCTTCAATTTTTTCATAGTTTCGCAAATGGGTTTTTTTTCTCTCCCGTTTAACCTATATACTTTTTTACCAACTTTCTTTTTTTCTACCTACCGTTTTGCTTTGTCAACGGGGGTGGAAGGCAATGAGGCACAATTTCACCGCCCGTTCGCCTTTTTTTTTTTTTTATATATTCTGTTATGCTGGGAAGCGGCTCCCTTATTGAAACTTTGTAACTACTGGCCTTTTATATCACAGCAGTGCTTGTTACTTTGCCCTGATTTTCTTCACGCCTTTTTACACTACTACACTTTCCGGCACATTAGCAGCTTTGAGAAATTGTTAACGAAATATGAATTCATTGATTGATTTGATACTTTTATTCGATGATGTGGTTTGACGCTTGTTTGTTGTTGTGACCACAATTTACTTTTTTCTGATGGAGGTGAGGAAATGGGGAATTGAAAACAGAATTGCTTTTTTTAACCTCTCTTTTCCCCCCCCTCACTTGTTGAACTGTCGCTAAGTTAATTTAAGAATTATTGAGAGCATATTTTAATTAATTGAATTGATACAGAGTGTGTTGAATATCTCAGACTATAGTTAGTTGCTGGTCAATTAGCGAGGGAAATGTTGGCAGGAATGCATGTATGCGTGTTGTGTACAGAAGAAATGGAATGAATATGTACAGGTGCATTCTGGATAAAGATATTATTGTATCTTCAGTCAGTCTCCCTAGCTGCACTCTTCGACTGGCGATAAAAAATATTATCCGCACACATAGTTACGTCCGTACAATCCCCACAACCTCTCTGGATTGGGCACACTCATTCATTCAAAATCTGCTGTAGCCAATCACGTTGATTGTGTTTCCTGATTGTGGTGGTGCTAATTACTTCTCCCATCAACCATCACCATCACCATCACACCCAATGTATGTCTGGTCCAGTCCTCACTGGTGCATTTCCCCCCAATTCAATCAACCAATTCATTTTCCTGCACAGACCCTGGCAAAGTCGTAGTTGTTGTTAAGATGGCACAGGCTGACTCCGGCCAAAGCCACCAGTTGCCAACGCATGGCTGGTGCAGGCATCCGAGAGCTCTAAGCCCAACGATGCCTAGGGCGCGCGAAGGTGCCCATCCTTCCTTCCCAATTAAATAATTCCAGCACCCTGGGTTCCTTCCCTCCTTTTTCCCCTTTGTGTGAGAGATTCTTCTTTGTCATCCATCTCATCGTCTCATCTGATCCTCGGCTCGAGCACTTGGAACATTATAATAATACCACCCGGCTCGGATACCGCACAGCTGTAGCTACCTTGGTGCATCCGCCAATCGTGTGTGTCTGCTATTCCCCCCCCCCCCCTAAGTGCTTTGGTAGATGGCTAGATTTCGTCTGTTTAGGCTGTTGGGCTGTGGACCCGATGGCGAAGATGCCGACCCACTAGAAAAACCGGCTGTCCCGCCACCCGAATACCGAAGTGTTGTCGGGGATCTAAATCCCGCGATACAGGGCCTTCCGAGTGTTCAGCCAAGAAAAATAGGGGTTTACCTCTCTCCTGCCAATGAACTGGAGAATGACGACAATGAGAAGAAGTGGGCGGGAATTGTGGATACTGCCAGCAAGGGCAAGGGCAACAAGGGCATGGGCAATGGGCAGGTTAAGGTTAAGGTTAAGGGTAACGTTATCAGTGGAGTCGATGAGGTGAAAGACGGGGAGCAGCGCAAAAGGGACAGCTCAGCCCCACAGATATCACGACAGGATGAGCTACGGCAACGGCAGTTCCTGACGAAACGAACACCCAACAACAACACCTTCCTCATGCCTAACGGCAAGGAAGTGACCTTGCACACCAACGATGATTTTGTCCAGGCTACCCTTGCAGCGGCGCAGACGAGCGACGAGGTTTTGGGTCAATGGCTCGCGATGAGCCACGGGGTTGATACGAGGGACTCGAGAAATTGGACAGCTGTCAAGTGGGCCATGCACCTGAATCAGCCCGATGCTGTGCGCAGGCTGATTGGTAAGGGTGCGGAGGTGAACATGGTCCTCCAAGGGAGATATACGGACTTACATCATGCAGTTTCACAGGGGGATCAGGAACTGATTGTAAATCTGCTCAAGTACAGAGCAGATATCAATGTTACGGACAATGAGGGGAACACACCATTACACTGTGCGCTGAACCACTGGTTGAAAATCACAGATACATATAAAGATAGAGGTGATGACTTTGGTTTACCCATAATCAAGCTGCTTGCGGAAAAAGGTGCGGATCTGGAAGCACAGAATCGCTACGGAAATACGGTGTTGCATGAAGCGTGCATATATGGCGATGGGTTGTCTCTCATATTCCTGTCAGGCCATAACAATCCGGGCACGGAAATTACACACAGGCGCCTCACGATGGCTAAGTACCTACTCAAACTTGGTATTCCCGTAGACACGCGTGATAAATGGGGCTCCACGCCGCTGTTGCGCTGCTGCACCATGCGGACTCCTGATCGCAATGTCATTGCGCTCCTGCTTGAGAACGGGGCGGATGTTCATTCAGCTAATCGCCAGGGCGATACAGTGCTGGACGCCGTTTGTTTCCAGCGGGATACGGAGTTGTTGAAACAGGTCACGGAACGTGCTATCAAAAATGTCGCTGACACCAATGCTGGTAACGACGGCAAAGATATCGCTCATGCAGCGACAGCAGACCTCTTTAACAAGCCAACCATCCTCTCCACCCCGCTGCACTACGCGGCCCAACACAGTGGACCAGACCGCGTCTTTTTCCTCCTCTCCCACGGCGCAAAACCGCGTACACCCACTTACGCCACAGGAGCAACCCCACTGCACCTCCTCGCCTCCACACCCAACGCCACCGCGACAGATAGACCCACCTCCCCACCCCCTTCCTCACCCGTCGCCACCAACCCCACCGCCACAACTACAACAATGACAATGACAGCAATTACAAACCCCATCACTCAAAAAATTAACCTCCTAACCTCTCACGGCGCAGACATTAACGCTCGTGACCTGCGCGGCGCCACCCCTCTCCACTACGCAGCGCGTAACGTCGAGTCCCGTCACCAAGAGCGCATCGTGGCGGCCCTGTTGGCGGCGGGCGCGGAACCTGATTGTAAGGACTTCAGCGGGCGGACACCTCTGATGGAGTTGGAGGGGTATTGGGTGCTTAAGGGGGCGGTTGTGAAGAGGCTTGTGGAGGCCGGAGCGGAAAGGGTGGAGGGGATGCAGGGGTTGGGCGGGTTTGAGTATATGGATCGGGACGGGATTGAAGGTTAGAGAGGGTTCGGTACGGTAAGTGGAAAGTTGGGGCGTTGGTTTTATTTTATTATTTTATTTTTTTCTCTTCTGTTCTGTTATATTTTTAATAGGGGTGATTCACACCCTCTTTTTCTTTTTATTATTCCTTTCTCTTTTTCTTCCCTTCTTTCTCATTTACCATTTACCTTCTGAGAACCCTTCGGCTTTTCGTTATCACTTTGCTGCCATTTCCCGCCCTATGAATGAACCGATGAGTTATATACCTACCGCGGATTGTGGGAAGATAACGCAGTGTAATGATATATTGATATAATATAAAGACCTACCTACACAGCCGGCTCTCTAGCTAACTAACTTCGGTGAATCCATGGCGAAACGGTAGCTTGGGTCTTCATTTTGGGATGTTGTAGGAATTTCGGTCTTCTTTTTCTCCCACGGTTACGTCACGTGTTCTGGAACAACCAGGTTCAGAGGAAGAAGGTAAAAAAAAAAGAGGTTTAAGTCTACAACTACTGAACAAAGGCGATGGGGATCAACCTGATCCCTAACGAAAAGAAAGTGTTTTGATGAATGGCGACTATCTGCGCTCTGGAATTGGGATCACTCGTTTCAAGTTATGAGCTTATAGCGTTTGCCCGGGATATCGGGTAACTAACTAATCATATGAAAAGGGTGGTTGTGGATTCTCCCATTTTGCTTCCCCTGTTATGTTGTCCGTTCGCTTATGCGTTTGGTGAGGACGTAGAGGCAAGGGGTTATAGTTGGTGAGATCCTGGTGAAGTAAACTTAGATCGAGAGGACGAGGGAAGGATGAGAAATCTTGTAAACGACGCTGTTGCGGGAAGGGTTTCTCAGGGGTAGTAGTTGTTTTTAACATTTCCCTTGTTTACTTATGGGTTTTGAAAAATGATATCACATGACAATGCGTTGAAATTAACAGGGGGGGGATTTAGTAATAAGAATGTAATCTGGGACCTGAGAAATATGGTAAAATCACTAGTTACCCATCAGGTGGCATATGGAGATGGGTGAGAGACGGGTGTGAGATATGACTAATTGGTTGGATGTAGTTAGTTTTTACGGGGGTTGTTGATGTAACTAGTTTTGCTTAACTATAGCTCTGCAAACTCTTTAAATATCCTTGCCAACTCCTTCACTCAACCTCAACATCCAGCATCAATGCCAGGCTCCAAACCAACCAGCCAGCAGACGGGAATCAGGTACAGCCATTGCTTTGACATCGGGGAAAAGGTCTCTAGAAACCAACCAGGGCCCACTATTAAACTTCTTCCACGGCCCTTCGAGAATATCATCATGGCAGGGCTAACCAACGTGGCACGCGGCAAAACAGGAAACGTGGCAGTGCCTACTGTCACCTGTGCCCATATTCGGTCCATGTCGAAGATCCATTTCAGATTTTTTGTGAAACAGCCTCTAATCACTTAAAGTTTAGAAAAAGAGCAAACAACAACAAGAACGTGCTCCAGGAGCGAAGTCTGTTAATTATCTCACTGCCATTGACTCACTGCCATTGAAAAAAAAAGGTTCTCTGGCTTTTGCCTGGAGACATTCTTACTCAACGTGTGCAACCAAACACATGTTGAGAGATTTGAAACGTTGCATCTACATGCTATAGCTTCCACACCAACATTGGGCCCGCTTCCTGGTTCTAGGTCGTGTTTTATGGGTCATTGGAACCAAGGTTCCAGCGGAACCTACGTCTCCACAATTGGCTTGGGGAAGAGATCTGCTGAAGTTGCGTCTACCCCTACGCATTACAATCACTGTAAGGTCTCCGTGTACGATCTGGTGTGCTCCAAGCACGATTCAAGCTTCAAGCATTGTGGAGTTTTATGAAAATGAAGGGTGGTAGGATCTGATATTGCATGGTGTGTATACACATCGACCATGCTCCTCCAGTGAATATCCATTGGAGGCCCCATATTGTTTCTATTTGGCATGACTCTTACATTTTGAACCTTGTTTGGCTTTTCTCTGATTCACTTGGCTCTTCGCTTTTATTTGTCATCTCTCATTTATCCTTTTAGCAACCGTTTCCCTCGTTTGAATTTCTTATTCTTCTCCTTTATCCGTGATGCAATTTACAAATCATACCGAGCTTTAAAAACCTCCATGCTATTTTGTCACTTGAACCCACTCGTTTGCCCTGTGGCGAAACCGCTGCCAACTGCGGGTTTTACCTTTTTTTTTTTTTTTTTCCTGAAGAGAAATACGTGTTTCAGCTGTCAACAACATCTTCACAGTCAAAGGGCAGAACGTGATGGCTTTTCGATATAGTATTAATAGCCTGTTCTTATCCCCCAATTCACAATCACTGGAACCCAACTGCTGCGGCTTGAGCTAATTATTTAGGTGCGGGATTGAGTGATATTGAGTTCCGTTTAAACTTTCCCTCCCCCATTCGTACCAGGAAATCCTTCAACCTTTAACTTCATGTATCAAATCGCCACACCTCAACCTCAATTGAATTTTTGTTTTCTTGCTTGTTGTTACTATAATTGGGTTTGCCTTATAGCTACCTGATCTTTCATAAATTGTCAAGATTTTAAGTTTTCATCGGATATGACGTTTGTATTCTAGAACTAATGTTTTGACTCTGCTGTGGCCACAAGTTGGACGCACCTTTTTACCCTTCCCTACCCCCTACTTTTATGTTGATTGTCAATTTTTCGAGTGTTTTATGAGATCGTCGTTTTTGCTTTGCCTATTACTTCGCTTACTCCTTCGATTCGTGTATCATTCGTACAGAGGGTTCAGATTTACCGACTGTAGGCGAGACGCCTAGCTCAATGGCTCAAGATATGAGAGATACCGAATTCCATATGCGGGACCACTCTTTCAACCCTCAAATCACAAGGGGTAGAGCTTCCTCTATCCCATTACCTACTCTCTGTATAACTCCAGCTCACAGTCCTTCCTCACGAGCTTCTACTTCGCATGTCCGTTCCAGCAGCGAAGGGGCCGTTGCCAGCCCACGAACTCGTCTCATAAACCGAGTGAAGTTTACAGTTGACGGAGATACTTCACAATCACACCAGTTTCAGGAGACTCAAAATGGATCAGATATTGAGAGGAACCTTCTGCAAATCCCGCCAGTTGCTTATTGTCAACAGCAGCCAGATGGAGAAGCAATGGAGGAACAGCATGCTGAAATGTCAGATGATTTGCCAGGTTTTTACTCTCCACAGCCGTATTCAGGTGGCTCAACGCCTGTGAGCGTCTGTGGATCGGTTGGCAGCAGAGTGAACCTTGTAGATCATGATGAGATGCATGGGCAGGGAGATGGTGATAAAAAGGGGAGGGCTTTGCATGGTGCCTACGAGAGAGCTCAGAGGCTGGCGGCCTCTGTCATTCATCGACATCCATCACAGATCAATGAACGAGGTGGTGGCTCTCATAAGGTTTCTCGCCGGCGTCGGCATGATGCCGATTCCGCGAGCGAGAAAGGGGACGCGGAATCTTACGATAACTTAGATATGTTGGAAAAGCAAGCTTACATTTCTGATAATGACAATTCTGATGATTCTCAATTTGAGGCCGAGGCTGCCGAACTATTTCGAGGAATGTCGCGACAAGATTCTCACAGTCTTACCAGAGTTCTTGCACGAAGTGACGATCTGGCCTCCGGCCACAGTACCCCTTACGCAGACAGAGATCCCGATGTTTATGTTTCCCGACCGTCGCATTACAGGGGAGGGATCCTATCGTCATTGCTCCGGATATATACTGGTCATGAGACTGAGCAACTAGAGCGGAAAGATATCAAATATCCTTCTCTTCAGCCTCCAAGCAGAGCATTGTCGCCGATCCGCAGAAATTCGGGTCGTCCACAAAGGCAAAAATGGTACAATAACAAGTCTGCCTCTCAATCCATGTGCTCCCTTAATCCAGCCTCCCCACAGGGGGTATTGCGGCAACAGTCACCTGCGGGGAGACAGATGTCGAGCGGAGGGGTTTACAATCTTGTGAAAAAAAGTAAAACAAGTTCTAAGCCTCGACTTGAGGAAGAGATCCGGCTCACCGTCCATATTGCGGAGACTCTGGCGCGCCAGAGATATCTGGTCAAGCTATGTCGCGCACTGATGTGGTCTGGAGCACCTACTCATCGGCTGGAAGAATACATGCGAATGACTGCTCGAGTGCTGGAGATAGATGGCCAATTTCTCTACATCCCTGGTGTTATGGTTATGGCTTTTGACGACAACACGACGCACGTCACAGAGGTAAAATTGATTAAGTCATCACAACATGTCAACCTGGGCCGTCTCCGTGACATCCAGGTGGTGTACAAGGAGGTCATTCACGATGTCATTGGCGTCGAGGAGGCCATGCAGAGGCTAGACGAAATTACCAAGGCTCAACCCAAGTTTGGCGTCCGGTGGCTGATACCCCTGTATGGATGCGCAAGCGCTCTGGTTGGGCCATTCGCATTTGGCGCACGACCCATCGACATGCCTCTATGCTTTGTTCTCGGCTGTATTGTTGCTCTACTTCAGCATGTTCTCGCCCCGCGCTCCGAGAACTACGCCAACGTCTTCGAGGTTTCCGCTGCCGTCATCACCTCCTTCCTTGCACGGGCATTGGGAAGCATTGAAATACGAAATGGAGAACACCTCTTTTGTTTCGCAGCTCTGGCTCAGTCGTCCATAGTTCTAATTTTACCAGGCTACATCGTCCTATGCGCTGGAGCTGCAGTCGCGCAACATTATTGCTGGCTCTGTTCGTATGGTCTACGCTATCATCTACTCTCTCTTCCTCGGTTTCGGCATCATGCTTGGCACCGCCTTCTACGGACTTCTGGATAGAGAAGCTACGTTGGACTTTGTCTGCCCTGCCAGCCCCATCAAGAATGAATACATCCAACGTTTCCCCTTTGTGATTGTCTATGCGATCTGCTCATGTCTGATCTATCAGGCAAAATATAAGCAAATTCCCATCATGGTCGCTATCGCCTTCACTGGATACCTTGTCAGCTTCTTCTCCGCACGCCGGTTCGTGTCTACCCAGCTTTCCAGTGCTCTGGGTGCCTTCGCCATCGGCGTCTTAGGTAACTTGTACAGCCGGCTGCGACACGGGCTTGCTGCTGCAGCTATCCTACCCGCCATTTTCTTGCAGCTCCCCTCAGGTCTGGCCACCAGTGGCAGTCTCGTGTCTAGCCTGATCGTTGCGACCACCATTAAGGGTGATACGACCTCGTCGAAACCACTGGGCACTGTGGCAAATGACTGGATAGTTAAGACCGCTATGTCGCCGTCCACATCTAAGGGATTGAATGATTTGATGCGGCATATCATGCTGCAAAGATTTTTGGGGAATGTGGTTTTTGATATTGCCTATGGCATGTTGGAGGTTGCGATAGGCATTACAGTGGGTTTATTTATGGCAGCATTGGTAATTTATCCCTTTGGGAAAAGGAGGAGTGGCTTGTTCAGTTTTTGATTTTTGGTTCGCTATATATAGGCGCAAAGGGTATAATAGGTTAATGTGTCTCTGGTAATTGTGAGATCCGGTTTATGTTCTTCCGGCTCTGGCGTTTCCTATGATTTTCTTATGATAGGTGTTAGGGGGCTCTTTGTCTGGCCCTTTTTTTTTTTTTTTTTTTTTTTTTTTTTTTTTTTTTAAAAAAAAAAAAAAATTTTTGGAAGGATTGATATATGCTAATTTAGATCTGGATAGCGTTGGCGATAATTTGTTGGATCTTGAGGTCTTGCTTTCTCATTCATGCTCATTCCAGTTTTTAAAACAAGATTGTCGCCTCTGTTTTAAAACTACAGAAAAACTAGGATGTTCACACGCCAACTTCTGTCCCTTCAGCAAACTCCTTTGGGAAACTTCAAATCATCTACCACAACCAAAGAGCAGATACCTCCTTTTCAGCCACCTCACAACTACCCACCAGAAGTGCCGATCTCAAAATGCATCCGTCCCTCGTTCTGCTATGTTGCAATCACCTCCATGACACCCAGTTCTTTTCATTCCGCAGAAGACATTGAGAATACGTAGATACGAATAGATAAAAGTCATTATATCCCTTAATACGAGAGCGTCCTTTACATCATTGTCATAATGAGAAAGCACGGAAACAAACTGCACATCTTTCTTCAGTGCTAAAAATACAAAGATTTGTATGTATCAATTTCCTGTGAATTTAAGCTTAATTAGAGTTTGACTTGGCGCGGCTCCATGAGCTCTATATGCTAAAACTTGGCATTAGCTGTAATTCACATGTGACAAATCATTAGTCACGACCTTCGGGAGTGAATAACTAACTAACTAGTTGACTAAAACGGGCGAAAGGGATTAGCTAATAACTGGATGATTATAGGTAACTAAGTGTTAGGCATCAAGGCGACCCCCGATGGAATTGTGCTCGTCCTGAGTTCCTTCAGAGACTGCTACTGTCGATTGGGCCTTTCTGCCAGGGTAGTTTCTAACTGCTGGAGCCTAGGTTTCCTTCTCCGGACTAGTGCCCCGCACACAGCATATCGCCCCCCCGTGGATAGCTGCCAATATTGACCTGACCGGCTGTTGACGGTTCGGCCTACTGCACGTGATCTAGATTGCCCGTATGATGGCGTGGTTGCCTCGCCCATTAAGGGGCTCACTCACTGATTCCCGAGATTTTACTTTATTTCTGCCTTGGAGCCAGAGCCCGCTTGGTGACTGCTGTCATCATCCATTCTGCCAAAACTTTGCCCTTTAGCCATGCAGCGTTGCAATGTAACTAGTAAGATGCATGAAATAGGCTGTATATAGAATGTTTAATGAAAGAACTGCTTTGAGATAATCTTGCAGGGCAATTAGAGCAATGTTGAAGTATTGACTGAATACCTCTCCGTGGACGGATAAAATTTAACCAAATTAGAAAAGCGGCGGGCTTATCGTCATAACTAACTAGCAAATGAATATGATGTAAGGTTGTGACTTTAGAGTTTTATTCCAGTCATGATTCTGTAAATTCACAAGAGAAGATTGGTTTATTTTTTATTTATTATTATTATTATTATTATTATTATTATTATTATTATTATTATTATTATTATTATTATTATTTTATTTTTTATTTTATTTTATTTTTATTTTTAATTTTTTTAAAATGAAGGGGCGCGATCGACATACACTTGAGGGCATAACTTCAAAATCAGCAGAAGTGTTTCACTTTGGGTTACAATGTCACTCGGGGAGAAACAAAAATATTCGTGATGATCTCACATAGTTCCACGAACTATGATATATAATTTCATAACACCTGCGACTTAGCATCCCAAGGATGCAGCATATCCGCTGGAAGGGTATTCGAGAGCATGTTTTGTGAAGCATTGCAGATCATTCGTGGACATTGCCTTGAATTATTTATTGAATCTCTAGTTTCCATTTTTTTTTCCAGCACATATGTACTGTTACATACATGCCTCTCCAACACGCTATTTAACTATATAGATATCTACATGCGTGTGTAGCATCCAAGTTCCCTTTTACAGTGATTTTGAGAAACTGGTTCATCAAAGATCGGAGATATTCCCTAGTCATGTAGGGATGATGAGCTCTGCAAAGCCACATCAACATACGGGAATGGGCTTAAATTGCTTATATATATTTTTCTTTTGTAGATGAAGTATCTTGTCATATGCATCTCAGGGTTCTGCATGGAAATACCCTGCTAGAACGAGGGCCGCACCCGCAAATACAACAGCACTTGGGTACAATAACTATTCCTATTATGTGCCTGGTCCCAGAACAAGGGACCCTGTTGGGTTCGACAGGCTTGGCCCGATTCAGATAGGCACACCGCACCCCGCAAAAGGGGAAAAATTCTACGCCGAAGAAGCCTAGCTGAGCGATTGGAGATTTTGTAGTTGCAAGGATTTACGATTTGGATTGCGGAATGGGTCGGATCAGGGGTGTAAAGGGGTGGTGGGGGAAATAAGTGGCTTGTTCCACGGGTTGGTTCCAGCCGAGGTTGGATAGTGGGGTAATTATACCATTGGTGGAGGGAGGGAGATGTTTGGGAGATGTTTCATAATTATTGAAGAAATTGGTCGGGGATTCTCTTGCTTCTGATTAGTTGCTCAATTTGATTTTTTCTATCTTGAGTTTCGGCTACCTCTATATAAAACTGGGTCTGTGAGCTGGTAAAACTACAACTACTTGCTCACTGGAACTTGCAGAAAGCGCTGATGCTTCTAAAAATGGTTCTGATATCATTGGAGCGTTTTGGCTGCAGGGGAAACTTGGCTTTGACGTCCCCCTCTCATCCTGAAATGTTGGGTCAGATGTTGAAAATAATTTTATAAGTGTTGATTATTGAATCATTACCCACCTTTGTTAAATGATGAAACCCCGCTTTTATGTCCTTCCGATAAACGGTTCAGAGCCCATTCTGGCTAATAGGAGAGAGGCGGGAAAGCGATAATATGGAGCAAACGGTGGTCGCTGGGAAATTAAATGGGCAGCCTCCTTGGGTGGTCAATCAAAGATGAGACACGGCGGAACCTCCTGAACAAGCACCCACTTAATGGTTGAAATAAATGCACTCAGCAAGCCGCCGAGACTGACCAGCTGGATATCCAAACAAGGTTAAGGAAGTCCAAGACCCATAAAATAAAATTAGGGTGGGGGGTTGGAGGGTGGGAGGTGTGGTTAACGTCGGGGGAAAAAAGGGGGGGGGGGGGGGGGGGGCCTCTCAGGGGCTGTAGCGAGGATGGTTTGGGGGCGGAGCAAGCCTGGCTCAGCCCTGGACAGGCGACTGGCCATCGCTAAGCAAGCACTAGCCACGCCTAAGGTTGGGGGGCGACCAATAAGAGGCAGGCCTTGGCGGTCAATGGCAGCCCAATTCGTCGTATTTCAGCTCTTTGTCTCAACCAAGGTCGAGGAACGCCCACCTGGATCTTGGGAACTTGGAAGTAATCGCCAATCGCTCCCAACCGCCACCAGGTCCATCACGATCGCTCATTTCTGTCTGATAGCTGCCACTGCCGCCCCTTGCAATCGACAATGGACATCGAAGGACGGTATTCTTTCTTAGCCTGTCTTCGCAATCACATCCTTCTTCCTTAACCTGGTGTGGAAGTGTTTACATTGTTCTTCAATAGAGAGATGTCTATCCTCAAGACACTCTTTGTCTGACTACTTCCCCCACCCTCGCAAAGCTGGGGAGCGGCAGACAAACCAACACAAGACACACACACTCTCACACACACACACACACACTCACTCACTCACTCACTCACTCACTCACACACTCTCACACACTCACACACACACACACACACACACACACACACACACACACACATCACACGAGACCATGCACAGAGCTGCACATCTGCAGAGGACTCAGACCTAGATCCAATATCTCACTCTTTTCTCCTCTCACCTCCCACTCCTTTTCATTCAACCTTGCATGCAAGAAGCCTTCTATCGCTTTGAAGATTTACACGGGCGCGGATGTCATTATCTCAACGTTGGACTCCTTCTCTTCTCCCCAGGCCGTAGCTCCTCGTTCCTCTGTCTGGTTTCATATTTCAACCACTATCATCGGATCTCATAGGGCCAACTAGGCTTAGTTGCCTCGAGAATAGTGTTGTTTCACACCAACGCTCCATGTTTCATTAGGAGCTCTCTCTCGTTTGCTGAAGCATCCATCTCCGCTGCTGCTTGTTTTCCCATTGATTCTATCGTTCTACAGCCGCCCAGCGACGTGACGATCTTTATCTCATTGAACGACCTATCCACTGCCATAGGTGCAAGTTCACACCGCCATGGTCCGATTATCCCTTGCCTGCCGCGCCGGGAGCCATTTCAGGACTAAAAGCTCCTCTCCCACCCCCTCCGCCGAACGCAGTCCTTCCATCACATCCTCTCGACCTGACGTCAAGCCGTTGATCCTAAAGGCAACTGTCTTAGCCGTATGTTCACCAATGCGCCCCATCTACCGACTGGTATACTCCGTAACGGTATGGGAGATAACAGAAGCAGCTTAACTAATATATTCTATTTTACAGGGGAGGAATCTAGCTCCCAAAGATAAAAATGGATTGAGTGATCCCGTGAGTTGTGCAGAAACTCTTCAATCTACCTTGGAAAATTGTCGAATTCAAGCTCCTGATTTGTGTCTCTTATATCCTCATCTATACAGTACTTGGTTGTATGTCTGGGCGATGCCAGACAGTCAACCCCAATGATAAACAAAACATTGAATCCGGAATGGAACGTCTCATTCGACTTGCCCATCATCGGTGTACCGCTGCTCGAGTGCACTTGCTGGGATAAAGATAGATTTGGCAAGGATTACATGGGAGAGTTTGATATTGCTCTAGAAGATATATTTTCTGCTGGACAAATCCAGCCGCAGGTGCGTGCACAGCTTGTCCCTAATAGGAAGAAGGTCACGTGGATCATAGCTCTTCTGTTCTATATACAGGTCTATATGCTGAAGGTCTGTGTTAGCCGCAATGGTATACGCTGCGCTTCGGGAGGAAAGCGGGGAAAAAGAGAAGCGATGTATCTGGCGAAATCCAGATGCAATTTACTCTCATTGACCCGTCAAACCCGACTGCAACGCCGGAGGGTATCTATCGGAAATTCAAGGCCATCGTATCTAGCGATGATGAGGACGAGGTTGTCCCTGTTTCGGGTGACACGGATGACTTTGAGAAGGACGACGAGACTTCAGACGAAACAGATGACCCTATGAAACCTGAAGTGGTCGAGAAGCGCCGCCGAAGGCTGCGAATTGCCCGCTTGAGACGCAAGTCAATGGCCGCCAAAGCATATGAGTTCTCTGGCTCCAAAGACGGCGTTTCCGGTATTGTATTTATGGAAATAGTGAAAATCATGGATTTGCCTCCAGAGTCGAATAGTAAGTGGCTGCTTTTTCCAAAATCCGAAATTTCCTCGACCGTTCGGCCACCCAGTTTACGTTGTACTTTAGTGACACGCACCTCATTCGACATGGACCCCTTCGTCGTCACATCCTTGGGCAAGAAAACACTGAGAACCCGTGTTATTCGCCACAACCTAAACCCCGTTTTCGAGGAGAAAATGGTCTTCCAGGTGATGAAGCATGAACAGTCATACTGTATTTACTTTACGGTCATTGACTGGGATAAGCTGTCCGGGAACGACTTTGTTGCATCCGCAAATTTCCCTTTACAGACACTTGTATTAGCCGCACCGGTTGCGGATCCAGAGACAGGACTCTACAAGCTCCCTGAACCATCTGAACCTTCGCCTTCGCCTACGCCGCCTGCCTCTAAATCGCGTTTTCGGCTAAACCTCTCGCGTTCTTCGTCAGCTTCAAGTTTGCAGAAGCTGGCAAAGCCAGTACTGAGATCCAAAAGCTCAGCAACATCGCTGTCAAATCAGTCCCAACAAGAGCAACAACAAGGCTCTCCTACCCGTAGCAACGTCCCCTCCGAGAACTCTTCTCAACTAAATGTTCCAGGCACAGCAAATTTGGTAGAAGAGCCCGGAGTGCCGGTGGATGAGTATGGCCTCAAAACTTATGTTATCCCGCTTGCCTTGAAAAATAAGGAACGGTGGGAGGACAAGCATTTCCCTGAACTCCATGTGAAAGCGAAGTATATGCCTTATGCAGCATTGCGCCAGCAGTTTTGGAGAGCAATGCTTAAGCAATATGACGCTGATGATACTGCCCGAATTAACAAAGTTGAATTAACCACAATGCTGGATACACTAGGTTCGACGCTCAAGGAGTCAACTATAGACGAGTTTTTCCACCGGTTTGCCGAGGGAAAATGGATCAGGAGAAGCTGCGGCCCTTACTTTTGACCAGGCCGTTATCTGTTTGGAAGACACCCTTCAATCGCTACAGAGAAAGTCAATATCTGACAAACTGAGGCGGCTTGCGCCACGTCATTCGCCTGGGGGAAGCCCCAGGGAGTGAGAATCATTCGGGTAATGAAGATATTGTACCTGAAATTAGCCTTTCCCTGCCTTCCAATGCTGACCCCGAATGGCCAGTTGTGCCCACTATTACACGTCATGAGCCCTCATCTTCAGGAGACAGCGAAGACAGTCTCCATCCGGATGACCTAGCCGACGACAGAGGTGAAGAACACGTAGTCGAAGTTCGACAGTGCCCTATTTGTCATCAGCCGCGACTAGGAAAGCGGTCGGATGCCGATATTATTACCCATATTGCGACCTGCGTCAGCCAGGATTGGAGACAGGTTGGTAACTTGGTTATGGGTGGCTTCGTAACTTCTAGCCAGGCACAGAGGAAATGGTATTCCAAGGTTATTACGAAGATCTCCTACGGTGGTTATAAGCTTGGTGCAAACTCTGCCAATATCTTGGTTCAAGACCGTATCACCGGACAGATTAACGAGGAGAGGATGAGTGTACATGTAAGACTTGGTATCCGATTGCTGTACAAAGGCTTGAAGAGCAGGGAAATGGAAACGAAACGAAGTGCGTATACACACCACAAAATCTACTTTTGCCTCTCTGGTATAATGACAGGGGGTTTTTTTTTCTCACGAAAATCATAGTTCGCAAAATGCTCAAGTCGTTGAGTATCAAACAAGGAAAGAAGTTTGATGACCCTGCGTCCGCAGCGCAAATCGTACCATTTATCAACTTCCACCAGCTGGACATGTCCGAAGTGCTACTTCCACTCAGTGAATTTAAGACATTCAACGAGTTTTTTTACCGCGCTTTGAAACCAGGTGCCCGTCCAGTCTCTGCGCCGAATAATCCTAAAATCGTCGTATCGCCGGCCGACTGCCGGTCTGTAGTCTTCGACCGTATCGACGAAGCAACCAAGATCTGGGTTAAGGGGAGGGAGTTCTCTGTTGAAAGACTGCTGGGTAAGGCGTACCCGGAAGAGGCGAAGCGGTACAAGAATGGCGCATTGGGGATCTTCAGGTTGGCTCCGCAGGATTACCATCGTTTCCACTTCCCTGTGGATGGTGTGATGGGGACACCCAAGACTATCGAAGGGGAATACTATACTGTTAACCCCATGGCTATCCGGTCTGCACTGGATGTGTACGGGGAGAACGTAAGGATAGTTGTTCCTGTCGATTCCGTCGAGCATGGTCGTGTTATGATCATTTGTGTTGGGGCGATGATGGTTGGGAGCACTGTCATTACGCGACAGGCTGGAGAGAAGGTGGCGCGTGGAGAAGAGTTGGGATATTTTAAATTTGGTGGCAGTACTCTGTTGGTTTTGTTTGAGCCGGGGAGGATGTGCTATGACTCGGATCTTGTGGGTAATTCCTTGGGTGCGTTGGAGACTTTGGTAAGTTTTTGTGAACCTTTTTTCCAGATATCCTCACGTATTTTTGTCCCCCACACAAGATGATGTTTTCCCTATCCCTTATCTCTACCTAACTTCCCACTTCATTAGGTTCGTGTTGGCATGTCGATTGGTCACCACCCTGACGCCGCAGAATATACTCCTGACATGCGCAAGAGTGAGGAAAACATTACTCAACATGATCGGGAAGAGGCGATGCGCAGGATCGAAGGGAGTTTGAACTCCCCCACCCCCGGACAACCCATGCGCCCTGTGCCCCTACTTAGCTGATTGGGCTTCGAGACGGCGGATGAGGACCAGAAGTCGTATTTAGAAGTATGCATTTGGGTAGCATCTATGAAGGTTGGTTTTTTTCGAGATTGGCGTTGCGGGATTTTCTTGTTAAAAGAAAATTCAAATAAAGGGGGAGGTTTGGGTGATAAGAGGGAATGGGAATATACATATCCCCTTCACATATGAGATGAGGTGATGATGGTAGTAATAACATTATTAATTAGCCTTTAGTCTATGATTTCTTGGGATTTTAATTGTACCTTTTTGTTCTATGTAATTGAATTACTCTTTATGTATATATACATATATATATATTGTTTAATATTCAGGCTGCCATGTTGCAGCAAAGCAGCCATAAGGCTGACCAGCTATCCTTCAGTTTAGAGTCAGAAAATTCAGCACAGTTTGGAATACTTATATAAGATATAAGAATTACCTTCTATCCTCCTATCCCTACCCCTAACTTCGATGTTTTCCATCCCATGAGAAAGTTCCAACTTCCATGTAATAAATGTTAAATCACGTGACTTCATTAAAACAACGCTAGCCTTAATAAGCCTAGTAGCCATCTTATATAATCAACCTGTCCGAACGACGCGCCAAGACCAAAACAATTCCCGCTTCTTCGTTTCGATTTCGGATTGCGGACTACGGAACAACCAGCATACGGATCAATGAGCCGATGAACGCATGAACCGAATGAACCAGAGGACCCGAAAGATTCCCGTTTGAACGCACGATTGGCTCCCCGGTTTGGCTGGTTGAGCGGTTGCTGCCACGTATTCGCACACGCGAGAGAGAAGAAACAAAAGAGCATCGGAGAGGAGAAGAGGGCAACGGAAGTGGAGTATACAAAGGACAGGTACGGACAACGCTGGCAAATCCGCTCTTCTTGATAGCCGTTGTCCTATCTGGCTGGCTGGGGATCGAACGGTGTTTGGTTTTGTTAAAACGCCTCGCGGGGGAAATGTTGCGAGACGTGCTTGGTGCGGCTAAAAGCAGTTTCGGATAACGCATTGTTTGTTTTCTTCTTTCAACGTCTTATCGGGTTATTGAGCCCCAGGGTGATTCGGGGCTGAACTGGTTACAAGTGGATACGGGTTTCCTAGAGCCTTCGGCCTGGAGCAAATACGATTGCGATTGCGTTTACGTTTACGATCCGTCACCGTTGCCAAACGCGCGTGTTTACCCTCTGGCTCCCTGGTGGCTGTTGAATTGAACCACACGAAAAGGCGAGGAGGTAATACCGCTACTGATATCCGTCGCATCTCATTACATATCCTTGTATTATTCCGTCCGTTCCTCCCGAGATCAGTTGGATTTTTTAGGTCACCTGAAGCCAAATCCTGTCGCAAAACTCCCTCCACGCCCATTTTTCATCCGAGTATATCAATCTTTCTTGTTTTGCCGCGGACGAAAAGCGACCATTCACTTAAACCTGACAGCGAGCACGAGCAACACTATCCCACCTCAAGCGTGTGGATCGATAACTGGTCATGACAGCCGTGCTAGCATCAACGGCGACCACGATTAGTACAAGAAGGACATCCCATTATATCATAGACTTTGGCGATAGAAGAGATAGCGGATACGAACACGGGACGACGCGAAGTCGCGCTCCGCTGATGACTATTGATCCGGTGATGTCGCAGGCGCGAGGGCGAATGCCAAATGGGAACGCCACGAAGAGGAACGTGAAGGGGAATGATGGATATGCAGGTGAGGGTGTGAATGGGTGGAGTGGGAAGAGGAAGGCTGGTGAGTGTTTTCTTTTTTATTGTTAAAGGCGGGAGGAGAGGGTGAGAAAGCGTTTGATGGGCTGCTTCATGATGGGTGGGACATTCTGCGCCGGTTGGGGTAGGTCTCTGGGTCTATTATGGAATCCCCATTGCTGATTCTTGATTTTCATTTTCTACCACAGCTGAATATGACGAGGATGTTGAAGGATTCCAATTCACTCGCGCGGCTACTACGAAGAAACCTAAACCAACTACCCTTGACGAGAATACAGTTCCACAACCGCCAATGGATAACGATACACGGCGCCAACCGATCAGAAAACCTAAGGGGAAGGGAAGACCTCCAAAGGCAGCAGAGGCGCCGCGTGCGGTCTCAGTCGAAACCTCCAATGGAAAACTGCCCATCCGATCGCAGCAACAGACGTCCAAACGTCTGGCGGGGGAGGAACAGATGACAACAATAACAGACCAGTCATCGAAATCCAGACGGAGATCGAATACTGCGGAACCGGCCCCGGTGACCATGCCAAAGAAGCGGCGAACGAGTCAGCCGAAAGACTCCCAAAAGGCCCCTCAAAGATGGGATGGAGAACAAGATGGTAATACCCCCCAAACCAACACAACACATACGCAGAAGATTGCGCTTCCATTTGCGGATACACCTGTCATTCGAAGGAATAAGGAAATGCGGATGGAGAAGAGGCAGAAGGGGCAGAGGCGGAGTAGTCTTGGACTGAGGGGAAGGAGGGCGAGTTCCTTAATCGAATCGGGCGCATCGAATGGTGGGTTTTTTTTCTCGGGGTTTCCCCCTCACCCCCCCCGGGTGCTGCGGGGCGTATTTATTTTCCTGGTCAAGGACGCTAATGTTGTTTTGTTTGATATTCTGATAGCCTTACCCCACGACGAGGTCGATACGGCGCATTTCTATAAACACATTGAGAGTGAGGGATTGTCGGAGCCCAGGCGAATGCGACAATTGCTTACATGGTGCGCGACTCGGGCACTAGGGGAAAAGCTGTCTGGATCTCGATCCGGGGATGAAAGCGCGAGGTTGGCTGGTATGTTTTTTGAGACAAGAAAAGAAGGATCATATTTGGATGCTGCACACGGCTACCTTTGAACGATGCTAACTTCTTTTTATCAAACTTCTATACAGCTCGAGTAATACAAGAGGAACTTCTCAAAGATTTCGCGAATCGATCAGAGCTTTCGGATTGGTTTAGGCGGGAAGAAACTGCCCTCCCTGCGGTGGTGGTTAAGAAACCGAATCCGAGAAATATACAGAATGCCGACAAGATTAAAGAGTTGGAGGAGCAGATAAACAAGTATGTAGTTCAGTTCGCACTGGAACATACGTACGCAAGGTGAAATACTAATGACATTTTTCCATACGGCAGACTCCAGATAGAACGACAAACTCTCACATCTCTCCTGCGACCACCATCAATCCCACGAATAAGACCCCCCTCTACTCCAACCTCCAATGAATCCTCTGAAATCCAGCAACCATCCACATCAACCTCATCATTGTCATCGATCTCGGATACCCACCTTAATACTCCTTTAGAACAGGAACTAATAAATTCCTCCCTTCTCGACCCATCACAAAAAGCAATCCTTGCCGCTCTTAATATTCCCACATCCACCTCTACCTCTACCGACAAATCCACAACAACTATGCAAACAGACACTTCATCCACCTCAATATCCGCTATAACATCCACTCTCTCCCGTCTAACAACCTCTCTCGTCCCAACCCTAGACTCCTTCGCGTCGGGTATGTACGATATAGAGCTCTACCGCCGCGCAGCAGATATTGTGGCAGGACAAGTTCTCACGATCTGCGCCCGTCGGTTAGAGGAGCGTGATCAGTTGAGACCAGGCCGAGGTAATAGGGATGAATTGGGGGATAATATTAATAGTAATCGATCTATGAGGACTAGAAGGAAGAAGGGGAAGCAGAAAGGTAGGGATGTGGGCGAGATGGAAGAAGAAGGGGGTGAGGAAGAAGGGGTTAGTGGAGGTGGGAGTGGAGATGGAAAGGCAGGCTCAAGAATTGAGAAAGAGGATTTGGTGGTTGTGTTGGCGGCGTTAAGCAGGATGGAGAGTAAGTAGTTTAAGGGGAGGTTTAATGACAATGGTTATATCGGACCACGGCACCAACTGCCAAGCCCGAGCAGCCCTATTATACCGTCAGCAGGCGGTATTGTTCTCATTCCTCCAATCGAGTACATTGAGCAATGGATATTGAAGATGGCTTTGAATGGCGTGGTCGATAAGAGTTGATGGCGTGTGAGTGATGTATATACCTAGCAGGAGAGTACTTTTGTTCTATGATGCTGTCACCTGGCGCATATGGCCTCCCCCTTGCTTCGAGTGGCCACTTTTAATGATTATGTAAAATTTGGTTTGCTTTGTCCTTTTCATCTTTTGCATGAATGTTGGTGTTTTGGGTGGGTTTAAGGACCTCAAGGATACTATGTCTTTTACAATGAGAACGATTATTTCCCCCTCTTTTTCATATCCGTACTTGTAATTTTGAGGTTCTTTATTTGTTTAAATGTAAGTAGGATGCGGATGTAGGGTATAGCACATCAAATTACCTGTCATCAGACTTAACTAGGAGTGGACACCTCAGTGCTTTATATTCAATTTCAATAACCTGCACCGGGAAAAATGATAATTAGAGATAAAAATAAAAGTGTCCCATAATATACGCAGCTAGTTCACCAAACTATTCCCGGAAAAGTCGCACCGCTGCTCGAAGATCTCCGAGAGCAATAGAAAAGGAACCAAAATGAAAAGGAACGAAGTGAAAATGGATTTAATCAACTCTCCTCTCCTCCCGACCCCAAACCTCCTCCATGGTAGATTTCCCCTTCGTCTCCGGAACCCACCATGCTAGAAATGAGCCCAGCACTACTGCCAAGGCAGTAAATAACCAATAAACCCGCCCCTTCCCTCCCATCGCCTCATTAAGAGCGGGGAAAAACTGAGCAACGACAAACGTAGCGGTCCAGTTGGCAGCTAAAGCCCAGCTCTGTGTTGCACCCACTGCCTCAGGGCCGACGAGTTCTGAGGCAAGAATAAATGGGACAGGCCCGAGACCGACGGCGAAACTTGCTACAAAGAGCAGTGTTGCGGTGGCGGAGAGGACTTGGAAGTTAAATGCAATCCCCAGTGCCAGGAGCATGGAGTTAAGGCCCATGCCTGTGATGCTGAGTAAGAGGCATGGTTTGCGACCCAGTTTGTCTGCTAGTGGCGCGCAGAGGAGGGTTACTATGACATTAAGAGCGGAGACTATGACGGCAAGGATTGCGGCGGTGGTGGGGAGGATGTTGGAGAGAAGCGAGACGCTGTACATGATTATGCTGTTTATTCCTGTGAACTGTTGAGTGATCATGACGGCGATGACGGCGATTATGGCTGGGCGGTACGTAGGATTTCTGACTGCCCCTAACATGGAAACTGGGGGACGCTTTGGGGTAAGATTGCCCGGCGGCGGAGTGAGGAGGGATTCTTGCTCTGAGGTTCCGTCACTGGTCCCGCCAGGTGATATTCTCCAGGCTTTGACTTCTGGTTCGATATTTGCATTTTTCCCACGGATACGCTGAAGGATGCGCCGGGCATGGCCAGCCCGTTGGTGCTCCGCCAACCAGGCGGGACTCTCAGGAACAAAAAGCAGACCCAAGAGTTGCAGTGCTCCAATAGCACCGGCAATTGCAAGAATGAAACGCCATAGACTGCCCCTGCTCAGGAAGTAACCCAGAGTCTGGGATAATAATATTCCAACATTTGCCATTACTTGTGTAAAAGCGCCGAAAAATCCCTTCTGTTCGGGATGTACAACTTCCGCTATATATATCGGGCCAACTACGATTACGGCTCCTGCTCCAATGCCAGAGATCAGCCGCCCAACGCTTAGATATTCCATTGAATGAGCAAGGGCTTCAATGAGGGGGCCAAGAATAAAGAATATCGTTGTAGCCCGGATAGTTAGCAGGCGACCGTATTTGGTCGCAAAGGGACCGGAGACGAGGGCTCCCAAGAGGCCACCCAACGTGTAACTCGAAGAAACGACGCCAAATTGAAATGCATTCATTGGGATACATTGTGGTAGTTTCGAAGGACCGATTTGACCCGTAGATGTAATACTTTTCTTCTCACATGTTATGACATCTTGAGGGGCATTGAGCTCAGCCTGGATTGATGAGACGAGGGTTGGTTAGTTGCTATAGGACAATAACATTTCAGGACATGAAGACGTTTCCACATAGCAAGTATTTCCTCACCAGATGATAGCCAAACTGAAGGGGTCCCAGTGTAGTGACGAAGATGAGGAACACTAGATAAGGCGTCACACTCGTTCGGGGTGTTGACGTCGTAAGCGTCATTGCTGCGGCTTTGATTACGCCCAGTCGGCCGTGGGGAACGATATAAACGAGGTTGACTGCATTCAATTCGATTGGATTTTACTCAGGAGCCCCGGTGTGTTCTCCTTATCCTGTCTGCGGAGAAGCTACCATGTCATCGTTCAAGAGGTTTTGAGGTTGAATGAGTTGAGTTGACATCCCGCTGTGACGCCCACGTCCAGCTTATTTATATGCTTTAACTTCTTATTTATCTAGTGTGCTTGGCATGCATTTTTATAGTTATATTTAATAACCAAAAGGTAAATACTGAACCTCAAGAGGCAAATATCCATTGCACATTTTTCCATTGGTTCAATGAAAAGGATGAGATACCTCGATGATACTAAATTCCTAATGGCTTTAGCCACAGGTCGATGGTTCAAACAGCATTCTGTAGGAATTTGGGGCAATATAGCCCTCATCACGCTGACAGACGTTAAATTCGACTTTTAACGGCTCTGGGATTCACACCTTGTTCCCTTTGCAAGCTCTCGCAGCCTCTCCCAGATTATCCAATCACTGCCATGGAGATTAGTTAGATTTGCCAATGAAGCGTGAACCGGGGACGGTTGGTCGGAAGGATCCAGAAGTTACTCAGTGGCAGCGGTTCGGACAAGTCGTCCACGACTTCGTCATTCACTTTGGATAGTTAGATATAACTATTTAACTACGTAGATATCTCATTCACAAGGTGTCTTTGAAACACCCGAATCATGGTCCCCCAGACAGGACACAAATCTTGATAATGAGATGGTAGGAGTAGAGGAAATATAATGCCCGCCAACCAAAGTTTCAAGTCGAAATTTGCCTCGTTCAGCTCCTCAAGGATCAACCGCAACGATGAAGGTAGCTCGTTCCATGGGGCAGTCTTTGGCTTATTTCCATCCGTATACTGTAATAAGCAAAGTTTGAAACCGTCTGCGGGTTTCTGGACATTGCAACAACGTTCCCGGTGGAGCAGCTTTCAGAGCGGGGCATTGGACTTGAGAAAGTTTGCAGGAGTATCCAGTTATTTATGCTGGTCTGAGTTCCGGTTGGGCCTCAAAGTCCAACCCCAATAATCTCAGTTAGCATTCGGGGATCCATAAGTGACCCGTAAAAGAAATAAGGGACAGTTGGTGCAACAAAGTGGCCCCCCATGGGCGGAGGTCGATTGGGAGCTTGGTAGAACCACCACGGTGGAGCATCCTTTACTTTCAACTTGAAAAGGGGGATATTTTTGGAGTTTGCTGCATCTTGTGAACCCGTTCGAGGAGGGTGGTACGTCGTCGTCGAACATAGCCACAGCGCATTTATCTCTCTCATGAAGCGTCAACTTATCATCTAAATGAAGCATTGAGTCAACCTATCCGAACTTGAGAAAACCAATGCCAGACAGGCCAAGATGTTTTGTACTTTTAGTTATTCGTAATAGAAGCATGCGTCATGTCATGTCATTCTTCTATTCGGTTCATGTTATACGGCGGAACCATATTCATTTTTGCTACACCAAGCTCATAAATAAATATAAAATTATCAGAGGGTTACTTCAATTATGCAACTTTTTTTGTTATCTAGTGTGCATAAGATAACCCATTGTTCGTACCTCCTGTAGATAAATCTATTTCAATGGGGAGGTGTCTGTAGATGCCGAATCGCGCTCGAGGCAGAGCCGTGTGAGATAGCGCCCTCCTCCATGAAGCAAACCTTGCAGTTAGGAAACTTGCCACGTTGAAGAACCAACAGAAAGGCACTCCTCCCAAAGGCAGAGTTGCAGGACAAAAAGACATTAGATGCATGCCAGGATCAAAGGGGACCAAGGTATTAAAAGTTATTCCTGCATGTTTCAGCAAAGGTCTCATCTTCACCCACGACAATTTTATATGAAAGTTTCGCATACGTCTCTGCCTGTACTCTCAGGTCAGATGCCACCGAGTAGGCATTAGTCTGGGTTATTCCAGCAGTCAACGGCACAGTTCATCATCAATCCCCAATTCTTGACCACCACAAGCGTATCAGAAGAGCGTGGTGGTCTCCCGGCTCTCGATCACATAGCCCAACGATTCAAGCGCTTTTAGCGCTTTGTCTGTCTATACCCTTGACATGTTCTTTCTGCTCTAGATATATTTGTGCGAGCCCCTGCAACGGGTTCCAAGGCCCCTAACAAGGTCTCGTAGGGAACGAAAACTCTTTCTGAACTGCATCTAGGAGGTCATCTCTGGTTTCCAGAAGGCCCTCCTTCGCGGGCTCTTGGTTTGTCTTTGCAAATAGTAGACTCACAGTTAAAGATCAAGTGCCCCTGTTTTGATGTTCCTCATAACCAACCATAGGAACCTGGAACCAGTATGCGATTTCGGCATCCGGTGGATTGTCTCTGGTAGCACGGACGATCATCATATCACCGATGAAAACACGTCTTGTGTTACTGTTGCAACTGTGGTTGACATAAGATCCAGATCTCCCTTCTGCTCCCTCCCTTCAGTCCGGGATTTCATAAGATTTTCGCAAGGAGAGCGAGGATAACTAAAAGCTGTTTAAAGATATAACACGCTCCACCAAGAATCTGGCAGATAAAAACATTTTAACTCCTCGATGTCTAGAACCTTATGGATGGAAACCTGTGATTCCCTGCGTGTCAACCACCGGTGCACCACTCAGATCCGATGTGTCAACGGTCTTGTATGAACCGTGATGCAAGCCAGCGATGACTGAGGCTAGAGAAGGGTTCCGGTACACTTTCTGGGCAGTCATCGTGAGAAGTTTTGTTTGAGTCCCATGGGTTATAACCTTGGTTTGCGTGTTTATCAGAAAGGAAACATCTTGATTGTAACTTTCTTCGTCTGTATCTGCAAAGGCATATGTAGAGGCCTTTTTCGCACCAAAGAAGATTACCAGCATTGACTGCTTCGTTGTGAATCGCCCACGTCCTCGAGGACCCCAACTTTTCACAGTCACGGGCCCAACATAGATGGAATGATCCAAATGCGGCGGGAGATGATTCTTCGACTGCCTTTAAAGCTGCTGAACATCATATCTGCCTCTTGGCCGCTCCGAAAGTCGTAGAATAGCTTGCATAAGTCCGCTTTGAGTTTTCTTGTTGTTGGCATATTCCAGACAAAGGGATTTGAGAGCTTCGCAGCATTCTCGATACCTCTATATGCTTGGGCTCTGCGGTGAAATAGTTTCTCATTTGACTTCTCAGAGTTTTCATACAGCTTCGGTATCGAAGAGGGCAGCTTCAAATTGCTCAGTCTCCAGAAAGGTAAGTGAACGGTTAAGTCTGAGTGTGAAAACTTTATACGGCTGAAGGAAAGGTGTTCAACGTTTTGGTATAGTTATCTTGGCTTTAAGTTCTATATTTCATTGAAATTATTCACAGGAGACTTATCAGTGAATAACAGCGTAATATTGGCAGTTGCTGAAGTGTTCATTTTCCTTCCAACTTCCATGATTCAGCTGAGGCCATAATAGGCCTGTGGGCAATGATATTGGCAGAAAGGATATCAAATAGATTCATATCCTGTCAACGCAGTTTTTTGTCTGTTCTCTAAGTTTAGAAAGTTAGTTACCTACCCTGTTAATCACATTAATGGATTAACTCTCTCATAACACCAGCCCGCCTCGTTTAGAGAATTAGTTCGTTTGATATCCGCGGAATCAATTCTGCGTAGATTCCCCTCCTCGAAGCACCACTCTCCATGGTACTCTGCACATGTTCAATATATATATGACGTCTTTTTCAGGGTTTTTAGAAGCACAGATAAGTTCTGCATTTCGAAGATATTAACACTTCTTTCTTCAGGGTAGTCCTCTTTGAGGTGCTGTGAAAAATCTCGAGTGCTGGGTCAGTTTCTGTCAAGGTTAGAAAATCAAACAACAACCTTTCTCCATAACGCTGCCAGCGAGATAGTGACCTCATTTCGTCGAGCACAGCAAAAGAAGAAAAAGCACGGGCTGATGACGCGTCTCAGGATGGTAGCTATGTCGTCGCGTGAGAGTGAGAATAGTAAGTTACTCCATATCTATTCTGTATGTCTCTATGGACTACGGCCACTGTTCGAGTGGGTAGACATGGAGTTGATGAACATCTTGGGAAAAGTGTAGGGCGGTGGGCACAGATCACAAAATCGTTATTTGAATGAGAGTGCGTTCCGGGTACTAACTAACTAACTAAATAAACTAACTACATATTTAGGCAACTGGTTAACTTGATGCGCCACTCATCTAAGTCCAATTAGCGTTTGCCGGTGACATCTGTCGACCCTTGAGTCTTGACTCCTGAAGCATCCAACTGCGCGCTGTCTGCATGTTGCTCAAGTTCAGCAGAAATGGCAGGACTACAAAAGCCTTGAGCTGCTTGCTCTCAGAGGGTTTCAAACGAAATGCAAGGCCTCAACAGGCAGCGAATTTACTACGCCCGAGTTACCTTCTCTTTTCTCCGGATATATCCTTTTTACGCCGTCCTTCGCTTCTCGTCAAACGCGTAGTATGCTGGTTATCAGTTAACTATCAGATTAGCTCTAACTCCTGGTCTGATCCTATGGATACCAATGAGGCTTCTTCCTGTCTGGTTGAGCAACTTGCCGTCGATCCAGAGAGGCAGAGTAGTAGCCCGGCATGTCCCAATGATGGCGACGAAAAAGAATCTGTCTTCAAAGGTCTAGGAATACTGGATCGTTTCCTTGCGGTATGGATTTTCCTTGCCATGGCGATTGGCATCATTCTGGCGAACTTCGTCCCCAATGCTGGTCCTGCGTTGCAAGAAGGAACATTTGTCAGAGTCTCAGTGCCCATTGGTAGGCGTCCTCTCTCCCGCCAAAAGTTTACCTTCATGCTAATTTATATCCTCAATAGCTGTTGGTCTTCTCTTGATGATGTACCCTGTCCTCTGCAAGGTCCAGTATGAGACTCTGCATCGTCTTTTAAGAACCCGTCGGCTTTGGATTCAAATCGCATTTAGCATCCTTTTGAATTGGATTATTTCTCCCTTCTTCATGGTATGTCACTCATATCATATTGAACCAGAAACTGGACACTGCCCTGATTTGGATGCACATAGCTGGCATTAGCCTGGGCTTTCTTACCCGATGAGCCAGAGCTGCGTCAGGGGCTGATCCTGGTAGGAATAGCACGATGTATCGCCATGGTAAGTTGGCTTGGGACACACTTGGATATCAATCCATCATTTCATGGTCCTCTAATGCATATGCCTCATAGGTCTTAATTTGGACAGGCTTAGCAGGCGGGGATGGAGACTATTGTGCAATATTGGTGGCGGTCAATTCGCTTCTTCAAATGGTTCTTTTTGCACCGCTGGGAGTGTTTTTCATCCAAGTTATCAGTGGTGACACTGTCAGTTTCGAATACGCGATGGCTGCCAAAAGCGTCGCGGTATTTCTTGGAATCCCTTTGGGTGCCGCTATTCTTACACGATTTACAGTTCGGGGGTTGGCAAGCGAGCGGTGGTATGATCAAGTATTTCTGAAGTGGATCGGTCCATGGTCTTTAATCGGCCTCTTGTTCACAATCCTAGTCCTGTTTGCCTCCCAAGGCCGCCAGGTGGTTCACCAAATTGTCTCCGTTGTTCGAGTTGCCGCGCCTCTCATCGTATACTTCATCATTATCTTTTTCGCTACTTTATTTATCTGCTACAGGCTAGGATTCGGCTACAAACTGGCGACAACTCAAAGTTTTACCGCTGCTAGCAATAACTTCGAGCTGGCTATTGCTGCTGCCATTGCGACATTCGGGGCGAATAGTGACCAGGCTCTTGCCGCTACTGTTGGACCCCTAATTGAGGTTCCGGCCCTGCTTGGCCTTGTCTATGCCGTTAAGCTTGTGGCGAAACGCTTGGGATGGAAGGATTAGAAACATGGGAAACATTCAGGTGACTATGCTTCAACATGCTAATATACACCGGGATAAAGGAATGAAAGACCCGTATGTATAGAAAGGTGCACTATATTCCAATATATATATAAATCTAAATTTCTCTTCAGTTTCATGAACGTTCTTCTCAAGGAGTTGAACCTTCATATATTAAATATTGTTTTTATTAAAGTGAGGGCGTAACAACCTCAATCTGTTGTGGAAGTCTTCCTGATCTCATCTATCTTTCCTCGGTCTGTAAATTAGTTACACTGTAAAGCATAGTTACTATGCGTAAATTTTCTCTCAATTATATAACAATTTTATATGCATGGGATTATTATTTAGTTTTCATGATAATCCGGAGTTGAAGGTCAACATCACGATCATAGACAGCATATATATGAACAGAAAATAGAAAATATAATAAAAACATACGACAGCCGGGATTCGCTGGTGGTCACCCACCCAACTACTAACCGGCCGGCGAGTGGCTTAAGTACGGCTGAGCGGACGGGAAGCCCTGTTTTCCACTCCCTGTGGTCGTATGTGCTGGGTTACACCTCGAACCGGATTAAACCTGAGGTAATGACGAAAAACTTAATTGAATGGAGGCATCTAGAAAGCTGTTCCGGAAATAATAGAGATGTGGGTAGTTAACCGCTAACTGGACATGCCATGAGCTAAGCCACAGTGCGCCCAGTTTATTGCGGGACCCTTGGATCACCAGAGGGTTTGAAGTAATACACAGTAAGATATGTATGCATATGCTTTTCAGTTGCTTATGCTAAGTACAGAGGTCCCTTTCAAAAGTTTCTTCCTGCCAAGGCGCCATATAACACCATAAAACCTTAATTCTGCAGAATCTTGCTAATCATTAATATATGAAAAAACACACACTTTGATATAACTCATTCTGAAAGGATTCAATATTTCTGTTATTACAATATGGATAATTCTGAGGACTGCTGGATTTCAGAAGACAAAGTCAACATAAAAATCTGAATTAACTAAGAAAATGAGACGGCAACAGCTTTAATTCTGTCTTGAACATAAAGATTGAACTCTTGAAGATTGGATATTGGTTATTTGATCTGATGAAACCTCCATTATTCTTCTTAATTGATGTGGTGGATATCAAATATGGTGAATCAAAGAGAAGGTCTTTGTACAAAGCTGTATTTGAGAACAGTGGAAGAGCTCTTCTAAGTTCATGTTGTGAAGGTGTTTCTTTTATGATAAGAAAGAGTCCTATCATTGCTGGCTTTCTGAGACTGCTTCAGAAAAGACTGAATCTCTAAAGATTATTGATGTCTTAAATGAGGAATTGAAGCTAGTTATGAAAGAGAAATGAGAAATAGAGAATGGGATAAGATGGCTTAATCTTCATCAACTACATGACACAAAATTTACATAAAAATGAAAACAGAAAACAGGCAAGCTTTCCTGTGGCAGTGGTGATGATATAGATTGATATTGATATCAAATCAAAATCCTCATTCTGAACCTCTTTCTCTTTGCTAAAGAGTGTGAAAAGAACACCCAGGCACAATTGTTCAAAGAGGATAAAGCTCCTTCTCATGATCATTATATTCAATGTCTGTTGAATGCTTTGGTGTGGTAATTCCTCTGATCTTAACTCAATTGAACCCTGCTGGTCATGGATGAAGTGAAGAACTATCTGTAAGAGGCCACCAAAGAGTCAGGCAGAAGCTATTATGATATGGGAGCAGTGCTGGAAGAATCTGTCTCAGAAGGCAATACAGGCATGGATTGAGCAGATTCCTATTCATATTCAAAAGATTATAGAGCTAGAAGGAGGCAATGAATATAAAGAGGGCCATGGATAAAATGGGTGTAATATTCTACATTAACTTTGATGGTGTTTTTACTGTATTTAGTGGCAGGAAGAAACTTTTGAAAGGGACCTCCGTATATATGCGTATCTACACTATAAAAGTGATACAACGTATAAATTTCTGGTCTTATTATCTCAGCTCTCGGCTCGGGCCGCATCCAGACACCGCTGGAAGTTTAAGTAAACTTAGTTAAAACCTTTGTGAACCGATCTCCGGGAAGGACAGTGAACTTCCACACAAGAGTATTTATCGGAACATGAAATCGAACATAGAAGAAAACAATCGATATACTTTCAGTTACCTTTTTTCTTTTTTTGCCCCGTCCGTTCAGTATTTCCATGTGTGCAACGGCTTCAGGCCAAGTGTTCTTCTACCTGTCAGCTTCGGAGTCGGTTTCTTTATAGGAAAGAGGACGCTTGATTCTGCGGAACTGGAACTACCAGTTAACTAGTTACATACTAAATGTTATCGTAGGAATGGAACACTCATCAAGCAAGAAACGGTCTACATGTTCCCGGGCGTCCAGAGGCATTGGTTTTGCTTTTGCTTGGAGTGTTTTTTGCATCGTGTTTAAGAGAAAATTGAATCGCGTATTAAGGGGGCTGATGGTACTTCATCCAGATGATCAGGCTTACATCTTCATTAGCAACTGATAATAACAACTCAAAATAACGTGCCGTCGCTTTTGATGAGAATTGGACTCGACTTTGTCGGGCGACGTTGCGCCGCAACTTCACGGCCTGACTTCCACGTTCCGGCTTCGAGCAGCTGCGCCATAGTTAAATGCACCCCGTCCATCCGAGATAGAATCATACCGTACAGCCTGTCGATCAGCACCAATGTCATGGCCCTCCACTCAACAATGACATCATCCCCCGCTTCGAAAAGCGGCAGTTCGCAGCCGGACGCTTTCAGCCCTCTCTCGAGGGCCTCCTTCTTAAGAGACAATACCCCTAGGTCAACGAAGAGGCCACCGTTGCGGTATTCGGCCAAGGCGGTCAGTGATTCCGTGTTGGTCCACTTCAGGCCTAGAATTCTCTGGAATGGAACCATAAGCGAGTAAGCGAGCCACTGTGTAAGCTTGTGGAAGGGCTGAATGCATTTTGGGCTGCTCTCAGTACTAGGATCTGGTTTCGCCATTTGTTGCTGCAAAACATGCAAAGGCCATGCATCGCCAATAGGATGCCCATTAATTGACGTTCGGTGGTGTTTGGGCCAGATGGGAATGAGGAGAGTTTGGAGAACGTCCCAGAATACGAGAATATCGAGTTCCGACGACGCGCCAGCAGATTGCACCATATGATCTACGGACATCCTTAAACTATTGTCCTCCTCCATGGGAAAATGATAATTGGGTTAGAGGTGGGGTGCGCTTACCGACAAGATTGCCTGGGCGGCCTTGATCCCCAAAGATATCATGATGGGAGAGTAAGGAATTTCCTAGTTCCCTCAGAAGAGCAGCACGGGAGTCAATCCCCAACATCGTGTTGCTTCCCGAAACTTGAAACCCTTCCGCCAGCGCATCAGAGCTGAGCTGTTTCAGTCCCCTCCCTGGACAACCATTTTCGAATTAGCATGTAAACCTGTTAGATACGGTCATCAGTAATTTACCGTCAACCAGAGGTGCTTTTCCATTTTTCTCCGCTGTGAAAACCAGCGAGTTGAACATATGCAAGGAAGCAACCGCAATTCCTTCACTCCGTTCGTACGTCCGGCCGGTCCCTGGCTCAACATATCGCCACTCATCACCGGCCCCAGCATCCAGGAGCACAGAAACGAAAAACAAGTCAATTAGGCACCTGGTAATTTCTACATTGTCGCAATTGTTCTTCTTCCAATCTTCCATCAGGTTTGCAAGGCGAGGTACATTGCCAACCTCGAAATGCTGCCAACGGCCATGTGGGGGAATTGTGTCGAATTTGTCAGGGCCAAAATCCCGCTGGCGAAGATTGTCAGATTCCTCGCAATCTGTGCGTTAGACGGGAGCAGTTGATTAATGCTGAACATACTTTGATGACGGAACTGACGAAGTCCGCAACTTTCTCTAAGCGCTCTTCTTGCAAATTGAAATGGTTTAACTTCCCGGCCCGTGCTAAATCCTCTACAAGCTTTGTTCGTTCCCGAATAGCGCGGAGCGATAGGAGGTATTTGACTTCCGGATCCATTTTTGGCCTTATTATGTACGGTAATGAAATAATTTGGAATTTAGGGTAGCCATGTATTTAGTGAGGCGGGGCTTGATATCCTTTCGCAAGATACATGGACATGTATCATGGACGGAACCCATGATCACATGATGCAACCGAGTTCCATTGGTTGGCACCAGGTAAGGTTAATAATATTAATCCTGTCGGTTTCGGTCGGTGTAGAACAAAATGGAGTTGTCCGTTATTTTATTTGTCGAGACAGCAGAACGGACTAAATATACTTGCAAGGTCCACTCAATGTTTGCAACGCCCGTACCTTTCCCTACCACCTTTGGCCTATCAATCAAACTATCAATCAAAGTGTTCAGGGTCGCTGGCGCACTACTGGCCAAATGATGTCTGAGGTTTTGGGAGGACACTGACACCAAGTCTGGTGGTATCTAACTGAATCTCTGCATCAAGAATTTTACTTGTTGTTTAAGGAATCAAGATTATACCTGAAATGCTGTAAGAGTCTGATTCTTCTGGCAAGATACCGATGCATGTTATGTCCCTAATCTGGAGCAACAACGCAGGTAGCTCTGTGATACAATAGGGAGGATAAGGCCAAGGCCGTGCTTAATTTTGCCAGAGGTTAAATTACCTGTCAAAGTTCCCAAGTTTACGGAAACGAGTTGGCGGATAGCCAATATATATCCATCGTCGAAGATCATAAATGGACGCGCCATCTGGATAGTCCTTTTCCCCGCAAAATTGTCACCAGGCCGCCTACTGCCTATCCGGCGGTATGGATACGGGGGGATTATTATTTCCCAACAATCTGATTGAGAATTCCAGCCTAAGATCCCCATTGGGGGCTCGCAATGACCTGGGCAGTCCGTGCTCAGACCGCCAACGGATAGCAATAGTACAACGGATCAGAAATAGAGGAAGGTGGATGACTCTGGATAAGAACCAGCAGTCAGTATCCTGTACTTAATCTCGTTTTGTCGTTCATGAGTAGGTGGGATAGAGGGCGGATACTAAAAAGGTAAATTTACCCCAATGCCAACCCGAGGCTGAGCCCAATACCAGCCAACATGCGGGTTCTCTTTGAAATCTCGCCACAGCGGGGACCAGGTTGGCAAGGTTTAGAATTTAACAGCAGGCCTTGAATGTCGATGACGAAGGAGTAACCGCTCACAAAGACATCGATTGCAAGGTTGAGAAAGAGCCACATTGGGCGCTGACACAAATAGATATAGGCTAGGTTGAGAAAGCTAAAAAAAGCCGCGACAACGCTCTAGATAAGGGGTTTGTTCCAGTGGAGATGAGCGCTTCCGATCCGCACACACTGTTTCTCAACGAATGCGGAGGAAAGGAGTATGCTTACCAGTTCAATCATCATAATGCAACCTTCTTCTACTCTCCAGTCCAACTTATATTGGGAAGAGGGATACTGATTAATTATTACCGCGGCGACAGGGGGATAAAGGTCAGGACCGAGATGATGATGGACAGCCAGGTGAGGTGAAAAGTTCCACGGAAGGGCCTTCCCGGGGTCCGCCTGTAAGAATTAACATCATTTTGTTCGTTTGCAGTAGAAGCACCGGCGGAGGCGTCAATGAGAAGGGGAGTTGTCTCTGATCTCTCTGTCATCTTGGATCGGGAATAAAGTCAATCCAGAAGCTTTGTTGGTCAGGTCTGTGAGTCTGTTTGTTAAAATTTCCCTGAGATCCCCATTAACCAATGCCTTGAATCTTTAGATGGGGAAGTCACACGCAGGTTTCATTTAAGAGGCAGATGCATTGATGATGGCATTTCCAACTCAATTGGTTAAGGAGAAGGTAAATAAATGTGTGCGGAAGGTTGACTGACAGAGAGTAAGCGGGACGGATACTTATATAGTTGCTGCCTGTTTGTTGCGTCCATTTAATGATAGATAGGTGGTTTATTTATTTATAGCTCTAGCCGTTGCTTAGAGCCGTGTGTCGGCGGTAGTCATGTTTTGTGTCAAGCTTCTTTAATTATTAGTGATTAATTAGTGGATGGCTGTCATGTCACAACGGTCAGCTCTCAAAATGGGTGGACGGGAATTGATCAACAGAAAAAACTTCGGCGAGTTTATCAACCAAGCTGTAATAGTTGTAAAAAAATCACTCACCAGAGCGGCCCATTTTACGGTTGAGTCTTACACTGGGAAATTCATTTATTATTCTGACTGAGAGAAGGAAAAACAGTTCCCATAACCTTATAACATAGCTGCTGGAGCAGTCTTAGTGCTGTACAAGACGTGATCTTCACACAGCCCAAGAATCTCCAGTTCCGTGGATGATGGGGTACATAACAAGCATTCACCGTGAAGGGTAGATAGCTGCATTCAAAGTAGCAGTAAGCACCACACCGATCAGTTAAGGTCGAATAATCAAGAAGACCACAGTGCTAAGACCACAGTGCTGGGTGATGACGGGTAAGCCAACATTATGACGTATATTGAGCCAGAAAAGTGAGCGACAATGAATTTTGCCAGCATGCCAACGTAGTGATGAGTGAAGGCCGAGAAATAGATATTCGCGATGTAGCTACACTTATACCCACACTTGGAAAGGTTGAGAAGGGTGAACGGAAAAGCCGGAATGTTGGAAGTTCAGCTTTTCTGTTTTGTGGTGTTAGCTCGAGGTATATAGAGGGACATGCATCTTGAGAAAGTCCGAGACATTAGAGACATTGCTTTCGCGTTCTCCGAGTTTACCTGCTGCATTTTCTTTTCCTAAGATGAAGACTGAAGTACCCAGCATAGAAGCAGCCTTCATTCTTTTTGCAATTCGCCGAGTCGACCGCAGCTGGAGAAATTGTCTGGCAAACTCCGCTGGTGATAAACTCCCCCAATCAAGTCTGCTGATGGCGGACGAAATGTAGCCATTTGAGATGCCTCTCTTTAATGTGAGCCTTGAAAAGTCCAAATCCTAAATATCTGGATGGCATATATGACACTTGATCTCAGGTATGATCGTGGTATATTTATTGCTTGAACTGTGTGGTTATAGCCAAGGAGCCAAAATAGGCCGTCGGCTCACTTCAACGAGAAAGACAAGATGCTGTCCCCAGAGATACTCTACCGTTCCAAATATTTCGGATCTCCCATGAAACGAAATTGAATTAAAAAACGTATTCAGCCCATCCTTACTCAGTCTGTATGCTGTTGGCAAAAGGAACCAACCCAGCAATTGGGAAGATAAAAAGGGGGATCACATGACTAGGAGTCAAGCAGGCTTATCTAATCAGTGGAACGCCAACATCCGATCGAATCAGTCCAATCCTCGAATGTTCGCACCCTTGCAATGGCGAATCGAATATAACCAGGGATTCCAAGCCACCCAGTCTCATTGACAGAATCAGCACTAGGTAACGACATAACTAACTTGCGTCTGCTCGGATTAACTTAACTAACTAATTCACTTAGTAACTATAACGTTACTGTTGCTTGCTGGGGCTGACTAACTAACTATCATCATGAATGATATCCCCTCATAGCCACCGCGGGATTTTCCGTTGGATGTGAGACAGCCCGCCAGACTGCGCTAGACCTAGTTCTGGTCCACGAATGCTGGGAAGAGAAACGTCTTAACTAGTTAGTTAATTCGGGCCGGATGTCGTAAGATTGAGATCCGCGATGAGTCTCAGCAATCCGCCGCACTCCGCCAGCGGGAGCTCGATGTCAGATGCCGCTTCGACAAGATCCACGTTTGCTGGCGGTTTGAATAATAACGGAAATCAACCTGGTAATAACAGCAGCGGCCAGCATCGCCAAACCCGAAATCTAAAGAGGAGTGTTCAGGCAGCTTTTGACGGTAATTAAGTTCTCTCTTTTTACTTCATTTTCTTTCTCTGGTTGGCCCCAGAGCGCGCTTATTGCCTTTCCTCTTTTTAGTCTCCACTTTCCATCCATGCTATTTTGTCTTCGTTGGCTCGGTTGTGCAGACAAAACCATGGCTTTTCAGCGGAATCAGCCCCGCCCCAGCTCTTTGGTTTACCGTTTTAGCTGAAACTTAATGAATTTTCTTTCCGCTGTAACACAGCTGGGAAAATCAATGCTGCATTCTACATTTGGGCACCAAAACGTATAATCGCACACATTTTATTCTGTCCCCCTTTACGTATCGTCCACACTACGTATCATTGCACTGCATCTCTCGATTTTGATGTGGATTCCGATAACTACCAAATTATACTTGCTTTCAGCACTATAAATCTTATCTTGCATCATGTCAAAGCGCCGCATTCACGAGTTGAACTCTTTGAGAGTGAGCCTTCTGCGAGGTAATTCCCTAACTCCGAACCGAGCCTGGGTTTATTTACCCTTCCACTTGACCTTGGTTTTGACCTTGGTTTCAAGTTTATCTTTTAACTTCGCAAAATGTGTCTTTTCGGATACTGAAGCTATCAACCCCCTTCGATCCACTATCTCCTCTTTAACCCCCCGTCCTTGATATAAACTTTTTCAACCCGTCAAAGCTGCACCGCAGAATTTCCCATTTTTTGATATCAAATTGTTTTGACGCTTGGATTTCCATCTTTCTTTCCTTTTTCTCTGCACACGCATAACATTATCTGTAACTGACTAGGATTACTTTTGTAGATACCCTGGAACCGAAAAAGTCTCCCGGGTGCGGATATACCAGCAAAGTTCATATTCGAGAGAAATATCACATTGTCGGATTTATTAGTAGTGGTACATATGGCCGAGTCTACAAGGCAATCGGCAGAAATAACCAAAAGCGCGAGTTTGCCATTAAAAAGTTTGTGATAATAAGCCTTCCACAATTTATATCTGCGGAAACTGACAACCATAGATTTAAACCCGACAAGGAAGGGGAAGTAATTCAATACACAGGTCTGTCCCAGTCGGCGATTCGAGAAATCGCGTTATGTTCTGAGTTGTCACATGCAAATGTTGTCCAATTGGAAGAAATAATTCTCGAGGAGAAGTGCATCTTCATGGTTTTTGAGTATACCGAGCACGACCTACTGCAGATTATTCACCACCACACCCAGCCTCCACGACATGCCATCCCCGCTCCAATGGTAAAGTCCATTTTATTCCAGCTTCTGAACGGCCTTCTCTATCTCCACAGCAACTGGGTTTTACATAGAGATCTCAAACCTGCCAATATTCTAGTCACGTCGACTGGTGCTGTTCGAATTGGTGATCTCGGCCTCGCCCGTCTATTTTACAAGCCTCTGAATTCGCTTTTCTCAGGTGACAAAGTGGTGGTGACCATTTGGTATCGCGCCCCCGAATTATTACTTGGGAGTCGACATTATACACCCGCCATTGATATCTGGGCAGTCGGCTGTATATTTGCTGAATTGCTTTCGCTCCGTCCAATATTCAAAGGCGAAGAAGCCAAAATGGATGCCAAAAAGACTGTGCCGTTCCAACGGAACCAAATGCTTAAAATTATTGAGATATTGGGTGTACCGAAAAAGGATACTTGGCCCGGGCTTACATCCATGCCGGAATATGCACAGCTTCAGTCACTGGCCTTGACACGTGGCGGCAACCAACTGAACAAAACGTCTAACTTAGACGACTGGTACCACACCTGTGTCAAGTCAGCCGGATATCTGTCATCACCGTCAGGCTCTCCCGGTCGAGAAGGATTTGATCTTCTCTCCCGCCTTTTGGAATACGATCCGGCAAAGCGGCTAACGGCAAAAGAGGCACTGGAACACCCATATTTCTCGACGGGTAGTCCTGTAGCAACAAACTGCTTTGAAGGTTTTGAGGGGAAGTATCCTAATCGGCGAGTTAGCCAGGATGACAATGATATTCGAACGAATAGCTTACCAGGCACAAAAAAGAGTGGGCAACCTGATGATACAAGAGCGGTAAAACGAACTAAGGAAGGATAAACGCTGGCCGGAACAGTCGTTATTACGGGGATTGGAGGAGTTATTATTGCACCTTTTATGGCTGGGCGGAGTTATCAGAATATATCTGTGTGTGCTTTTGTTTGATGGCATCTAATATCCATTCTTGTATCTTCTACTATATACTGTTTTACCTGCCTTATATTCATGGCCCTTGTTCTACTTGTAATATGAACGCTTTTGATGTAGATTGCAGCTTATTGCATCATTACCTGGGCTCTACTGGGCAGGGTAGACCGAAGTATGGCTTATCGCCACAAAATTCTAACATAAATATTATTTCTTGGAGAATATTTAGCGAGTCGAAAATTTAGTTAAGTATATCAGCAGTGTAATTGATGATAGCAATGCCTAGATCCAACCTCTCAAGGCACCTAGGAACCTATGTCTGATGTCATTGAGAACCATAGAGAACGATTTCTCGGATCGCAGTCAGCCGTTTTCTAAATGATATATGGCCCAGGATCGCCCGTAGCAACCAACAACATTCATTTGGCATTTCATGGCTTTGAGGATTCCAATTTCTGCAAGACCCTGGAACCAGGATGAATAGCGGAGATTACGTCTAATCGGGCACCTTGATTTCGTCATATATAGTGAGCGATCGATCTCTACCTCATGACGTAGATGTAAATAAACGCGTTAAGCGCGGGAACTAACCCGATCTGCACGGCCTTTTTATTTACGGCAACGAGTGAAACTCAAAACATCATACATACCCCCCCTTTTTTTTTTTTTTTTTTTCTCTGTCGCAAATTCATTGCCTCGGGACAAAAATCCATCCTCCAGCAATTGCCACAAACCGCCACAGAGGGGCTCTGGAGGTGACGCATCGTATGGTGGCTGGGAATTTAGTTAGTTAATAGCCGAGCTCCACCCAGCAAAAGAGGGGTTGGTGTGGTTGGAATGGAATGAATGGAAAGTATGGACTGGACCTGAAGAGAATTGAATTTGGAGCACGTTTTAACAAAATTATATAATTCGGAGCCAATACTGGCTCTTAAGATGAACAGACATAATGTGTTGTACGTACATTGTCCCCAGCGGACTATGATGTAACTAACCACCTTGTAATGAAACATCGCAAGTCCCCACTGCTAGTAGTTACTTACGCGCCAACGTTCTGACGTGGAATCTACCAGCCCATCTTTAAAGCCGCCACAACCTCCAAACTATTAAAGTCTCTGCATGATTTGCAAATCCTTCTGCTGAGCGAACAATTCAATATCTGCTCTACCCTAATTCCCTGCTTTTCTGTTCTTTGTCACAAGAACCCATAGATCTCCTTCGGCAACGAGACATCCCTCAGGAACCAACAAAAGAGAAAAAGTGCTGCACCAGTTTTCTCTATCTACCAACCAACCTCCTTTAGTTCCTCCATCTTCCAACCAGTGAGAGGCCCACAACAAAAACCATCCCATCAACAATCCAATACAATCAAATAAACATTACAGAAGTCCTATCCGAACTAGCCTCGATTTCCCTCGTTAGCATCTACGAAATAACACGAAGCTTTCCACGCCTCTCTCCCTGCCCAACCTGGGCCGAAATACCAGCATCTCCCTGCAACCACCCGCCTTGATATCGGAGGTCGATCAGAACCATGCCTTTCTTCTACTCGAAACGTATCGGGGGTCGACACGTTTCCACCGGTGTTACCGTCGACCGCCACGGCGTGCGCAGAGCGCCATGGAGCGTCAGAATCGGACGTTGCATGTGTTTTAGATGAACGCATTGCACACTTTTGCTTTTTGATTGGATTTGGGGGTGGTGGTTGGAAGGTTTGAAGTGCTTATGACGCTGGTTGATGTGAGGCTGTGACTGTTATGATATGACATGGCGATAATACCCCATTGAGCTGGATGGGCACAGTGTTGTGTTTTTGAAATATATTTCTTTAAATGAGGCATGGTGTTTTATGAACGCTGCTATTTATTGTGTGGGGGCTGTGTTCATTTTTTCGGTATCGTTTCCTGCTTGTTTTTCGGGGGCGGTGGGTTGAGAGTGTTTAAAGGGCTCGAATCAGTTTCACCTTTTTCTGCGAGTTTGTGATGTCCCGCACTTCAACTTGCTATCAAATTGGGAACGAGGATTACCTTTTAGATCTTAAAGGCAGTTCCTTTATTTGATAGATGTCTCAAAGTAGGGATAAATGACCCGGAGGCTGTTCAAACTAGATCACAAACAAATAAAGAAACACATTAAAAAAAATAAATGGTAATAACCTAAACCGGAAGATTAAATAAAATCCAAAGCTGAACACCTCTTGAAACACTTGTCCATGAATCATTATTACCATTCATTTTGTTGTACAATATTATGGAAGTATTACACGCTCAGAGCCAGACGATAAAAAATTAGGGATTAGAAGAACAAGGTATCAGTTGTCATCAATAACCTATCTCAAACAGATCAGCATAACTTGTACGAACTCCTCATAGAACGGGAAACTCACCACTCTGCTCCCTCCGACCGTCACCAGCATCACCGCCACTTCCACCGTCCTTACGCGATCCAGGCCCAGACCCAGACGCCTCCACCGCCACCCCAGCCTCCCTAATGCCCTGATCATCACCTCTCAACTTCTCAAAATAAGCCTTAATGTCCTCAGCCCCAACAGGCTGACCACTCTCCGCAAATGGCTTTAAGAACTCTTTCACCTTGTCCTTTAAATGATTGTACACCATCACTCCCTCAATTGCACGTACACGGTCTATGTTACTTAACGCCGCCTCTCCGCGATCGAGAAGGCTCCCCGTATGATGGCTGCCAGCGCCGTTGGGGTTGTCCCCATCTTCGGAAAGCGGGGGCTCATAGGTGTCCTCCTCCTCACGGAGTTGGGGGTGTGGGATCAGATTGGGGAAACAGGATGGGCAGCGGCAGAGGTAGTCGCGGAAATCTTCTTTGAGGAAAAGGGAAAACGTGCCAGAGGGCCAACTAGCTGGGAGGGTCTCGTGCTTGGGCTTTGAGGACTTGGCAGATTTCAACTCAGGGTCTGTCGGGACCTCTGTTGACGTTTCCTCCTTGGGTCGTTTGGAATCAGGTTCATCGGTTGAACTATCTTCAGGTTTTCGTTTCCTAGAATTGGTTGTTGGTGTATCGTCCTTGGGTTCCTCAGTCACTTCTGCCGTGACATTTTCATTCGTAACATTTGGCGCAGGCGCATCCCTTTTGTAAACCGCAGGCAAGAATCCAGGCGTCCCAGCGTATCGCTTAAGCCAAGGATTGGAATCTAGGCACTTGTAGCAAATAAAAGCGTCGAAATCATCCTCGTCAGGGAACTGTGGAGGCAAGGGTGGCTCGTCGTCTGCTTCTTCATTGGGAGGGGCAAAATCAGCTGTTTCGGCGTCTCCGTTCTGCCCATCCTTGTCCTTTGTTTCGGGTTGAGAATCTTTCTCTTTCTTCACACCGTCGGCCCAATTACGCGGAAGGCCCACGAGACACTCTGGATGATACCAATCTTCCCCGCAACCTCCAGTTTCAATAGTTCCCAGGCCGAGACATTGAAACATTGTTCCTTTTTCCAGATGAGGATCATACGTCTCGGCACACCCACAGAATATATTGCGAAAGTTGCCATTATACTTGTTGCCTGCAGCTGGTTTCTCTGAATGGACCCCCTTCGTTCCGGTGCTAGACACTCGTAGGGTACAAGGGGAAGTTGGTGGGAAACGGGTGGTTCCGCAATCGCATACAAAATTGCGCTTGCAGAAGAGTTCAACAAGCGTGTGCTCGCCATGACAGGAAATAGAACACGAATAGCACACGCCCGCGGCGTTGTAGGGTGCGTTGGGGTCGGAAGGGGGCGGATTACAGGTCAAACAGGAGAAAAGGCTTTGGCGGAGAGCACCCAGAGGCTGTGCGCAAGTGTCGAAGGACTGGATTTGGTTGTTAGCTAACTTGTATATGCGAAACAATCAGGGCGCTGAATTACTTACATATGGTAAGGCCTCGCGCGCATCAGCTTCCAGTCTGAGCTGGTTGTCGATAAAACTAGCAGAAAGCGGAGGATGTTTAGAGACGGATAATTGGTCTGATTGTCAAGAAAGGTGCCAGGAGATGAAAAAGAGGCCCATAAAGAGGTATATGCTTACTCTGACGCTGTTTGGGAGTCTGTTGAGACGAAGCTCTCTCTGCGCTGTCTGGTCGTCGCTTCAGTCTGCTGTGGCATCCCGTTTAGTGGTATCTGAGATGTAGGCTCATCCATTTCAAACGTGGCTAAGAATGCTGGATCTACCTGAAGGAGTATACTGATTAAGATAAACAAGACAATGCCCTGACACAACCATCAAGTTGCTAGGGATAAAGTATAGAGATAGAAAAAATGTTGTTGCACGAGAGCGGCTCTCGGGAGAAAATGTTTGCTTTGTTTGCATCGGCGTGCATCGGCGAACTAACGACCACGCGCTTTTCCTATTTGGGCCTTAAGTGGAACGCGTCGAACCTCGCGTTATTTTCCGCGTTGGTTGCCTAGCACTTGCTTCATTTGGACGCGAGTATCTTCCCCTCTTAATTTAAGCCCCTTCCTTCGTTTTGTCTCCGCCGACAACATTCTTCAACGACACACCGTCGTTTATCTGTGGATGACCAAACCTCTGAATATAGCTATATACATTCAGATCAGAATATACTGACTAAGAATCCTAAAAGGCTTACATAGTGCGGCCAAAAGATAGCCAGCCAGCATGAGGTATTGATTATTCCCTGGAGCGTTTCCTGGAGTTTCTAGTTAACAATGTCTGTTATGTACAGTTCCCCTCTACACCCAAGCAGTTCAGCTGCAAATCGTGGCTTAGGGAAGCTTACTAGGCGAAAGCGATCCCGCGAGCCAGATGATGATAATTCTTCAGCTCTCCCTCCTTCCAGTCGTAAGTTCGCGCGACCCTGTGTGTTAATACGGCGCAAAAGGAACATATGCTAACCAATGAGTAGCGCCGCCTTCCTCCCCCCCAATGCTGCCTCTCGAAGATGACGAAGTGGAAAACGATTTGGATGAGGAGGCCGATTTCATTGGCGATATCGACGATGCTGATGAGATGGCAGAAGAAGAAGACGGCATTGACCTTTTCGCTGACACTTTTGAGCGCGACTACAGACCGCGCGGCCCTGAGGCATACGAAGGAGATGATATCGATGACACGGGAGAACACGAAGAACTGGATTTGGCCACTAGACGTCAACTTGAAGCCAGACTCAACAGACGTGATAGAGAACTTGCTCGAAGACGACGCATGCCCGCAGCATTTTTGCAGGATGATGAAGACGATGGGAATGTCGACCTTACAAAACAGCCTCGTAGACGACGACATCACTACGACGAGGATGCTGACGAGATGGACATGGATATTATGGATGAAGAAATGACCCTCGAAGCCTTGGCGGAAATTAAAGCTGCCAACGTTACCGAATGGGTTGCCCAACCGTCTGTCCATCGATCCATATATCGCGAATTTAAGTCTTTCTTAACCGAATTTACGGACAAGGATGGTGCTTCGGTTTATGGAACGCTTATTCGGAACTTGGGAGAAGTCAACTCTGAGTCTCTCGAGGTTTCGTATGCCCATTTGAGTGATTCGAAGGCTATTGTAGCTTATTTCCTGGCCAATGCCCCCGCAGAGGTTTTGAAGATTTTCGATCAGGCGGCAATGGAGGTAACCCTACTCCATTATCCCGACTACCATCGCATTCATAACGACATTCACGTTCGTATCACCAATCTTCCAGTTATGTACACTCTTCGACAACTACGCCAAAGTCATCTTAACTGTCTGGTTCGTGTCAGCGGAGTTGTAACCAGGCGAACTGGTGTTTACCCCCAATTGAAATACGTCATGTTCAATTGTACCAAATGCGGTATTACTTTGGGACCGTTCCAGCAAGAATCAAACGCTGAGATCAAAATCTCTTTCTGCCAGAACTGCCAGAGTCGTGGCCCTTTTACTCTTAACTCTGAAAAGACTGAATACCGCAACTATCAGAAAATGACCCTTCAGGAATCCCCCGGAACAGTCCCCGCTGGACGACTTCCACGACACAGAGAGGTTATTCTTCTGGCAGATCTCATTGACTCTGCAAAACCAGGGGGATGAAGTGGAAATTACTGGAATCTATCGCAATCACTACGACGGCCAGTTTAAACAACAAGAACGGCTTCCCAGTGTTTGCAACGATCTTGGAGGCTAATCACCTAGTGAAATCCCATGACCAACTCGCTGGTTTCCACTTGACTGAGGAGGACGAGCGGAAGATTCGAACGTTATCGAGAGACCCTCAGATCGTGGACAGGATTGTAAGATCCATAGCTCCAAGCATTTATGGCCATGAAGACATCAAAACTGCCGTAGCACTCTCTCTTTTTGGTGGGGTGAGTAAGGTGGCCCAAGGAAAGATGTCCATCCGTGGGGATATCAACGTACTCCTCCTTGGCGATCCAGGTACAGCCAAGTCCCAAGTATTAAAATACGTTGAGAAGACCGCCCACAGAGCTGTTTTTGCTACTGGTCAAGGTGCCAGTGCCGTCGGTCTCACAGCTAGTGTTCGCCGTGACCCATTGACAAGCGAATGGACGCTTGAAGGTGGAGCGCTCGTGCTCGCTGACCGGGGTACATGTCTTATCGACGAGTTTGACAAAATGAATGACCAGGACCGCACGTCCATCCATGAAGCCATGGAACAACAAACAATTTCAATATCCAAGGCGGGCATTGTCACAACACTCCAAGCACGTTGTGCTATTGTCGCTGCAGCCAACCCTATTGGAGGCAGATATAATGGCACCATTCCATTTTCTCACAATGTCGAGTTGACAGAGCCTATTCTTTCGCGTTTCGATATTCTCTGTGTTGTTCGAGACACAGTTAGCCCAGAAGAAGATGAACTATTGGCGAAATTCGTCGTTGACTCACATTCCAAAGCCAACCCTCCTAGACCGCAGACCGATGAGTATGGAAACCCCGTTCCACGTGAAACCTCTGGGGACGACGAGGATGAAGAAATGGGCGAGTCTCGTCCCGTGAATGGAGAGTCCGGGGGAGCAGAGCAGATTCCCCAAGAACTTCTCCGGAAATATATTCTATATGCCAGAGAACGGTGTCGCCCAAAACTATATCAGATCGACCAAGACAAAGTTGCCCGACTCTTTGCAGACATGAGAAGAGAAAGCTTAGCCACGGGGGCATATCCAATTACCGTATGTGGCTCCTTTGTTGAACGGTGGAATCTAATGCATATGCACCTATCTCGATATGATGTCGACATAAACACTCCACTAACGTCAATCTCAACCAGGTCCGTCATCTCGAAGCCATCATGCGTATTGCTGAAGCATTCTGCAAAATGCGATTGTCGGATTACTGCACCGCTCAAGACATCGACAGAGCGATTGCTGTGACAGTTGACTCGTTCATCAGCAGTCAGAAAGTTAGCTGTAAGAAGGCTCTTGCGCGAGCGTTCGCTAAGTATGTCTTCCCCTTCCCAATTATGTCGTTTACTTGCTGTATTGTTTCGGTCTTGTGTGCTAACGCTTTGCTCTTTAGATATACGTTGGCTAGACCTGGCACACAGAAACGGCGGGGACCAACAGGTGGCGCTTATTCTGGGCCATCATCAGGCCCGCGCAATGGCATGGATCGGAGGGGACTGTGAACCAAGCATATGAAGCTGTTCGTCGTGAATGTTTCATTGCATGGGTTTGTTGGGTTTACTTTCTCATTTACATATCATTTCCCCTTTTATTTCCCTTGCAGAACTGTGTTTGTGTATACCAATTCCATTGCTGGAGTTAATGGATGGGGATAGATATGATCATGATGGGATACTTTACTGTTGAGTTTCTTTCGCAAGATGGATACTGTGATAATGCATCTGTAGTCTGCCTGATTCTGATTCCCTCAACGCATCCTGCAGTATCAATCATGGATATATCTTGGTCATTCAGAGATGCCTGCTCCGTATATATTGTGCAACCATGCTAGCAAGCACGCGGACCACCCGTAGCTGCCAGATAACAAGCAAGCAGCCGCTATTTCCCCGTTGTTGACAGGACAAAGGGAAGATAACCGCCAAGCCGCGCGGTAGTGAAACAGCCAATTGGACCCCCAGTCAAAGCAATGTGGGGCGAAGCCCAGGCGTTGGGTAACTGACTATTTCTACCTATGACAAATTCCTTTTGTGTCTCTTGAAACTTGATTGCCGAGACGCCGGCCAGCTTACTAACTAATCGTTAATAATCGCATCCACTATGAATGGCCCCAGACAGCCTGGCTTGCTTATGATATCGGTTCATCTAGAACACAACCCCCACTAGCACGTCGAACCAGTGGAAGGAGATTGAAACCACCTGCTCCTGCAGCTCGGAGCACTTATGGACGCCAGGTGCTTGGAATCATGTCTTCCAAGAGGATTTTAGGTGGGATGCTGGCTTTGGAATTCCGACGACAGGACAATTTTTAACCTGGCTAGTCCACGGACTAGCAGGCAGCTTGGCTCAATTTTTTCCATCTTATTTCTAATGATGAGTTTCGTCTATTGTAAAGAAGAATTATCTTGACCATTTCATGTCTTACCGATCATCTAGCGGCGCATTTTTCTCTCTATATGTTCAACATGTTTCTGTGTTTTTGCTGTCGATAGTAGGGGGTCGTTTCTTGCAGACACATACTTTTAATAATATAAAACGTATTTCATCCTGCAACAGCAAAGCAAGTATCGCACTTCGCTTGGTGATGTTCGTAACATCTCATTTCTATTCATCATGGCCGCTCTAGATACCAATCCACGCGCTCCTCGTGAATGCTCGACAGCCAGGGAGTCTGAAAGAAAGCGATTGCGCTCGAAATTTTGGGGTAGGCAAAATGCCTCCAATCCACAGGCCATCCGCGCCAATAATATCGGAGGCGCTGAAGATGTAGAAGATACCGTTGAAACATCTGTTTGCAATGGGCGTCAGCCAGCACAGCCTCTTGTGGAGACTCTATCAGAACGCGATATTGAGCGGTTGGGAAGGGAGCGTCCAGCTATTTTTCGAAATACGTGGACTGAGATTGCATTTGTGTTCTCGATAGTTATGTCGCAGGTGCTTGCGGTGCGTTTTAATCTCCTCCTCCTCCTTCCCCCCTTCTTTTTGTGAGCCTTTAGACGGGTGGATTTGTTTTGTCTCTATTCATGATGTGCATGTGCTGATGTAACATTATCTCCGTGTTCCCGTGTATTAGGAGTATTTCATATCTGGCATCAACGTCGTGTTACCAACGCTGGTGGATAAATTGGATATCCCTGAGGCCTCCGCAGTATGGCCTGCAAGCGCCTTTTCCCTTGTGGTAGCCGCGACATTGCTGATATTTGGTCGGATTTCCGATATGATTGGCGGCTATCCAGTGTATGTCTTTGGCATGACATGGCTATTCATCTGGTCCGTAGTAGCCGGGTTCTCTCAAAACCGGTTGATGATGATCTTTTGCCGGACGCTGCAAGGCATCGGTCCCGCTGCCTTCCTTCCGTCGAGCATGATGCTTCTTGCGAAAGTCTATAGACCGGGACCAAGAAAAAATATGATATTTGCCATCTATGGGACCTGTGCTGTTATTGGATTTTTCATCGGCATCTTCTGCTCGGGTGTCTCAGCGGAATTCCTGTCATGGGAATGGTATTTCTGGATTGGTGCAATTCTCGCAGCTGTTACCGCCGTGTCTTCGTTTTTGACCATCCCACCCGATATTGCTGAGGCGCGGAAACAGGGGGTTAAAATGGACTATATGGGTGCATCCCTTATCGTTCCAGGGCTGACATTGAGTATTTTTGCAATTACGGATAGCGCGCATGCCCCTGACGGGTGGAGGACCCATTATGTGCACATCTGTTTCATAATCGGCTGTATACTTCTGGGGCTCGCCGTATATGTCGAGGGCTGGGTTGCTGAGTCCCCGTTGTTACCGTTTGAGATTTTCGATGTCCCTTACATGAAGCCAGTGGTTGTTGCGCTCTTATTTTTCTATGGTTGTTTAGGGGTTTTCCTCCTTTACGGAACCCTGTAGTATGTGATCCCCGGCCCCAAACATCGTTCCGTAACTCTTAACCCTCTTCTCTGTTCCAGTATCTAACAGATTTTCATTTTTAGCATGGTGCATATCATGAGGGCATCGCCAGTGCAAGTAGTTGCGTGGTGTGCACCTATGGTCATTGGCGGCTTCATCTTTCCCATCCTCTGCGCGTTATTCCTCCACCTCGTCTCAGGAACAATTCTTCTTGTAATTTCCGGTATTGGATGGCTTGGTACCGGTCTGCTGTTTGCCCTCATGCCAGAGGGAGCCTCATATTGGACCTTTGCTTTCCCTGCCATGATCGGTGCCACGCTGGGCATCGACATCACCTTCAACATAACGAATATATTCATCACGACTAGCCAACCCAGCAAGCGGCAGGGCTTAGCAGGTGCTGTTATTAACTCCGTTCTGCATTTGAGTATTGCTGTTCTCCTCGGGTTCTCGGACATAGCACAGGTCCACACGGCATACCTGGGCAGGCTGAAGAGCTACCGCGTTGTGTTTTGGTTTGAGGTTGCATGTGCAGCTGTTTCCCTGTTGGTTATGATTTTTTTCGTGAGGATCAATGCGGCCAAGAGCGAGATGACGGCAGACGAACGAGAGCAGTTGGAGGAGATGCAGCAGTCGGTTGTGCAGGGATCTCAAACTCAAATGGAAAAATAGTTACTATCATGGAGGATGGAGGATGGAGGATGGATAGTGTGGTCACGTATACAATGACTTACGCTTCTGAATAAAAGGGAAACTGGGTATGTATGTATATGGCAATACCAATTAGACGGTAGATCTCTTTCGATATTTGGCTATATCAATTCAGCGTTGCTTGCTTCGATTTTTGATTTTTTTGCACTGTGAAAATGGAAATAGAAAGTTAGAAAATTTCAATACCTGAACCAATTCTGATGGTAATATAATATTTTGTACAGTTTGATTTGAGCTAGTTCTTTGAAGAGCAGAAAAAAATATTGCGCTTGATGGTCACAGTGTTATAATCATATCAACTGAGAAGGGTTATTAATGCCATGGGTGAGAGAAGTTTAACTCACATAGACGAAATGGGGAATATTGCTGGAAAGAATAATATTTGGAAACACCACTATTGCAGTACACGTCATGGCAATTTGAAAAAAAGAATATGTTGCTTCTCGGACTGAACACATATTCTGATAATGTAGATGTAACTCCCGCGGTCATGATTTTGAATAACAGGATATAATGGAAACACATGTTAACCATTGGTCTGCACCTTACCATCATGCACACCAACATCTGAACATAAATGCAAGCCGTAGATTTTAACATTAAAGAAAACCTCGAGTTTTGATATGCCCATCTATTGCTTGTTTATATTTTCAACCACAGTCCACATCCGTCGTGAACCCACTTCCCCTTCAGTTTTGATCCAATTCTAGAAACCAGATTGTCCCTCAGTGCTTCAAGCTGGAAGTCAAATGATCGGAACTCAACAAGTTTTCCCTGTACGCCAAGATATCTGACCGAATGTGATATTAGCGAGTAACTTGTATCCAGCTCCATCCATGGGTCGTTAGGATCCAGCGTCCCTGTTCGTTGTTCCTCCTCGAAAATTGTGCTAGTTGGTTCCGGTGCAAGCTGGAAGCTTAAGTGGCGAAGGTTGGACATGTTACGGATCACCTTTAGAACTAAGTTGGTGTGATTGTAGAAAGGGAAAACAGCAGTGTAATGGAACGAAGTTAGGCGGGAAATAGCTCCGACAGGATACGGTAGATCCTTGGATTGGAGAGGATCAACAGCACCCCAGTGTTCCATAAGCGAAGGGACGCGAAGGAGGTAGTATTCGTAGTTGCTATATGCTTTTAACGAAGAGCCCTCGTTGAACAGAATTTCCGTCCATGGTCTGACGCTAAAGAACGTATCATCCGCCTCTGGTGCTGCAAAATCAAGCAGCCTCTGAGCCGGTTGGTGAAATTGCATGGTTTGGAGGGGCAGCTCAAACGCCCAGGAGTGAGCGCTATTTAAATTGCAAAGCGCCATATCCGCAAACACATAAGGTGGAGCTATGATCGTGATGTCCTGTGGGTCAACCTCCTCCAGCAACATCTTCCACCATTGAGATTTCTCACTACCAGGAAATATGGAGTGCACGGAAACCACGACAGATTGTACATGTCGAGCAAGCCCGTGCTGGCGAAGGAAGGCTAGGAAACGTCCTTGATCTCGTAACTCATGGCGGGTGTAAGCGAAGAGGAGAGGCCGGGCCAGATCTCGAAAACGAGAAGAAGTTCGTGAAGCATTTTTCAGATCTACGCCAGGGGACGATGTGATGTTGTAATTGGGCACTTGACGCAGGTTCTGTGCAGAGGGAGGAGGGTCCGAAGAGAGATAGGAGAGAACATGGTCAAGAAGTTCATTGGGAAGAGTCTCAATCGAAACAGCAGGGGATGCAGGATATAAGATCCTGCCGGCCATGTGGAGGAAAATATCTTGTGGGATTCATTTAGTAGAACCAAACCCATCAGCGATTTTGCCAGCATGGGAAGATGCAGTCTACGCACTTGTCACGCATGAATATCAGCGTTTGGCCCATGCAAGGCTGCTGTTTCGTGATGTGTTTTGATGAAGAAAACATGCAGCTGATGCAGTGTGTTGTAGCTAGTTAACTAACCACAGCCTCCTGCTGAGTAAGTAGTTAACTAACTTAACTAACTTAGTTAAGTTAGTTAGTTAGGGTTAACGTTAAGTGAGGCGCGTGACGTCACTGCGAGTTCTATAACTATGCAAAAAGAGCCTCGACATACATCGTTCGCCACTGATTACACACACTTGAAATATCTCTTCGATCAGGTAATATCCCATACTAGCCGACTAATTGACATTAAATCACAATGTCTGACGAAAACTTGATTTATCCATTCTTCAATGGGCGAAAGTTTCATGGTCGGCATCCGTAGTTATTGGAGAGACTCTCCTCCACCGTCTGCTTGACCTCCATTTTTGATTCCTCCTTGCAGAGTTCCACTTGGACTCCAGGATGTGACTAAGGCTCACTCAAGAGTAGCCCCGGTCAACGACCAAGTTCGTCTGAGGCTGAGGCTGAGGCTGAGGCTGAGGCTGAAGCTGAGGAGAGAGTGATAATAATGTCAGCGGAAAGCGTCAGACTTCACATCATGACTGAGTCTCATTGCATGCTGAAGCTGCACAAATCCAATTTTATAATGAGAGATTCTTTGAAGTTTCCATTTGATAGACTTCTTCATAGAAATTTGTTGTAATAAATCTAATAATATCATGGTATGTTGTCTTTATTCGGGGTCCTTTCAGCATATCACGGTCATCAACGATAAATACCCCTTGGGCAAACTGATCATGGCTTAAATACGCTAAACTTGCAACTCAAATAATATATTTGGAACGACGGATGTTCAACGGAGCTAGTTGGTGATACACAAAAAAAGTTATTTATCCATGTTTGGCCCCCCAGGTTCCCTTGACAGACTTGGGAGAGCACGGCAAGGTCCTACCCCTAATCATCCACGTGCGATGGTAGCTGGCCATAGTAGAGTCAGCTACAGTAAGAATCACTGGCAATAATCTCTGATTCACTGTAGCATGGCTACGAGGTAGATACCAATTAGTCGGAACCCTCATTCTGTCGATCTCCCTTAGCTACGTACGTAGATTGAGACATAAAGTTCCACATCCTCACCCTCCAGGAAAGTGATACGAACAATAAAGATCATAATCGCAATCATGGTTGCTGGAGCTCCTCGAAGCCCCCCATTCCGTGCAGAGCACATTGGGTCTTTGCTTCGTACGGAAGCATTGCTGAATAAGAGAAATGAGGTCGAGGCTGGACAGGCACCGCCGGAGGAGCTCAAGCTCGAACATGTCGGCAGCGCTTACGTCGACCATTTCAAGTATTTGGCAAATATCGTCCCACCAGAGGAAGTGAAGAACTTGAAACTAACGCTTGCGGCTCCCAATTGGTACCATTTGCGTTATCGTGAAGGTTGTGCTTACCCAAAGAGGGTGTATCCGTCGGACAAGGAGTATTTTGAGGATATTGCTAGGGCATATCAAACAGAATTGCAGATCTTGTATGATGCTGGCTTGCGAAATGTGCAATTCGATGATCCCATTTTGGCCTGTGAGTGCATATTTCGGTTGATCATGGCGACAACCCTCTTGGTTTGTTAGGCTGATCTTTCAATTCCTCCCTCAAGATTTCTGCTCAGAGAAGATGATTGCTGGTTGGCAAGCAGATGCGCTGAACACATGCACTGTTGATGACCAGCTCAACGCCTATACCAAGCTCTACAATGACTGCATCAGCAAGCGCCCTGCTGATATGCACGTGGGCGTTCACTTGTGCAGAGGAAATTTCGCCAAGAGCCGACACTTTTCCGAAGGAGGTTACGACAGAATAGCCACGAAGCTGTTCCGGACCCTCAATGTCGACACTTATTATCTCGAGTACGACACACCTCGTGCTGGTGGGTTTGAGCCATTGAAAGAGCTACCAAAGCATAAGAAAGTTATTATTGGTGTTGTCACTAGCAAGTTCCCAGAACTTGAGGATCCTGTAGAAATGAAGAAGAGAATATATGCGGCCGCTGCTTTCGTCGCTGATGGGAGTGGGCAGACTGTGAAAGGCGTTGACCAGGATGGGTGTCAGTCCACAGTGTGGATTTGCTAGCCACAGCATTGGAAATACTCTGGATCCGGGTGCAATGACCGCCAAATTGAAACTTGTGCGTGATTTAGCTAATGACATCTGGCCAGGAGAATCCTGATTTATTATGAATCTGAGATATGTCACCTAGGTATCATCTATTCTGAGCAGTGGTTTGACCTGTTATACTGAGTCAGCAGCGGTTAATTGTTCCATATCATATATTGCCTTTGCTTGGATTTCGATTGTCAATTTTGAGCGGGTGAGATTGAGCTATACAGATAAGGGGAAAATACAACCAGACCTTGCGACGTCCTGCTAAGCACCAACCAACAGATATGCAATGAATATAAGCCGACACACATATAGGACGCAACGGTAGGTGTAATATGGGGGCCCCTGTGGGACTCGATAACGTCCAATTTGCCACCATCTTTCACATAATTTCCGATCCAACGAACCATCAAATCATGATTGAACACTTCCAGCCAGATGAACAAGAATTAAGGATAATTAGGTACGCCACAACTTAGCATGGAGGGTCTGGCTTGCTTCCAACATACATGAAGTTGGAAGCTTCGATGTTTCGAAAATGCGGTTTAGGTCTTCCGCCTACAAGGTCTTCAATTGCAGAGCCATATCTGATAAGGAGGTCCTCTCTCCATGCTGTCTGGATTAATGCAATCCCGAACGGCACGCCTGCAAGCTCCCACGTTAGACAGGGAGGAGGAGCAGGAAATGAGGTTGTATTTCGCAGACTGAAATTTCTAACTTACCAGTTATCTCACTGGTGCAGGTGGGAATAGCAATCATCGGATATCCTAGAAAGTGTGGTTAAAGGAAGTTTAATTATGGTTGGTTCTTATGATTCAAGAGGCAAAGGCCGCATAGTTCCGTACCTGCTTTCGCAGCTACTTGACATGCGGCTCCACTGTCGCCCTGGAGGGGAACTAATATTCCGTCCAACACGGAGCCGTCTGGCATTCGCAAAGCTGCATCGATTCCCTCTTCACGAGACTTTCTCCGAATATACTTCAGTGCACTGTGATATGTGTCATCTAGAATGCCCTTTGAAGTTAGGCTTCTCTCGAAGTTATCCTGACCACTGGGCCAGGCTGGATGAACACACGGTCGACCACCATCTGTTTCTGAATTCTTAACATTCCAGGCCATAATATCCTCTAAACTTTGAATGCCATTGGGGTTAGTGCTCAAATTGGAAAGATATGATCGTATCTCGTTAAAGAATTCCTTTTTTACGACCATGAACTCGGACTGGTCGGGGCGACCGGATTTGGAGGGAAAATCCCTTTGACGACTTGTTAATATTGGGCTTCATCACGGAAATTGTGGTAGAAAAAAAAACCCTACCAATCCCAACCCGATGGAGAAATTATTTCCTCAGCGCTTGGAAAGTTCGTCCATCGAATTACTTCAGCACCTGCATTTTCAATTTCCTTTAATAATACCATCAATCCATTGTACTTCTCCGTCTTCTTATATGCGCTCTCCCAAACACGGGTCCAGGGAAGCCCAAATCTGGCAGTCTTCAGAGCCGCTTTGTTGGTAACGAATGATGCATAAGAAGACATGACATGCGCTAGTCACACGCGGCAGTTAGATATCATCAAGGTACACCTATGGCTAGATGGGGAATTTTCACCGGATTTAGAATCACCGGTAATCGCATCCAACGCAATTGCAGCGTCGAGAACCGTCTTTCCAAACGACCCTACTGTGTCAAGGCTGCTTGACTCTGGGATAACGCCTTTGGTGGAAGTTAAACCCACGGTGGGTTTGATGCCGACTACAGCATTTCGATCTGCTGGAAACATAATCTGAGAGCAAAGGGGTTCTAAGCAAAAGTTCAAGCTATATTTTCCCTTTTTTCCCACATATTGAATCCACTTACGCTTCCGTCAGTTTCAGTTCCTAGGCTGAATGGACACATATTTGTGGCAACAGCCACCGCGCTACCGCAACTTGATCCTCCTGGATGTTCAGCAAGGTTATAGGGGTTTCTGCACTGGCCCCCTCTAGACGAGTATCCCTCTGAGCTTCTAATCGTTAATATGTGGGTGAGGTCGGATTGAGAGAGGAGTATATAACCTGTGGGTGGCAAACGCACTAATAGCTTGAGCGCATGGCTGCCCATTCCGATAAATTAGTATGCCCAAGTAATATGGCACCTGCATCGCGTAGCATAGAAACCACATGTGCATCATCCGGTACAGTTGAACCGACAAGCACTGCTGCCCGTTAGAAATATTTCGCGGTTAAGAGTCCAGGAGCGGACATACTCGTAGAACCAGCAGTAGTTGCCACTCCGTCTTTCGTCGCAATATTCTATATGATGGTGAGAATTCCTTGTTAAGTAGCTAGGTAGACGCAAACAATTTTGCGGGAAATTGAATTCTGAAAGATGGAAGAGGCATGTTACGTCTTTGACTAGAAAAGGAATTCCATGAAGTGGGCCTCGGAGTTTTCCATTCTCTCGTTCCTTATCTAAGCATTCCGCAATGACCAAAGCATCTGCATTCGTTTGGATAACGGCCCTAATGTTATATCTGTGTTACGAGATTGCCATTGTCCAACATAGAGCACGAAATCTTCAAAATGCTGCATATTTAGAATATTCGACCTACTTCAGAAGGCAATTTAATCTTTGAATTCTCTCGAAATACGTCTCCACCAGATCTCGCGAGAAGAACTTTCGTTCTGTTAAACATTTCTGCAGTTGCGGAATCGTAAGAACTTGAATATCAGTTCCGCGACAAGTTGGCATGTGGAGCTCCGCAGCGGACATGGGATCATTATCACTGCTTATTTGGTCAATGGAAGCTGATGGGATGTTCGTCGCAATGGCCATGATTGAAAGCAGCTATTCCCATTAGCCACCACCTTGAGAATAGGCAAGATGAAATTGCTGGTGTGCAGCAGTCCTTCCAAAACTCGGAGGAATTTACGCACACTGTTTAACCTTGGAGGCGTCAAGACTCAGGGACCTGAGGTTTTGAAGCATGTCGTTTTAAAACTCAGGAATCTTGTTGGGCATCAGAATTATACACGTGACTTAATCCCATCAAATCATAATGCCCCTTTTTCTCTTTCCTGTTTGGTACTAGAGTCATCTTGTTGCCCCTGAAGTCACGTGAGATTCACCGCATTTTCGAATCTACCAGCACAATGTCTAATTATTATCGACCCTCTGCAGGCGACGACGTTCCCTGCTTGTTCAACAGAAATATATAATCGATTTTCTCAGGTAAGTGGAGTTCTGTCTCTCAATTCCGGCTTCCTTTCCGGCAATTCCGATCAGCTGAACCTGGGTATTAACTGGCGTTTCAGCTTGGTTTTCTTGTGGTCTCTATATCACTTTCGCTTTTAATCGTCATTTATTTCACGGCCTCAAAACCCTCGGCATATATATATCATCTATCAGGTTTGCCGTGTTGGCTCCCTACGGCATTGCTACGCTCCTTGGAACTCCTCCGTAATATTCCTTCTGAACCGTCACACGAACTTCTCTCGTCCCAAACGACGTCAGGTCAACAATATTAACAATGGGTAGTCAAGTTTCCAAGATTATGGGGAAGATCTTTGGATCGAAGGAGATGCGTCTGCTTATGCTGGGTCTGGATGCTGCAGGAAAGACAAGTGTGTGAATCTTGTTCCAATTTGTGGACATCACTATCTTCTCCGCCCCAAAAGCTAATTGCAATGTTTCCCACAGCAATCCTCTACAAATTGAAACTCAACCAAGATGTAACCACTATTCCCACTGTCGGTTTTAACGTCGAATCCGTAACGTATAAGAACGTCAAGTTCAACGTTTGGGATGTTGGTGGACAGGATAAGATCCGTCCTCTTTGGCGGCATTACTTCTCTGGTACATGGCTTTTACCATTAAGGCAGGGGTTTTCTCTCGATTGACTTTGGAATTGCGGTTTTCTAGGTACCCAAGGTCTTATTTTTGTTATTGACTCGAACGATCGGAGCCGAATTGAAGAAGCACGACAGGAGCTCCACCGAATCATTCTAGATCGTGAGATGAGAGAAGCTCTGTTACTAGTATTCGCAAATAAGCAAGATATTCCTGGAGGTAGGTGTTTTTTTTTTTTTTGCTTTAAAACGCATTAAGCTACAAGTTGGTTTTCCTTGCTAACTAGATTTTCATAGCCATGACGCCCCAAGAAGTGACGGACAAGCTTGAACTGACTCAACTCAAGGACAAAATATGGTATGTTGTCCCTAGTTGCGCCACTACAGGTGAAGGATTGTTCGAGGGCTTGGTATGTTTTATTCCATCTGTCATGACGTTGCATGAACCATATACTGACATTGATATATAGGGTTGGCTCTCCAGCAACGTCAAGGCTCAACCACAAAGGCAGACTAAATAAATTGCACCTCTGATTCTCTCCACTCTGTTCATACCAACCTCACCGAGTGCCTGCCCTTGTGTACCAAACTATTGTACATGTAATTCCTATTTTAATTCTCTGCGTGTCTTTGTCCTTGTCGGGCTTCGGCCCTGACACTGTTTACACTAGCCTTTTCTACGTTCCTTTTGTCATGAGTCAACGCAGCATCGACCATCTTTGCCTGTTTTTCCTTTTATTTTCCTTTGCGATCTTCACCGCATGTTATATTACTCTTTGCATATTTTGTTCTGCTTTGCCCTCTCCGGATTCCTTTCTTATGATATCCCTTACGTTTATTCTAATTACTTACTATGGGCCACCGGTACAATTCTTTTCCCCTAATACAGTGTTTGTAATACTCATTTTGTGATTGATATTTAGACGAGGCTGCCTAAAAGCGATATAAATATGTGCATATCTCACTTACAAAGCTACTCTACACCAATCTAATATCAAAAGTTCGTTTATTAGGCTACCAAGAAAACAAGACTGTTTAGCTTCTGCTTGATATACTACATAAGTCCAATTCCCTAGAACTGAAGATAGAACAGAGGAAATGAGTATTGGTATCATCAAAATCAAAATCCTTAACCATCCAACGCCAAACAATCCAGGAAATAGCCGGCCCTAAAGATACAATACACACCAGTATAATCACTTCCCAACATTCCTATACCTCTCCCTTGCCAAACCCCCTTCCCCACCTTCAACACCATAGCCCTCCCCAATCTCCCCTACAATCCTAGCTGGCCTGCCTCCAACAACGCACCAACTAGGTACAACCATTCCCGGAGGCACCACAGCACCATCTAGCACAACAACAAAGTCCTTCAAAATAGCCATCGACCCAATCACCGCCTCTTTGCCGATATGAACGTGGTTGCCCACAGTGGCTGCTTCCACCACCGCCTTCTCCCCTACAAACACATGGTCGCCCATTTTCAACGGGAAAAACGAATGAACACCACGGTGCAGACGTGAGGGCGGACGCAGCAGGCAGGAACGGGAGAGGTAGGTGTATCGACCTATCGAAACGGCCACTGCAGGGCTCGCTGGTGTTGGGTTGGAGGACGAGGAGGAATTGGATGCTGGGTGGTCGGATTGGTGACGGTAGAGATCACCGCGGATGCACACGTCGGCTTGGATAACAGTTTTGCCGCCCAAGATAATGTGCTGGGTTCCGTGTACTTGAGAGCGACGGGAGACTTTGTTTCCTGTGTCCTAAGGAGAGGGTTATGCGAGGGGTAGGTGATTGGAACAGAGGAGAGGAAGGAGGGGAAGGTAATATTTACTGTTTCTATATATTCTCCCTTGGTGGACTTGGGAGGCATGTTGGAGACTCCTTTTGGTAGTATTTTGAATAGAAGAGGGCCGGGAATTGGAGGAGATCATCGATCTGTATATACGTATATAGTTATCCGCCGCAAATTTTGCCCTGTTTTGATAACTAGAGCAAGTCTACGTGACTGAAGAAGCCCTGCCCTAACCAGGCTGGATTTGGTCTCCCCGCATTTTGACGTCTCCGGAATCCAAATCCGCAGCTCCCAGGAATAGAGATCCGATATATTGAAGATTTACCATATTACAATAAATAGAAACCCGGGAGAATGGGAGTCTAGCCCGTTGTGCTGGTGATCTTCGCTGTGCTGTTACCCCTGCTACGAAATGTATGTTATTGGAGATCTCTATCCCGATTTCTATTCCGATCAGTCCCAAATCCTACTCGTTCGCAAAGAACCAGAAACAGTTAATATCACCGGACTATGTTTCCTTCCACGCATTTTGTTCCCTTTTTTGCTGCAATTGCCTGTTGACCATTGGGACCGCTGGCTTGCTGATTGTTCGGCGGGACAAGTGCATCTGATCAGCTTCGTTCAATATTGCTCTAATCCTCCTGTGTCAATGTTCCGCATGCGCTTCAAGACCATAAGTTTACAGACACTTTAGTCGCGGGAACTTTCATTTAGGTATTCGAAATAGACAAATTTGAAGGTAGTATAAATACCAGAAGCAACGCTCCCTGTATCTAACCTTGTTGCTTAAGGAGCACCAGCTATCCACTTGAGCCAAGGCCGGTTCTCAGGCTTCCCCTGAACTTCAGCGTTTTCTGGGATCCTTTCCTCTGCGAGTAAAGCCCAGGAGCTAATCGAGCACTCCATTGCGTGGTTCAAAATGGTGTCCTCAGAAGTGGTTGGACCAACGCTTTATGTCGCAAACAAATCAATGAATACTATCCACAACCACTACACACCACACCCGCTACTATGTTAACCAGCGGGAAGCCAATGTTCACAATATCTGATGGATCAAGCTGTTTTATTACTTCCGCATATCAAAGATCCCAAACTGGTAAATGGGCAAGATTTATGTCCGGGATTTCTCGCTTCTAACGTCAAGGAAGCTTTTCAGCTCAGCAGAATTGTCTTCTGCCGTTGCAGCAATATTATACTTTCGCTTTTCATCAATGCTTTTGGGGCTACAAGAGTTGGGCTGAGTTAAAGGATTTGGTTTCTAGTGAGGTTCCAAATCCCATTTGACAGTGTGGCGAGGAAATTGTCCATCAATTTCTGCAGGTAGCAGCAGCGCTAACTTATCTCGCTGCGTATAGGTTCGATATCGACTAGATGAAAGGATATCGCGATTTTGAATTAACCCCATTAACTTTTCAATTGCAGAAGGCCGAAAATTCCTTTCCGCCCTGCACGAAAAAGGCTTGCATTGGATTTCAATAGTTGATGCGGCGATTTATATGCGCAGCCCTGGTAATCCATTAGATGCGTATGTTACACAGGCCCTAAAATTATTCCCTATATCGCATTAACAGATGTTCAGGTACAAAACCTACAAGAGAGGAAATACGTTTGATGTGTTTGTCTGGAATCCATATGGCAGTGTTCATATCAGACCGGCGTGGCCAGGATACACTGTGTTACCTGATTTTCAGCTCCCGGTTCGCAAGAATGGTGGTCAACCTGAATTAAGAGAATTCTTTGACAAAGTTCCATTGGACGGTGTATGGATTGTCATGAATGAAGTGTCACCGTGATGTGTTGGCAACTGTGGCTCAGGAAACCTTGCCCTCCATCCAGTGCATCCCCCGTTCCCGCTACCGGGAGAACCTGGTAACGTCAGCTATTATTACCCTGAGGATTTCGATATCACAAACGCGACAGAAACTGCATCTGCATCAATCGCATACCTGCGTCAAGGTGCATCTAAAACCTCCAAAAATTCCTCTCTGACTACGACGATGAGTCATGAATACCTTCGCACCACTCCAACCCCAGGATTTCGGAACATCAACCACCCACCGTACGTTACCAATCATGTCCCGGGCGATCTGGCTGTGCACGCAGAATCACCAGACGCGACACATTCGGACGGGGTTGTCGAATATGATATCCATAACCTCTATAGACATCATCTTCTTAACGTGACATACCATGGTCTGAGGTGTTTTCGAGCAATCGTCCACGTATTATCGGCTGATCGACCTTCTCAGGGAGCGGGGCAGGGCATTGGGGGAAGCGACAGCCAGTCCCGCCGGACCTCTACGTTTATTCTATGCCTCAAGCATTGTCGTTTTCGCTCTACGGAATCCCGATATTCGGCGTCGATGCGTGCGGGTTCAGCGGCAACAGCAATGAGGAACTTTTGTAATCGATGGATGCGACTCTCTGCTTTCTTTCCCTTCTACATTAACCACAATGTGCTCTTAGCAATCCCACAAGAACCATACATCTAGTCTTCTGTCATCGAGGCTCCAAATCAGCAAAAATCAGCAATAGCAATCCGGTATGCCTTGCTGCCATACATATATATGGTATTCAACATGGCAAACACAACCTGCTCAACCGTAATGAGATCCTTGGCATGAGAATTTCCCCAAAACCTAACTCTAGTGTCAGCTAATGTCAAGTCCTCCTCGATCCCTCCCTTACGGCTGTCCCCCTTTTGCAACCCGAGGTTAAAACAGTGACGACTATTTTCCCGGTATAGCGCACGGAGAGATCTGGTATGACTGATATACACGGACAACATTCAATTCCACAGCCGGCAAAAATACTACTATCAATGCTCCACTTGGTCACATTCCCACCTACATCCGTAGTGGAAGCATCCTCCCAATACAAGAGCCCAGCCCTTACAACTCGCGTCTCCCGTAATCCCCAATGGTCTCTCCTTGTCATATTGGACAGCAATTCCAGAGCACATTGACAGATATACATTGATGACGGGAACGCATAGACCCCGACTCAACTTTGTCAGTCCGACTTTTAGTAAAGGAAATATTTACACGCTGTCTCAGGTGGAACATACGAAGATAGGAATGTCATTCTAGGAGCAGATTTGGGTTCGTCCGTGTGTGGGGTGACGCTAAATGGGCGGCAAGTCTCTGCTAAGCTTGTGGGGGATAATCAGACATCTCAGGTTCTGGCTGTTACTGGGCTGAAAGAGTTTACGAATGGCAGGCGTGCGTGGAGTGAGGATTGGGTGTTGAAGTGGTGACATGGTAAAGTTGTCAATGATATGAGGTCAAATAAATACTCCACATGAAATTGTTTAATTTCGAATTTGAATTTACCAAGTTGGCAGACTGCGTGCGATCAACTGTTTTTCTGTTGTCCAAACACACCTCGCTGTGTTGACTACCTATATATAATGAGTTCCTGATATCTTTGTGGCTACTTGTTTTCCGGGGCCCTAGTCGGGCAATTTGAATCAGCTATTGATGGGAATTTGGCTAGATTAGACTCCCATAAATTATATTTGTGAGACTGATTATTGAATAGATTTTAAACAATGGTTATATGAAACGCACACCTGCAAAATCCGTACATTGGGTTTCCTTGATATTAAAAGTATATATCCAGAGCAAGATCATAAATACGACCACGCAAAAGATAGTTATGCAACCAAAATCAGATAAGCCCCTAGACAAAAGTAAGAGCATTTCTTATATTGATATAGGGAGCACACCATCATAGTGAACTTTCAAAGCTGCAAACACAAAAGGAGAATTCATTAGTCTTAAGATCTGTTTAAATATAAAAAGGGCTGGAAGATCAAGATTTAACAGCGAAGAAACATGTGAAGAACTCACTCATTGGGAGGACAGAGTAACCACCATAGTCTTCTCTCATATAGGCGAAATGCCCATTGGGACGAATAACTTTGACCAATCGGCCCTGGGGGCCTGGAGCAGCGCGCAGATTATCTAGACGCCCAACAACACGCAGCATGGAAGATAGTGCTACCATATGTGCACCTCTTCCAAAGCAGGTAAATGCACTATCGGTAAAGTGGATGTAGGATTCTAGAGGCCGATCGAGAACCACGTCGTCGGGAGAGGGGAATATATTTGGATCTCTGGAAGAGGAGATCTAAGGCGATACAGTTAGTGTAGGTTAGGTAGTGATTGGAGGAGCTCGGAATAGAAGAGACAAGGTGTATGAAATAAGAGGCATGTTTACCATGTTCACGAAAACCTTGTCTCCATCGTTGACGACAACGTCACGACCAGTGTCATTTATCAAAACGTTTGTATTTGCCTCACGGTATGATTTGAATGTTCCGTTAAGTCGGATCCCCTCCATACAGTAATGGAGAAGTTTCGCATCAGATTCCGGGGAGTCTTCATGTGCAAGACGGTTAATCTCTGGAAGATGTGGTTTGCCCTCATCCGACAAGTAAAAATCTATGATTTGAGTGAACTTTTTTAAGAAAGTTAGATGTTTTTTTGGGCGAGATAATTAAAATGAATCACAGAATATAAACGGGTAACTTACAACTTGAGCTTGACTCGGAACCGCGGTGCATATTATGGGAAGGAGTTGTGACCAAGCCACCTCTGAGACGCTGAGTCCGCACTTCAAGAGTTTGCGGGTCGCGTCAAGCCCATACTTGGCCAATGGGTTGTCATGTTTTTGGAAGCGATCAACAATACCTGACAGAGATATGAATCCCTTGGCGGATTTGACGTACGATTCTACAACTTTTCCAAGCTCTTCTCCTGCTTCTCGCGTCACCTGTCTTAGGGCGAACGATTTTGTGGGATCCACGTCGAAAAATACGCTGGTGAAAATAGCCACGATCACCATGAACATTTCACGGTCCGTGAATAAACCCTTGGGATTCTCTTTGGTTTTGAGGGGAAGGTCAAAAGTGCTCGCCGCGAAATAGACGTGCGCGAGATTACCAACACTGGAAATTCGTTAGCAACTCAAGATTCCCTTCAGGGATAAAATAAGATTGGGAGAGCTTACTCCCGCGTGATATCGATCTGGTTAATTCCAGCAACTCGAACTGAATTTTGCTTCAGAAGATTGAGGGTAATATCCTCGTAGAACTTTTTCACGTTCTGACTCCATGAATCTTGCCTAAAGGTTTCGTCTAATATTTCGGACTGGGATACATTGAAACTCTGGCTCCCGAAGAGAGAACTAGCCACGTCCCCAAAGGTAAACCGAAAATCCCTTACATTTTCTAGAATTGTCTTTGTCCCATTATACGAGGTGAGATCTATGCGAGGTGGGATTAGCGCTGGGCGATCCCAAGAAAAGTGACTTTCCCTCCCGAGCTTCGTGAAAATCTCTCTGTTAACACTCGGTATTGTCATTGGATAGTGTGCGTAGATAGAGTCGGGCTTGATATAGTTGGGGAGAGCGCGCAGCATCAACTTGTAGAACATGCAACCTTGGTTGACGCTAAGGTCATAGTGAGACTCAGCATATCCCCAGTTTGTCAAATTTTTAGCATTGTAGTCCGTCTATCACAAGATAAGTCAGCCGCCGTCTCCAACAATCATTACGCGCATAAGAATTTCAGCTACAAAAGTGACGAAGTGGGATGACATACGGTGTAGAATCGGTCCCCACGGACGAGTGCTACCGCGTCCGAGAGAACAGCTCTAGATATGGTATAGGTTGGACATATTCCAGCACCAGGAACCATGGGGATCTTCGCCTCTTCCGAAACAATGCCTGGGTAAAGCTCCACATAGTCAGGATGCTCATACAAACTCCGAAGTTGGTGAGCGATAATAGGGTCGGAGTTAATTTCCTCAAATGTCTCGTACTCCTTTCAAGCCAAAAAATTTCCGGAACTCATTCAGGGAGCCACAGCCGAATTTCCTAGCCTGATGAATTCCCAGAATTTCGACTGCTCGAAGGGCCTTAGGGACATTTCGAGGACCGAATGTTCCTAATTCATCGTTAGATAAGGATTTGAAAGGATTCTGTCAACATTCTCACCCGCGACTTCTTCCGTTGCCTCTGTAATAATTCTAACTAGATCTTCGTCCTTAAATCGCCCATCTGCTTGTCGTTCCAACTTTGCAAATGTTCTCTGAGCAGGGTCTTTGGGAAGGTTCCTTTTCCATTTTCCCATTCCAGCTATCAGTTCTTCCATTGAGATTTCTTCAGCGGTTTTACCAAAAAGGTCTAGGTAGACCTCCCCAATCCATTTCTCATCTATTTCGCCAATAGTTGAATGCCATCTGTAAGCAAGATTAAACTCGAAAGACACCTGGTTTCCAACACCACTTTCGGCTGCTTCTGGCTTGGCACCTTTCTTCATGTTAACTCGTGGGTCCTAAGAAAGTTAGCACGTATACCAATTGATGCGGAAAAGCGAAGACATACCAAACTCCAGTTAGTATTGGTGCGTGTGAGGTTGATGATGGTTCGCACATAATCGTACAGCGTGATATTTATGTAAAGGCCACAAGTGATACTATTCTCGTATCAGAATTGAATGCCGGGGCAAAAATTGCAAATACACATACAGTCTCCCGGTCTGGAACAAATCATTGTCATATTTAGCCCATGCATTTCTCGAATCTTCAGATGCAAGGTCATCACGGGGTTTGGTAAATCGACCATTCTCGTTGATATGGGCCAGTTGCTCAACGACATAGTTATGGAACCTATATGAATCAGTAAGCCATTGTCGTTAAAAGGAAACATATGAATCAAGCCAAAGATACACAAACTTTAAGGGACCATGAAATTGCATATCAAAATGGACTCACCGATTTAGCAATATGAGAATAACACTGCAACCAGGTGGAAGTGCGATTAGCCTTGGGTCCGCAAAGGTATCAGGCTTGAGTTTTCCATCTTTGAAGGTACGCATGTCATCCTGCTGTTGCTGATTATCTCCATAGAGTGTGGAAAGGTCAAGGTATGAAGACGTCAGAGAGATGTGTTGATTCCTTGGATCTGTCTCGAAGAGATCTGTGGACGAGGTCAGCATACCTCCTAATGAAGGTACCACAAGACCATTTTACCGTGGATTATTAGAGATGCCCAGTTGAAAAACATGCTGGAGACACCATTTGGATGTGGTTTGAATTCCTGGCGCGCGAAAAGACTGTCAAAGACCAGACCTGGGTCTGGTAGCGCAGCAGGTTGAATAGTTGAAGGTTTAATGGATCGCGCGTAAGCTGTATTGGCGGCCCCGAGACGAGGAAACAAAGGATTATTGTTGGATCCGTCTGCGGCTCGGTAGCGATATTCGTCACCGAGATACCTAAACCAATAACGTTAAGAAGGCACTAATTTGTGACGTTACAGGAAGTACCCTTACGATAGTGGTGGATGAGGTAGGGAAACCCAGAGCGACTTGACAAAGCTATTGGTGAGCTTTACACGGGCTGTTGATTCGGGAGGCAGACTAGCCACGAGCTTTCCGGAGACAGGTTAGATATACCCTTTCACATTATTGTTGGATTCACCATACTTGAATAATTCGTTCCATGAGATATTCCTTATCATCCGTGAGTTTACCAGAGGTCTTGCTTTTTACCACAGCCAGCAACGTGCGGATGCCTTTCCAGCCCATCCATTTCACTTCCTTGAAAATACCATTAGATACAACTTTCTTGACCTGGGTAAAGTCACCGCTGAATTCAGCATATTTGGCAAAAGTTCTCTCAACTTCCTGACGTTTGATGCGACGTCCATTGCTGCGTTTCGCCCATGGCGGGGAAGACGTTTTTGGTTTGCCGTTCATTTGGCCATTCCTTTTGTCATGGGAGGAAGCCCCAACAGCCTCTGAGCCTGGTGCCATTTGTGTTGAAAACAATAATAGGCTGTAACAGGAGGGAATATTTAACGAGAGACGTAAACTGTTTAACGGAACATTACTCTAGAAGGGTGGAAACATATGAAGTTTTGAGAATGAATCATCGAGGCTCCATCAGATGCAATGCGCAAAGCTCGAAGAAAGGTCAACGAGAGCTCTGCATTTTTGGGGCTCGTAGTTGGGGACAATAAACCAATTCCCCGGTTTTCAACATAGAACCGACTCTCTGGGGACGGACCCCTCGTAATCCGTATTGACGGCTGGGTTTGTCAAGGTCCAGCGGTGCCCGATTTTGGGCAAACAATGCCCGATTGGGTGAATGCACGCCATTATTCGAACTTAAACACCTGGCCAGTGATTGATCTGCCGTCGCGAAAACGTTAAATGTTGTATCCGGTACCACAACTTGATTAACCCATCCATGGGCACTTAAGAAAGGTGCGGAGTTGCATCTCACGAAGAGTGGTTCAGTTGTTCGTTGGCAGTTGGACAACGCCAGCCGCCACTGTCGACATAAACAGCCAATAGTTAACAGCTCGATGCACGAAGCAGATGTTTAACGAAGTTGGGTTGATGATCCTAGTGAATTGTCAGCACCCCAAAGGTTCAGAGCTCGAAATGAGTGCTGGCAGTGCGAGAGGACTACTGCTCAATATTCATCCTCCAGAGGGTTCAGCTGCAAAGACATTCTCCAGGTTGGAGAATTGATCATAAAGCTGGCTACTTGCTAGCAACCCGAGATCACCTCAAGAAACCCACAGTTGATTAGACAGGGTATCAACCATGTCACACACACAGGTGCTGGACTCAGAAAGCAAATAGAATGGCCACAGCAGTTATCCCATCGGTAGTTATCCCATTACTGTGACTTGCATGGTTCCAAAGTTTGTTGGGATGAGGCTTGCGACAGATGAAGATGGAACTGACATGATTGTCATGCACAGGTTCGGATAGTTACCAGTTGGCGGGCGCTGCTTGCAGCCAACTCCGCCGTCTAAGTCAATTTGAGCTATTAGCCTAATCACCGGTGCCATCAGTCAGCTAATAGCCAGACAGCCCATCGTCTCCACCACTTCCCAGAGAGGGCTGATAGAAAGCGTGGCTGCGTGGCTGCGTGGCTGCGTGGCTGGCCCGATGACAAACATTCTTCAAGAGCAGCTTCTTGGTAACTCCTAACCATCTCTCGAAACCACAGACTGATCTATGATCATGATCGCAGAGCTACTAAACAGGTGAGACGGCGCCAGGGAATTCAAGGGTGTCAATCGGCATACTACGTTCGAATCGGTCGAAAAGCTAGATAGTATGGTTTGAGTAACTATCTGTGTCCTGTCCCTGGACAGTAACTCTTAGTTACAGCCTTGCTCCGAGAGTCTAGTTTCAGCAAGCCATGATTTATCGAGATTCAGTCTCTGGGTGGAGGCGTCCACTACCGAGCCTCCCATTGTGATGTGCATATCATTCGATGCTTCACAGGTTGAAAATTCCTGTAACTATCTAGAGTAAGTTACCCCATCATCAACTGGATTTTTGCAACTGGTGCAGTATGTGTCACTGCCGCACTCAGCTCTTGCTGGTATTAATAACTACTGGAATAGTTTCCTCTTATTATCATTATTGCCGCATAGCACATTGCTGGCTTGCTAAACCGTTCTAGCAAAGGCCTGAGACCCGAGTCCCAGATCGGGTACGTATTAATAAAATATTCAGCTGCGGCTGCATCTAGAAGTCCCTCATTCGCTGAAATACCAGGTGCCCAGGTTGTGTGCGCCCTATCTGGCCGATCCCTCAACTCGGCCCCTGATGTGCGGGGGTGCGCTGCTGACTCTGGGGCCATGGGTGATAATGCTATTTAGACCAAATGGCGTCCGGCGCGGAGAAGAACGCTCTCCAATCCTCCCAATTCACCACCAGTAGGAGTACTTTAAAAGCACAGTTTCGTTTGTTCCCACGAGAACAGCGTCAAGGGCCCTCGTCTGTGGCTTACAGTTCACACGAGGCGCTCCCAGCGCCAACCAGAACATCCCTTGAGTCTTGAGTCTTGACTCTATCTATGCTTGCGGCTTGAACCAGTTTCCTCACAGAACCGAGATTTATTTTTGGACGCCTGATCTAATTGCCGGTCCTCCTTCTCATCATCATCATCACCGGCAAATCTAGAATATTTATTTTTCTTTTTCTCAGGGCTCGCTTTTCTCTGGTCTTTCTACACATTTATAGTTTTCTTCAAGATTCATTGTTCATGTGAAATTGTCGCCATGTCACAATACGTGACAGATCTTCCGAAAGCTTTTGTCCTTTGCTTTGATGGCACTGGAAACAAATTTTCTGGTGATGAATCTGACAGCAATGTTCTCAAAATTTTTCGTGTGAGTGCATTCTCAGACCCTCAAGATAAACATACTCTTGCGCTGACCAAACCACAGACACTGGATAGAAACCAAGGACAACAATTCCACTATTATCAGCCTGGGATTGGTACTTACATAACATCAACAAAGGTGCCAAATCATACGGGTGCATTTTCGCGCATTAAGCGGAGCTGGATAAAAGCAAAAGACGTAGCCATCGGCTTCTCCTTCGATCACCATGTACTGGCTGGATACCAGTTTCTCATGCGATATTACTCCCCCGGCGATGAAATTTACTTTTTCGGATTTAGCCGTGGGGCGTATATTGCTCGCTTTCTTGCCGAGATGCTCGACTACATTGGCCTCCTAACTATTGGAAATGAAGAGCTTGTCCAATTTGCCTGGAAGACCTTTTCAGAATGGCAACGACGGACTGGGAATAGCCCCGAGGACATACAGAAAAGAAGAGATCTTTTCAAATTCATGAAAGCCTTCAGAGAGACATTTAGCCGTCCTATCCAGCGAATACGTTTTTTAGGGCTATTTGATACCGTGAATAGTGTTCCGAAGTTCGAGTCTCCGTGGATGTCTCGAAATAGATTTCCCTATACTGCTAGGAGTTCAGCCAAGGTTATCAGGCATGCGGTGGGTATTGATGAAAGGCGTGCCAAATTCCGCCAAGATTTAATCTCTCAAGATCGCCCGTTCAGGAGGGCAAAGGCTATACGTCGTCGATTCTCCTTTATTCCACATGGCAGGGTACACGATAACAGAGCACCGGCTGCGGCTGCAGAAACGATTGCTGAAGAAACTAAATCACAAGAAGGAAAAAATGGCACCAAAATTTCGGACGAGATCAATGGTGTATCGCCAAGTCGTTCTCTAGCCAGAGGCTGGACCCAACCTCTTGAAGAAAACCGTTACCGTCCATGCCAGCCTCGCCGCTCACCCCTGAATCTTAGACTGTTGGTCCCGGACAACCGTAATGTTTCGGTCGAAGGCAGCTCCCTGGACAGCATCTCTCATATTCCAATACAAGTTCCGCAGGCAACCGATAACAGGTCTGTTGAATCAGATCTGTCTGTTCAGGATATCCAGGAGGTCTGGTTTCCTGGCTGCCATGCCGACATCGGTGGAGGCTGGGCACTTCTTCCCGGGGAGAAGTGGCCACTTAGCCATGCGCCGCTTGTATGGATGATCCATGAAGCGCAACGCGCTGGGCTACAATTCGACGAGCGCAAACTCAAAAAATTCGAATGCGCCGTAGAATATGAAGGCGATTATTCACCAATTGACAAATCGTGGAATTTGGATCAGGGACAATGGCCAGATCAGCCAGAGATTGTAATCGACAGAGTAGATAGTGAGGGATTCCAAGAGACACCCAAAGATAGCCCTGTAAAATCTGCATCATCGAAAAGTTTCTTTGAGGCGCTCCAATACTCCGGGACCCAGGGCCGCATTCATGACAGTTTGGCATTTAACTCTGGCCTGCCAGCCACATCAGTCATCGCGTGGAGAATAATGGAGTACCTCCCCTTTAAGAGGATGGATCTGCAGGAGGACGGCTCATGGGCACCCATCCGCTGGCCTCTTCCGCGTGGTGAAGTCCGCGACATTCCTTTGAATGCCAAAATCCATACCAGCGCCATACAGCGGTTAAGAGCAAATAAAACCTACCGTCCCGGTAATTTGATCATTGGTGGTGGCGGTCGTGGAGTTAAAAAAGCTCCAGAGTTCTTGGGCATAGGGGACTGGGTTGTTTCTAGCTACGAAGGTGACCCAGTGAGGGAAACTTTTGTGAGGGTGAATATATCAAAAAACGAATGCCAAAGGAACGGGACGCATATGAAAGGGACGCAGAAAAATGGAATACAGGAAGATGGAACTCAAAAAAATGGGACGCAGAAAAATGGAATACAGAAAGATGGAAATGGGACCCGACAGGACGGAAATTAGTTTGAATTTCCTTAATTATCCTTTATGTGTGGAGTTTACATCTTTTTTTGCCTTGTCCTGTGTTTTGGCTCTACTTTGCATGTATGAGTGGCTATCACCGCCTGATGATATTGGGTTGACAATCTCAGCACTCATTGGTTGCTTCTTGGGAGATGGAGGGGTGATAGTTGATGCATCTTCCTACATAATTGCCTTAGGATACGCTCGGGGGAATGATTTGTCTGCTTGTCTGGCATTGTTAGTTAATTCCTCCCTATATACCCAACAGTTGACCTACGGTTCATCCAGTTTGAACTTAATCTAATCTACTCCGTATTACTTCCATCCCAACTCCAATGGGTTAATTTCCAAGGTTATTTGTTATGGGTCTTGATTTTCCGCTTCTGAATCTCTCAAACTCAGCACAACCCCCGAACCCTCCTAGGCGAAATAAATGATATAAAGCTAATCCAATATGATAAATGTGCGGCAAGTTAGCACCCCTACGGTTGAGTCCTCATCGGCACCTCCGAAGCGCAAATCCAACTTCACCGCACCAAAACGGTGGTTCATATTTTCTGGGAGATTCAATCTTTGGATGGCCACAGAATGTTCTTCTCGACACGCGCATTCGGTAACTAATAGATAAAAGTACGATGCCGCAACAACCGTCGTATGACCTAAATTAATCGGTTGCCGGTGTCTGGGTTTTTGGAGTGTTGGGTGCAGCAACAGCTCCTTGCAGGTTAGATCAGGGAATTTTTACTGCAGTATCCACTTCTCCAGGTCGACGATGCGATGTTTGCTAGTGGTTCATGAATTTCGATTGCCCATGTCGAAACGCTGGAACCGTCTTCAGCTCTGGCTTGGTTTGCCTGAATGGGCAAATAATAGAAATGCCATAGCCGCATGGCTCAGCCCTCGGAACATAAACATGGGCCGTACTCCGTATTGCTACCGAATTGCGAATTAATACCCTGTGGCGGCCCAAAAATGCGACTAGAATATCACTGGAGGGTTGCACGAACTGTGATGCCCGTACTTCGCTTCCGATAGTTAGTTTTGTGATAATGACACGAACCCTGCCCTGGAGACGGCTTCCACATCGATAGCTGAAGTGAAGTGGGAGAGAAGTTGTTCTCTCAGCGACCTTGAAGCCACGATGACTCTGAAGAGTAATTCAATGCCATGAGAAGAGAGAGAGAGAGGGTGATTCTGACAACGTTAAATTGACGCCGAAATGTGTTGGTCCAATGGACTCGGCAACCGTCCAGGTGAAGAGTCTTTTTCTCTGATTACCAGCGAATCTTGCAGATTGATTTGACGATTTTCTAACTAACCTTCAATTAATTAATTGTTAATGTCCAACGATGGCGTAAAACGTAATCGCAAAAAATAAAGCAAATAAAAGGTAATATATAGCTCCAACCCTGATTCGAACAAGGGACATTGCGATAATGGTGTAGGCCACTGCAATCGCACGCTCTAACCGCTGAGCTACTGGAGCGTGTGTAGGTGTTCCTGTTTTAGGGTTCATGCTATTTACAGGGTATGTGGGGAAGTGAAACCCGCTGTTTTGTCATAATCGATTCCTTCACTCAGGTTTGCGGCGGCATCATACATTTATATTTAAGTTATGGATTTTGTTATATATATATATATATATATTCAAGTATTTCCTAGCAAAAACATGTGTTTTAAATACAAGAGTTGTCCAATAACTCTCTTACAATTATGGCTCATCTAGTCTGAATGGAACAGAAATGAATCCATAATCCATAATCCATCATCAACACCAACGCCGATGGGATAGGGGAAACACAAACCAAAAAGAACACCAGTAAAAACCCTGGCATGTGAAAGCAGACCAGATATACATAATACAATGCTAGCTATAGGCATCATCATCAACAATAATTAACAAAACCCTGTAATGGGAATCCAACCAACACCTGCAGCTCAGTATATTTCCTAACAGACTGAACAGGCCAACCAACCCAAACCCCTTGACAAACCCCCCCCCCCCCACAGCCATTAATATACATACATACACATACACACCTAGGAAACAATCGATATTCATAAAAAGGAAATTGACCAGAGAGCGCAGAAGCAGTAACTCACATGGGTAACATGATTTGAACAGACGGTGAGGAAATCATCCGCAGCTGGGTTAGAAGTTTCTTGGAGACTCTGGGAACTGAGCCGTCCTATACCCCTGCTGGGGTTGAGCCCCATAACCATGTGAGTATCCGCCGTCCGCAACACCGCTCTGACCATATCTATATTTTGTGAACCCTGCGCTCACCCCACCGCCACCAACCGTTCCTACCCCGCCGGTATTACTACCGATAGCCCTAGTAACACCACTAGCAGGCGGACCGCTAGAGGCGTAGACACCTGAATTAGCTTGACCATCCATATTTGAACCATCCGGTCCCGCTACACTTCTTGGTTTCATCCTCTACAAAAATATCGCATACCGTGAGGGTGGTTTCTCGTATTTATCGTCCCCAGCTTCGGCTGCAGCATCTGCTGCAGGAACTGTAACGGGGTCGGCTGAATGTGGTGCTGAACTGCGTCGACGGGAACGCCAGAAGGATCGCTTACTATTGCGACTAAGACCCTCTGTGTAGTTGTTTCCGGGTGAAGGGCCAAACCACTTGCCAAGTTTGTGGTGGCGGGCGTAGAGGATTTGGGGGTATAAGCCTAGCGCGAAAAGGAGGCTGTCGGGGTCGCAAATGAATTAGCAACCGGATGCGCTGAGACAGACAAGAAAACAAGTGAAACAGGAACTCACCATCCAATGATTGCCACAGAAAAAGCTCCCTTCTGTAACCTGCAGGCAAACCCCAAGTCTGGAAAGTGCGTCAGTTTGTCATTATTACCAGTCCCGGGCCCTGCGAGGCTCTTTGAGTCTCCGCTACCAAGCAGAGTATGGACAATGCCGGTACAGGAATCCACGCCATCTCGCGTCATGATTGCGATGGCAGTGAAAGAAGCTATGAAACAGACATCAAGGAAGAGCATCAACGCGGCGAAAAACGCTATCCCGCCAATGCAAAGGGTAAATAATGACGCTAGCAACGTGTACAAGGCTGCAGCCCCGGAAAGGCCCTCGACAGCTTTGGCCCATTGTGGAATGACCATGCCATGGTCGACGAGGACGGCGAGAAAATAGGAATATATTCCTAGGATGAGGGCTGCGGCGCAGAACTGAATGAGACGGAGAATGAAGTTGGTAATACGGATAAATACACCCGCGGCACTCATTGCGGGGAGCTAGGTGACTGATCCAAGGTTATAATTTCAGCTACCCGAGCGCAAAAGGCAAGCTTATGATGGATCGCCCGAGCGAATTGCGCGGCCGGGCCGAGTAGTTATAACGTAGAATAAAAACCAAAGGGGTGGTAGATAAGATACAGAGAGATGATGCAGCAGTTATTTCAGACACACCAGTCCAAACAATAGTTAAGGGGGGGGGAAAGAATAAAAAGGAAGATATATCCAGCAATTTGAGGGTGTTGGATTGTCGCATTCCCCCAGTTTCACACCCAAAAGAAAGCGCCGACAGGTAAATTTCAATGACGTCAGGAGCAATTCGGCGACTGGATGACTAAGCGCAGCATGAGGAAACTCTAAGTTCAGGCCTGGGGAGCAATCCAGCCAATTGACTGTGTTGATATCCAAAGTGTTCATGGTACAAAATTCCTTGGAAAGCTGCTGTTGATAGTTCTTTGATCTACATATCATCGTTCCCACATGTTCCCTTAGCACCCTGCAGAAGGCTGCATCCAAGTGCATGGAGCATCGCGACATCACAATATAACTGTCACCGTTCCATGTTCGTATGATACCCCATCTCATCACCAGTAATTACCCAGTTTGCCGTGCATTTTAATGGCAGACCGGAAGATCCTTCTCCTCCTTCAAGGTCCGCACCCTCAGGGCAACTTTCCCTTAATATCATCGAGAGCACGGATGACATTGAAAGGGCAGCAACCTCGGTTGCATATAAAAGCGATGGACATAGCATTGATACTGAATGTCATGGGAGAGACTGAAATAACTTAAGCCACGGCGGGTGTCATTGTCATCTCTCGCGGTTTTTTTGTTGTTCCTTGGCTTGTTCTTGATCCACGTATGCCCGGAGTATGGATTCCAAGCCCTCATTTCGCCTTGCCAGAAGCATCGCGTCGGATATATTAATGGTCGACCGTCCCGCATGTCTATTGCAAGTAGAATGAGATGAAAGTAAAAAGTTAGGTCAAGTCGAGCCATATTGTTGCTCGTAAAACAACGCAAGGAGAAAGAGTGCAAGAGAAAAATTGGCAGCAAATTATCTCTTACTTGGCGAACGCTTCTAGGTCTTGTCCCACGGTCTCTGGAGATAATATCAGCATTGATTCAAACGTTGACTGGAATGCCCATAAGGAGAAATGACGAGCAGGGAAAATTCCAGCTAAAAGAACCAAGCCCAGTGCGCGATTTATATACCTATTTGCACCCAAACCATCTCTGTGAGAGCTCCTATAAACTGCGGAGTAGCATCAACACCAAGCTTGATAGTTTCATCATCGACAATTCTACCAATTGCAAGCCAAAGAGCAGACTTCAGGCGCTGTTGAGAGAATCACAATTAGCACTCCCTTAATGTTGAATAATGAGGTACAAACAAACAGCAAGGGCACACGAGCGTGACAAACCTCTTCTAGAGCTGCGGCATTAGAATCTTGCTCAGGCATCGCGATGATGTACAGAGATGAGCAAAAGTGCTGTTGTTGCTGACGTTAGGCGCATGAGCATACGGCTGAAGACGATGTTGAGGATCGGCCTCTGATTGGTCCCACACGCGTCGGATTCGAAATCCCAACGTGACGGAAGAACAATATCCCGAAACAAATATCTGACTAAGCAAAGTCTATAAGATGACGTAATGCAAACATTCAATCCGATGCTTCAATGAATTTTCTCTTTTGCGGAGAATTCGCAGACGTCGCAAAGCTCCATCCAGCGTACAGATAGCTCTTTTTTGGGAGGATATAGAAGACTGAACAATTGGTCCTTGAACTATCCGTTATATGAACTCAAACAATTTCTCTCCCCTTTCACCCGGTCTATTCCAATTTGGAAAATCTCTCCTCCGAGCGGGCGGCTCCGTAATCCACCAAAAACGATAGAGCCAATTGCTCCTCTCCAAAAATTCAATGTCAAACCATTTACAGACTAAATGAAATTTCTTTTGTTGTTCAACGCAAAAAACGTATCAACATGACGTCTCTCGACCCAACGTCCATCCTCTCCACCCTCCAAACTTGGTCCACAAACCTAAAATCCAACCTCTCTAACTCCGTCACCTCCCTGACACTCCGCGACTATATCCGCCTAATCTGGATAATAGGTGGCTATCTGTTTCTACGTCCGTATCTAGATTCTGGCTTCCGCAAACTCTTCACATCAAACATGGATAAATCCGACGCAGAGGAAAAGGCGCAAGAGCAGGCAGAGGCCGCTGCTGTCGGAAGTGTTGGAGCCCGAGCAAAGCTGTCTGCAAATGCGTTGAGGGGAGCGCTGGGTGACAATAGTGAGAGCAATGACGAGGAGGATGGGAAGGGTGAAACGACGGGTGTGCCGCAGTGGGGAAAGAGTGCGCGGAGAAGGCAAAGGAGGGTGTTGAGACAACTTGAGGAGGCGGCATTGAGGCATAAGGAGGAGGAAGATGACAAGGATATTGCGGATTTACTCGAGGATTGAGTGGTTGCTTTGGAATATAGGACCTCTCTTGCTTTGGGATGGGGTAATCGTTTGGAACAGGTATATATTCGCTTGAGTTTGTTGGATATACTGTCTGTGTATGTATATACTACCTTTGGCTTAAATATTTTGAGGCGGGGATGGATCTGTAATCGGTGTCGATATAGTGCCATTTTGTCATGGAATCTACCTAGGTAACGTCTTGCATTTGTTTATATGACCCGACAGCTGCTAAGAAATCAAACCCCTATATTATTTGTTAACTTGCTCTTTTCATTTTCCAAACCATTCAGATAAACTTCCCTCATTCCCTACATAATAGAAAGTCTACAAGAAAAGTTAGAAGCCTCGCCAAATGTTCCCTGACATAAGACGAGGTTAAATATGCATTGCATCCCACTCAGTAATTGTTTTTGTCTTTAATCCTGAGAAAATATATCAATCATGAAAGACCCTCAAATCAAAATCACATCTAATGCATTCTCCTTAACTCCTCCACAATCCGCTTAACTTTCTCAACCGTAACATCCGCAACCCCACCTGCCACAACCAACCCCACAATCTCCTCTTGCAATGCCGTCTCACAGGCCCAAAACCGCTCAATAAGTTCCCCATCGACAAAACGATATGGCTCCTCAGCTTGACGCACTGCGTTCTTGAACGCACGGAACTTGTTAAATGGCATGGCACCAGGGGTCACCACCAGTCCAGCCATAGCAGATTGCAGGCGCATGAGAAGGTCTTGGTATGCAGGGTTAATGAGACCAAAGAGGTAGATGGAACCTTCGACCTATGATTTTTGTTAAAAGATTAAAAATAAGAAAAGCTATAAAGTGGGGGGAGATTAGAGAAAAGAGAAAGTTTAAAAAAAAAGGACAAAACACACTGTTCCCAAAAAAGCCTTTGGCGAAATAACTGCCTCTCTAGGTCCCGTCGCAGGCAACGACCCTTGGATGCTAACAGGCCTGATCCGATTGACCATCTCCCCAAGCAAAATCTCACTCGTAACTTCCAACCGCCTCTTATCATCATCCGTCACGCCATTGACATTTCGATTGAGAACTACAAGGTTCCCCTCCGCATCGCTCTCTAGGAACATATTTTCCGCAATAGGTGCCACAGCAGTGCTCCAAAGAGTCTGGAAATGGCGAGCTACCTCAGTAAGACTGTCTGGCTGGTCGTTCTCTCCTTGTTTGAATTCGATGATGGAGACGCTTTTCATGAGATCTGCTACCGCGATGAGGTTTCCTGTTACTGCAATGTCAATGGGGGCGGTAGAAGTGCGGTAGCTGGCGGTTTTATTAAGGGTATAGTCGGAGAGCTCTCCTTTGGCGATTGAGTAGATTACGACCTGAGGGAGTATCTGTTAGTCATATATTTCCTGTTTCCTTTCTTGATCATCGTTTGGTAGAAGGGTTCGACGAACTGTCTTCATAAGGGCAGCAACAATCTTATCCTGCACCACAGCCAGGGCCCTACATGCCCCTTTAACAGGCAGTTCCGCCACCTTTGCCAACTGCCTAGATCCCGTCACTTCAAACGCCAATATCCGTCCCCGTATGGACCCCTCACCGACGTCATCCAGATACGACGTGCCAACAACAAATATATCTTTGAAGGACTCATTCCCATCACTGTCTTTTCCTTCCGGGAACTGCGCCTGAATGACACTCTCCACAAGTTCATCCGGACGCAGACTATAATCATCCAACTCCCTAAACATAATCTCATCAGCTAACATGAAGCGACTCGTAATAACCTCGGCCCCGTTCTCCAGCGTGCGCTTAATAGTACCAATCCCAAATGCCTTCTCAGCCGCAGAATACGCAACCCGCCGGACCGTTTCGTCGATCTCGAGCGTGTGGATCTGCGTCGTCCGCTCCGAATCCACATGGGCTATTTTCAATTCTGTTGGGGTGGCCAAAGCGATGGAGCCCGGGTACGCTTCGGAGTTAAAGTGGCAGATGCGCGAGGCCTGATCAGAGTGGACTGCGGAGTATATGATGCGGCCCTCTGTCGCGTAGATCAAGCTAGGCTGTTCACAGGTTGCAAAGATATTATACAAACCATCCCCCCGTGGAAGCTTCTTGAACGACGGTTGCTCGGAGCCCAGAACCAGTTTGCTCATTTTTTTTAACGTGAATTCGTCCGCATTGAATGAGAAGGAGAATACTCTTCCGTCGGCCATAGAGACAAAAAGGGTTGCGGGTTGATTAGGGAGGACTTCTGCGACAAGCACTGAGCGTGGAAAAGCTTCACCCGGCTCGCCCACCGACGTGCTGTGGCGGATGGTCATGTCTTCCAGGTTCATTACAACAACTTCAGCCGTTTGTGGCAGGCAGAGAATACAGTAGGTGGCCGGGGAGGAGGTGACTGTGACACCAGATACCTGTGTATCGTCACCGAAATCCTTCTTCCCAGCAAGCTTAACTTCCCCTTGAATATCGAAACACATGAGCACCTGACCCCCAACCACTAAAACAAGGTGATCATCATTTGACGAAGCCGCCGTGATTGCCTTCTGAGAGGGAGGAGACCAGTTCCACAGCAGCATCCCGTCATCCAGATCCGCCACGCGAACATTGCGTTCCGTAACTTGCAAAATACGACCATTGGGCAAATTCGCTGCAAGTAACGTACTCTCGGCAAGTCCCAGGCCCATAAATTCGTCTTTTTCCTCCACCTCTCCATCCTGCGTGAAATGAAAGACCCTAGTCTCATCCACAAATGAAACCAACAAGGTATCTGAAAATCCCTCCTGACACGCCACCCGCAGTGCCCAGAGGTCCGTAATGTGCTCCATAGCCCCCAATACACCCACCTCCTCCATACCAACTCCACTCCTAACACTTCGCAAACTACCATCATCAAACGCTCCTGAACCCGTAACAATCCGCGCCTGGCCGGATGAAAAATCATGCGTCTGATTCTCCCCAGCCCGCCCACCTAGATCCATAATTGTAAAATCCAGAATTGGCGCAATATTCGAAAATGTCTGTATGATTTCAAATGAACCCTCAGTGATGCGGATGAGCTGCGAGTCGCCTTGATGAGAACCGATAAATGTCACTCCGCCGCCAAGATATACAAGGACGGAGGCCCTGGGTATGTTGCCTAGCAGGTCGAGTTTCCAGCTCTGCACAGCATTGTCCTCGTCAAGGATGAGCATAAGAAAGAACAGCCGGCCGTAGTCATCCGCCAACAGCCATCGCTGGCCATCGACCTGTTCCCAAGCGACGAAAATGGTGGCTTCATCGAGGGGTAAGGAGATGCATTCATTTGTTGCATCGTCGAGGTACCGGATCGAGGTTTCGCCCAGGACTAGGAGACCGCCTGTATATAAATCATCAGTCAACGTAGGATGCACCTAGCGCCAACAATGCTATCAAAGGAGCAGCAAAAAAAAAAAAAAAAAAAAAAAAAAAAAACCTTACCCAACGGAGCCGGCACGGGTATCAAAAAGCTCGCTCCCATCTCCAACTCCTCCTTCAGCAAATCCAGCGCTTTGAATACTGCAATACATCCAGTATCTTGCCAAGCCCCGCCGCCAGTCCCAATCCCCATCCCACCATATGTAAACTCCAACTCTCTCACCTTCAATCTGACCTGCCCCATCGTATCCTCGTACAAAAACGCCATCCTTGGTAACATATCTGCCTGAGTATGCAAAAACGCAGAAGACCGCACCAACAACTCATCCACACGTGCCTGGCAGGGTTCCCCCAGCTCCACCTCACCAGCAGCATTAGTATTACCGATATGACTACTATCATGTTGATTCTGTGCTGTCACAGCTCTCTTGCCATACTTCCGCCCGCTCTGCCTCGCCGTCCGTTGCGGCTGGCCAATGGGGATAACTGTAATGATTCCTTCATATAGCTCGAGGGTGATAAATTTGCCTGAAGGGTCGATGAGGCAGCGGTCCCCGAGCTGGGACTCCCGGGAAGAAGGGTCGGCAAGGTCGACATATTTGCGCTCGGTGCGGAGCTGGGAGGTGACCGGGTTCCAGGAGACGGTGAAATAGGTGGCACGGTCTGTGCCGATGAAGAGGACGTCTGTTTGGGGGAGGAAGAGGGGTTGTTGGATTTGTGGAGGTGATTGTGTTTGTGTTTGTGGTTGCTGCTGCTGCTGCTGTTGCTGTTGCTGTTGCTGTTGTTGTTGTTGTATTGGGGGTCTGGAGAGCTTTGCTAGCGTGGTAACTTTTCCATAGATAGCTTTTGAATATTGGAGGGAGAGGCCTTCAGGGGTTTGGGAGTAGAATTCGAGGCGATTGGATTTGCTGGGGGGCAAGTGGATAGTGTATGTAATGCTTAGTTACGTGAAACTGTATATGGAGTATTTTACGCAGGGTCGGGGGGGAGGAATGGCGTGGGACTCACGCAACAACCAGGCAGTCCTCCCCTGGGTTCAAGAACTGGAGCTTCAGGGCATGACGGATGCTGCTGGCGTGGTGGATGGGAACCACATATGCCATCTTGAGGACCTGAACTCTACGATTGCGCAGTCAATGAGACGTGTCTGTGGGGAAGGTAGTGATTCAGGGTCCACGGCAGTGGCTGTAGCCTGTAGTGTTAGAAACAAAAATAGTAAACGAGTGATTATACCTTCGCAGCCACCCCAGTCACAAATTGCTCCATGCATTCAATATCCTAAAGACCCGGAAAGTGTTCGAGCAGCACCAACAGACCGCTGGGTGTTTCGGGGGGTGGTGAGTTGAAGATGGTTTGAAGTGAAGCAGGGGCAGTTTGATGTTGTTAGTTATGTCATGATGCAAACTGCGGAGAACTGGCTTGGCTCATCCCAACTTGGACCGATTGGAGACAAAATATCCGCGGAGTTAACCATCCTATGTAAAATACAATGGATACGATAAACATGAGAGATAATCGGGCAACTTAATATCAATATCAGAAATATCATACATCTATTTTACATATTCCATGTGCAATTGGATCATCTTATTTGGTATCTTATTCCAGCAAAGAAGATATCCCAATGAACAGCAAGCGAACATATCAACAAGAAATACAAAGTAAACCAACCCCTCCCCCCCAACTTATCTAGATTTCTCCTGAAGATACTGATACACAACTGAGAAGTCCTTCCCCGCATGCGCCCCATCCGTCTCCTCATAAACCTCCTGTGCCTTCTCAGCAAGCATCAACGGCGTCCCGGCCTCCCGCGCCGCCTCAACAGCCAACCGTAAATCCTTCTTCATCAACCCAATCCCAAAGCCACCCTTGTATTCCCTTGACGCTGGAGCCGTCTCCACAACCCCCGGTACAGGATTGTTCACCTCACTCGACCACGATCGACCAGTCGAGGAATTAATCATCTGTCCCAGCGTCTTCGCATCTAGTCCCCAGCGGATTCCCAAATTCATCGCCTCAGCCGTCGCAATGTTTTGAATGGCTAGCAGGTAATTGTTGGCTAGTTTCCCCGAGAGGCCCGCGCCCTGTTCGCCCAGGTGCCACACCTTCTTGCCCATAAAGAGTAAGGTGTTTTCGGCGCGCTGGGCGAGGCCGGGAACCTTAGAGGAGGCTCCTAGCATGAAGGTGAGGGTGCCGGCAGAAGCACCGACGACGCCTCCGGACATGGGCGCGTCGACGAACTTGCCGGCGCCCGTGCTGTGGACTGCATTTGCGACTTCGCGGGATGAGGCTGGGTCGATGGTTGAGCAGTCGATGAAAAGGCGTTCTTTGCCCTGGGGAAGTTTGGGTAGGCCGTCTTTTAGGATGTGGTGGAAGACGTCTTTGACGTGGCGGGGTTCGGGGAGGCTGGTTATGATTGTTTCCTGGGGTGTATGTTAGACTTTTTCTAAAAATGATGTGTGGAGGTCTAAATGAGAGCAATAGAGAAGTGACTCTCGATGCGTGGCATTTAATTAAGGGAGGATGGTCCAGGAGAGCAGAATGTATCAATGTGTTTGAATCAACAATGCTCAGTGGATGAATATGAATGCAAATGTTGAAATGATACATGAACATATATATCATCATGTCATATATGCACATCATTCCTTACCGATTCCCTTGCCAGCTGTTGAGGGCTAGCCGCAACCTCGACCTTCAGACCACGGGCTGCTTCTTGGACGAATTGCTGGGTGACTTTGGGATTGGAGTCGCATATGATGAGAGTGTCGGACTCGGGAATTTTAGAGCGCAGATTCCTAGCCATTGGGAATCCTAGAGGGAAGATAATAATAATAGCACAGAAGTTTGTTAGTTCGCTGGTAAATTTTGAGGCATCTGGAATCGCGGGAATGCAGAGTTGGCAGAAGTTGCTGGGGAACGACAAAAAGCGCCAGAAAGTAAAACAGCAACGGCATTTTCTAAATGAGACTGTAGAGACATGTACAATTATGTCTCGTGGAGGAATAGGAATAATTGAAAAGGGATCCAAGCTTACCCATCTGTCCCAGCCCGATAAAACCCCAAGTCGCATTTGTGGGTCGACTTGTGGAGAAAGCTCGCTGTGCGGCGTGAAGAGTACAAGCAGATGCAAGCACCCTTCTCAGAGGGGTCTTCAACACGGATGCGCTCATACTGAGAATTGTGATAGCTGATGGAGCGGGTCAGAGCAACGAGTGGAAATGCAAGAGGGGGAGCAGAAGAGAGAAGAAATGAAGGGCCGCGGAGGAACGGGAGAGGATAAGTTAACCGTCAAAGATAACTTAGCTATTAACTCCGAGCTCGTTAGTTAAACCAAGAACAGATCAATTATTTAAACCAACTCAACAGTTGTAAAATTAAACAATGACTGCGCCTACAATAAATAGTTGGCTTTCCACATTATCCGTAGTTATCAAGATGTGGCTGGGCCCTTCAGCACCCCGCACCACTGATCCACTGCTTATGATTTAACCAACGCCAACTACAAATAATATTCAATCCCCGGCTTAAACCGCAAAGTGGGGCTTGGTGATTGGATAGTTGCATTTGTGGCGGGAGAGCATGAAGGCGCAATAACCAGCGACGGGAGATCAAAACGATGGTCACAGATGAGATAGATATACAAAGTTGGTGATTTAATTATCGAGAAGTCGATCTTGCAGCTCAACTTTTTCCCCCAATGAACATCTCCAATAACTTAATTCGACTCCGCCAAAACCAATGATTGGATGCTGTTTTCTGGAGTGCGGAGAGGTGCCGATGCAGTTTATTTATATATAGAGTTAGTTATTCCTCGCAACCACAGAAATGCGCTTTATCTCAACCCAGAAACCAGATGGAGAAACTGAGGTGGATATTCATGATGTATCTTCATCAGTTCGACGATAACCGGACTTCGATAACAAATGGCTACATTTTCTCCAGTTATCATCCGCTTCAGCCTCACCATCTCCGTGGCCCGCTTTATTACGGGTCATCGCCATTAGTTATGCCCCTCACTAATACTTAGTTGAAGCCTTAATATGCCACAGAGTGCCGGAGTAGGTACGTGCAAAAACAAACACTGAAGCTTTCCAACATGGTGCTTCATCACCGTGAAGTGGTCATGTCAATCATCTGGACTCAAAAGAGCGCCCCGCAAAGATGACATGTGCCCTCTGCAACGGGTTCCAGGGGAGATGGAGCATTGCGAGCATGTTGGCAGACCCCAGCCCGCGGCATATGAACAGACACCATATCGTCCCCAGGTTCACCTGGAACGAATTGAAAGTGTCCGCCAGCTCGTGCTACTGCTGCCAAGTTCTTGTGTCTGGATGTCTCGGGTGTTTCCAGCAGCACAGCATCCAAGTCTCAGATATCCTCCGGGGCACCTTAAGTTTCCACTATCCGAGCACCAATTACGATACAGAGAAACAGGACGCGAGCAAGAATTTGATATTTCTCCTGAACAACGGTCGCCGTTTTGAAATCCAATTCTTTTGCACAGATGACGATGATTGCCCCATCCCAGATTCTTGGGATTACATCCCTGTCTCGAAACGAACTTCCCCGAGGACAGATTCTGATCAAGCGATGGTTGCCATCAAGAGCTGGATCTCTGCATGTATCGTCACCCACTTCACGCCTGAAAGCTTCTGCGACACACCAGATAACCCGCAATTGCCCACAAGGGTAGTTGACGTCGGCCTTGACGACGGGGTTGTGAAGCTCCTTGAATCAAAGGGCGCAAGGTCCAAGTACATCTGCCTCAGCCATTGCTGGGGGCTTGCCCAAATTATCACCACCACTAAATCAAATCTCGTCCAACACAAAAAGTCCATACCCTGGAACCTGCTCTCCAAAACATTCCGCGACGCTATCTCCCTCACAAGAAGTCTCGGTTTCAGGTATATTTGGATAGACTCCCTCTGCATCATCCAAGATGACGCACGAGATTGGGACGTGGAGTCCGCCCAGATGGCCTCCATCTACACAAACGGCCACCTAACCATTGCTGCCACCAGATCTCCCAATGGTGCTGGCGGTCTCTACAGCCAAACACCCGATTTTGAAGTCGCCGGCACCACACCAGACGGAAAAGCAGAGCCTTACCGTCTCTTCTTCCGTGAACGCATCGACCATCACATTGACATGGACGTCGTCATCCCGGACGCCGATGACGCCGCCACGGGAAACCCAACAGCAATCCACTACCCCCTCCTGACACGCGCATGGGTCTACCAAGAACGAATGCTCTCCACACGCATTCTCCACTTCGGCAGATACGAGCTCTTCTTCGAGTGCCGCTCCTGTGTCCACTGCGAGTGTGACGGGATCGAATTCAACGGATCTTCTCCTGAAACGCCCATCCCTCTGTTTAAAATCGAGCACGCGGAGGCACTACAGGATTATGTGAGTGACTGGGCGGAGCAGTTCCGTGACCAGGTCGTTTATCAGGGCGCTAGCCTGTGGCGTACCATGGTAAGCTGCTATACGGCGCTGCTCCTGACCAAATCGAAAGATCGCCTGCCGGCCATCAGTGGTATTGCTAAGGATCTCGCGGCACGGCGTAAGTCAAGGTACCTGGCGGGCTTGTGGGAGGAGACGCTGAATGACGACCTGCTTTGGATTGTGCCGTCGCGATCGCGGTATAAAAAGGCCAGACCCTATCCGCGCAACGCACCGACTTGGTCATGGGCCAGCGTCGAGACCTACATTCATTATTGGGATGGGGTGTTGTTTACCAGTCTTGAAGAGGAGAAGGGGGAGCTGAGGGAACGGTTGCCGTATACGCATTTCAGTAAGATAAAGAAGTGCGAGATAACCTGGTCGGCTGTAGATGAGTTTGGGTCTATTTCTGGTGGGTTTTTGACGATTTCAGGACTTGTGGTGGAGGGCGTGCTTGAACGGGAGGTCGAATTGTTGCAGGGAGAAGGGGAGAGTATTGTGCACTATGTATCTCTTCCAAGTCGCCACTTGCGGTTAGAGATGAAAGCGGATTATCTACTTGATCATGATGGGCCGGGTCAGACACGACCTGGGGCCAAGGTGTTGTGTATGCGCATGAGTGTTTTGCAGGAGGGATCGACAGATCATTTGATATCGCTCGTCTTAAAGGAGTCGTCAGAGACTCGCGGTTGTTTTGAACGGATTGGAACTGTAGTTCTCGCAAAAAAGCCATCTCCAATAGATCCCGTTGGAGAAATATTCCAGAAAGCTGGAGAACAGACTGTAACCATTGTCTAAAAAGGTTATTAGTATTTTAGTACACCGGCCAATGGCATCCTGAATAGCTAATAGAGGTATCATCATATATTAGACTTAATTAAATATGTAGTTTTATCACAATGATTAGCCAAATCTATCAGCAGCCATCAAAAACGACTCAACAACACAACAACGGCGGGAGCCACCTAAAGGGGTCGGGTTTCGAAAGAAAGCGAAGAGCGTAATGCAGACACAGAACACGCACGCACAAGATGATATGAAATAAACCATAGAGGACAAAAAACTTCAGTTTTGTTTCTTTGCCCTGAAAGAGTTGAAGAATTTGCCCAATTGAAGTATCCCATGTGCTCCGAAAACTCCAAAGCCCAACACCAACACACACACACACACACACACACACACACACACATGCCAATCATTACCAAACTGTGTGATAAAAAATGCATATGGAAATGGAAATTATGGGACACCAGATAAAAACGCTTGTTAAGATGATGGATGGATAAGGCAGGATATAAAGTGATTGCATCATGGCACGAAGAGAAATAAAAATGGAGAATAAATATATGTAAGCAGAGAGGACTAAATGGGGAATGTGGTGGGGAGGAATGAAAAATCTATCTAGAGATCAAGGGTATCTTAGAAACAAAGCAGGACGAGCAGAAGATGTAGTAAATGACGAGAGAAAGTTACTATGAGGGGGCGGGAAGGAACGGCTAGATTTCGGAAAAATATGATTACTAGAGAATGTAAATTGTCCGGGAATTATGGACCTGGAGAAGCCGGCCCACTTGCAACGCCGCTGTTGTTAGACACAGAAGAACCAGCCGCAGGGCTTGTAAGATACTCCGCCGGAACTCTCGGTACCCTCGGCGAGCTGGAGGTTTGGGCAAACGCGCGATGCTGAGCTCTTAACAGATCCCGATGGCGCTCCTTTTCTTTCGTGGAGGAAGCTCCACCGGTCAAGCGACGGACGCTGCTGCGGATAACAGACTCGAGCGAAAAGGGGCCCTCGTTACCATGACCCGGAGATGTGGTTGGGCCAGACGATGGTTGGTTGAGAATGAAACGCTCATCGGAGTCAGATAACGCGTCCTCAAGCTCGTCATCGGATAGGAAAGGGAGCCCAGAATTTCCAAACGAAGGCATCAGCATTTGGTGGCTGGTGGGGTATGTATTTGCGGGTGACGTGACGGATCGTGTGTGCATGGAAATTCGAGAGTGTGGTAGGGTGGATGTTACGCTTAATGGTGAGGTATGCATCCCGCTAGGGTCAGAGCGTCCGGTGGTGGTTGGTCGGGATTCAGCGAGGCCATTGTGAAATGAGGAGTATGAGGCGGTTCGAGCTAGAGACTTGCGCAGGAGAGGAGCTGTTTGTTGATCGTATAGATTCGCACTGGCGTCGTGGAAGTCACTTATATAATTACGTAGTGCAATACCTGAGATTGAATTTGAAAGCGGCGGAGCCGCGTCGGATTCATCGAAGAAATCATCAAGGCTATCTAATTTCTGTAGGAGGTCACCCATGTTTCCGTCATGTTGTGTATCGATTGACTTCATCGTGTCAGCACGCAGACCTGGGAAATACGGATCATTATATTCATCTGCGTGGAATTCCATTTCAGGGGATGTTGTGGTTTGCTCCGATCCATCAGCTTCTGCACAGGTGTAGAAAACAGCATGGACATTATTCCTCGTTAGGCTTGACTGTGCAGCAGGAACTGGGATAGACCATCCGGTCCGCTCAGGTATTCCGTACAAACTCTGAATGCGCTCAAACTCCTTGCGTATCGCCCGAGATGAAGATGACGAAGCCATACTCATCCTTAGATGGTGACGCTCCATCGGGTTTCCAGAAACAGTCATGATGTGGTCCATCACTTCGAGGGCTTGGGGACACAAGTCGGTGTGTAATAGCCGAAGTAGTGGAGATATGAGATCAGGCCCATAGCACGCTATTTCGGGGCGACGCATGTCCATTTCCGCAATTATTGCGCATAAAATTTTCATGATCTTAATACGAAACCAGGCAGTTGTATTTGTCAATAGCCCCATGAGGAAGACAAGGGTTTGTACATCATGTGCAGGGAAATAATATGATCGAATGGCTGCCACAGCGTCTACCAGTAGGTCCTGACCTCGAGTATAATGGCCACTTGAGAATCCAAATAGGCAATCAGAAAGATGGGTATATCCATTGTTCTCAGAGCCGGAGGCAAGGAGTCTGGCACGCTCCACGACCTCCTTAGACCTTTCAGACAGGTCGAACTGGTGAAGCAGCCCTGGGAGATTTGCCAGGATCGCAAAGAGCAATCGGGAACTATCGCCAACCAGCTCATTATTGGGAAGGGCGGTAAGCCGATGCAGGACGGTCAAAGTCCTATCCAGCAATTCGTCAGACTTAAGGCCCTTGTATATCAACACCTGGATGCCTTCAAAATCACCTTCCCACTTTGGCGGTTTACTTTCTCTGAGTTTCGCTAACACAACCGGATCACGCATGTCCACCTTGTCCAGATACTTTTCTAGCATGCCAACACTTTCCATAAACTCGCGTTCATGAATCGTGTTGAGACATGCACAAGTTGTCCAAAAGAGCTGCGGGTAACGAAGCAAATCCTGCGGGGCAAGCGAACTGATGATGATCTTCAGGGTTGTTAGAATTTCCATCGAGAAAGTCTGATAATCGGTCTCCTCCTCTGCAATTGTATTGGACAGTCGTGCGAGCATATCAGCTAGCATTCTCGAGTCAAGTGAGGTAGAAATGCACCTAAAGACCTGAAATGACCGACATGCAAGATGCCGAACTGGGCATGAAGTAGCCCAGTTCAAAGCCTCTTTAGCCCACACATCATTCACCGATTCGTAGGCAGCAGAGAAGAAGTTGGCGACATCTTGCGTCACCCGATGCATGGAAGCGGGCACTCGACTAGGGTCCTGGTCATCGTCATTGCCATTATTATCCTCATACTCCCAGACAACGGTGGCGTCACCTTGACGGATACATTCAACAAAATCTTCGATAGATTGCCTCATATCATCAGGGGAATCGCTAATTTTCGAAGCAACGAGCTCATGGATTAAATGGACAAGCATCTCACGGGCCTCCTCTTGCACCGTGAGCGTGTAATGATCCCAGAAAATAAGCGCAACATGGAGCAATTTCACCACGTCATCAAGCCCGAGGGTAACAGGAGATACCATCAGATCAACTAGGAAAATGAGAGAAACTTGGCCCAACGAATAGCCAGCCTAGGTAAAGTGTTAGACGTAGAATTAAAGCAAAATGGAGAAGTTCATGGCCTACCTGCTTGTTGCCTACCGGCAAAACAGTCCCGAGATCGGCAACATATGGCAAGCCCTTCAAATCAGGAGGCGGTGGCATTGGTTCTCTTCTCTCCTGAACCATGTTTTTAGGCACGACTTGCATCAAGAAAAACTCAATGACTTTAGAACCCGCCAGGGTTGTAGACAAGAAAACAACAATCTGTTTGGCATAGTCCACGAAATTTTGTTCCTTACGTTCCAAACACAGGTTGATGATAAAATCCAGAACGAGTTGCACATTGCCCCCGTGGGGTCCTGTTGCAAGAGCTTGCCAGAGAGCTTGGACTTCGTTGGGGAGAACGGTGCTTGAGCGAATCGTGATCTCGAAGAGATTTGCAAGGAGCATGTAAGACTTGGCTGTAGGCCCGCCGTTTGGATCCACTTGGAGTTCGATTGCCTGGATCCACGGAAGGATTGCGGCCACCATGTTACGTTGAGTGTCCGGCTGTATGTTCTTGAAATGCAGCGAGAATTCAGAAAATATCGTGAATGCGAGGTCAGTATGCTGTTGTGCTAGCCGTTTTGAAGTCTCAAATTGAGCTAGCTTGTAAACAGCAGTTGTTTTATCGGATATACTGATGTCGAAGTCCTGGATCCTGGAGTTCTTCTGCTGACGTTCTTCAAGAGTGCGTAAGAGGCGTGCAGACTTCATCCGTATTTCTCGCTTGGCGTTGCCTAGGGTGAAAAGAACAGCCCCGAGAATTCTCCAGAATGCCAACGGATAATCTGTATGCTCGATTAAAACCTGAGCAACAACCTCAAAATAACTTTCTAACGCCTTCGGACTTTCAGATAGATAGCACATTTCTATCGACTGCTCCAGAAGGTATGGAAACTCCTTATTGTGAATGATCAAGTTTTTCAGAGCTCGTCGGGCGATGGCGTGTAGTTTGTCACTAACGGTGTTCAGAATAATATCAATCCAGGACAACATACGTCGCACATCGAACTGGAGAGTGGCTTTGCTCTCTGTCATAATCTTGATAGGTCCACCACAAAGAGAGGCCATAGCACTTAAAGCGGCTGTTCTCAAATTCCTCTTCTCAATTTCCAACGCAGCGGTACTTCGAACCTCCCACGGTTCTCGTTGTCGAGCCAGCGCAAGCTTCCTCATATTTTCCTCTCGCATAGCGATCTGTGACTGGTTCGGTGAATAACCACACCAATCTTCCATGAGGGAAAATGCGGATTTCCTTGACTCGAATGACATCCAGCGGGAAGGGTCCTTGGATCTATTGATGCCTTCGAATAGTTCCTCCAGCAATCCACAATAATGGAACCTCAGCTTTTGAAACTCTAAGTCATTCTGCACCTCCACATCACTAAGGAAAATCCTCAGATCCTTTGTGTACGTAACGAGATTATTGAGAATCCAGTCGTCGTTATACACCTCAGGCTCCTTCAGAAAGTGCGATGTCACCTTGTAAACATTGGTAACTTCAGTTCTCAGCCTATCTGTCTTTCTGTTTCGTCGCGGGCTACTTGGAGTGCGATTGTGAGATCCGATCCGTACCCGCGCCTCTTCATTGCATGTTGTAACTGCATACTGTAGAGACTCTAGTAATGTCCGATACAGGTGTTTATTGATTGAGCCAAGGGCGACGACGATGGCATTGCGAATGGAGTCAGGACCTGCTGACAGTAGGGGTATGACAGTAGCAAACAATGCTCGAGCAGAACCAATCTTATCC